GTTTTCATGTGCACGCGTGCGTGGAACCCTGAACACTCAGAAAAAATCCGTGAGCTTTTTTTTTTCTTCGGAGGATCGTTTTGTTTGGATATGAAATCTAACTGAAAATAAGGTTGTTTTTCTGTTGATGAGAAAACCCTTGCAAGCCAATTAATTGATCGTGTGCACGAAAACATATTGTGTAACTGGTGTCGGGAATACAGTAAATTGAAGCCTTCAAAATACGAAGTATGTGGGTTTGTTTTATATATTCTTGTCTATAATCCCGCTATTTTGATGACGTCTTTGGAGACGGGATACCGGTATCCATGACAACAAATTGTCTCATCAGCCGGTTAGGTAAAAGTGCAACATCATCTAGTGACAATTAAAGAAGAAACGCTTGATGAAATTTTACCTTAATATCATTATCGAATTTTGTATTACACAATATAAAGCAAAAACTTAAGAATGATTCCCAAAGTAGAATCATAGCCTAGGCCTATATACCTTATTTGCTCTTCATGAGAAAGTTGAATGACATTAAAAGATAAAATGCTGTTCTATGTTAACCAGAATAAAGATTCATGTTAGCGCCAGGAATTTTGAAAGGATTTTCTTAAAGCTGCCCGCAAATCTTAATGTCATGCCGAAGAAGACAAAAAATAAGAGCTTGAGTTTGCCCGAAGGAAAAATAAATGGGCATAAAACATGAGCGTGTGTGCGCAGTGATTTGTTCAGCTTGACAGGTTTGTCTTCGGGTGTTGACATTGTGGAGCTGTTCATCCACCGTGCAGTCACGATTCTTGCCAGCGTGGCTAACATCGATCAAGTTGGGGACATCTACCGGGTCCGTTCACTCATCAGCGATAGACATGTATCTGAGTCTTTTTGACCTGCACTACCAAACGTTTGGTATTTTTTTTAGTTTGCAAACTAAAACAAAAATAGTAAATCAAATGAGGTTTTGCCCTTCACCGATGTATAATGCGGTACCTGCTGCTATGTACATTAGATTCGAACCGGCCAACCGATCCCGTTAGCTAGGTGGTCTAGTGGTAAGACAGGTCGTGGGTTCGAGTCTTACCCGAGTGATTTTTCCAACTTTCACTCGGAAGGTAACACACTGAGTATACAGTGTTTATACGTCGGTGAAGGGCAAAACCTCATTTGATTGCATCACCCCGACGCAAATTTTTTTTCCATCTGATAAAAAAATAGTCTTAATTTGTAAAGATAAATCAAAACAGGAAAAAAGACCAAAAAAAAAAAAAAAAAGAAGAAGAGGGAAAAAAAACCTTCAAGCCAAAACCACCCCCAAGAACTATCAGTTTCACAGGGTAGCATGGGTATGACTCGAACCCAGCAGTTGAAAATCCAATATTAGATTTCATAGTATCCCCGACTCAAAAAAAGTACATCAATATTAATTTCGAAAATAACCAATTATTTGGTGTTAGAATGTACGTTTGGATTTGCATAACTAGAAATAATAAGCAAACCGGTTACATTATAAATGTGTAATTATCGATCTTTCAAAGGCTTTGTATTCACTCATTCAATGAGATGTGCAAAAAGACACATTTTCAAGCGATTAAATCGATTGTTCTATTGATCTGTTGACAAAATAATGTTGCACTTCATGTTTCATGGACCACTTTTCTGAGTATTCACTCCTAAATGCTCTTTTCACAAAAGCATATAAATCAGGATACCATTTGTACTATAGTGATGTTTATCGCCAGTGTTTTGCCAGTATTTCGAAATTTGTTTCCGAATTGGCTGAATAATCTTTGACATACAACCAATCATGACATCCTTAAATTTCGCAATTACCCCATAACGAATATCCTATCCAGACCACCAAACATTGTTCTCCACAAGTCCACATATTAATTACGGGAAATGATACATTTGGATACATTCCCGTAGAATTGTGCACAAACAAAAATCCGAACTTAATGACACCTAACCCTAACCTAAACGTAACCTACCCTCACCAAACTTTGTAAATTTGGTTTTTGCATCACGAGGAATCGATTTAGGCCATTTGCGACAGGAAAATTATGGCTAGAAATACTTGAAACATTATGGAGACATTCAAATGTCTCTGTAATATCTGCCTTGTCTCCTCCCTATAGGCACAAATAGCAAAAGGGCCAATAGCGCAAACCGTCCTCCAAATTTAATTATTACCTCCGCCAAGGAGGTTATGTTTTCATCGGATTTGGTTAGTTTGTTTGTTGGTTGGTTGGTTTGTCTGTTAACAAGATCACTCAAAAAGTTATGGACCGATTTGCATGAACAGTTTTGTAGGGGTGGTCCTTGGTAGTTGGTACAAGTACAAATCAATTAGATTTTGGAAGTGATCCGGATCTGGGTCTGGATCCAGGATTTTTTAAAGGATTGTTCACCATTTATGCGAATATTTCTTTTGGGTGTACTGACATTATGTCGGGAAATTGTTTAGCCTTGGCGGGGGTTGCGCTCTCTGAGTGCTTTCTAGTTCGGGTATAAAATTGGTGCACTCGAGTCGCGGTTTAAACCGATCGCGTTTTACCGTCCGGTGAATCAGATGTATTGATTTCTATTACATTGAGCTGCCCGTCTTTTTTTCCTTGGTTGTTTCTTATACGATACAGGATTTCAATAATTGGTGTATTGTTACTCAAGATGTGCATGACGTGACAAATCGAACATCGTGGTATTCTACTCTGGGAAAAGGGATCTTTCTTCTTGGTAGCAAGATGATAAACAAACAAAACGACCTTCAATTATACACACCAAAGGACAAAATGTTTTAGACACATCAGAAATTCTTGTTTAAAAAATTGTGTGCGGTGCTGCAAGATTTTGTAATCACATTATATAGAGAGACAAGTTTTCCCCCGTTCATCCTACGTTGCCTTTAAATTGTAATTTTATTAGATTAATTGCAAAAAAAATAAATACAATACACGGTGTGAAATCAGTAAAATGGCCCGGACAGGGGAACAGTTTTGTGTAGACATACGAAATCCCGCTGGCATTCTTTCTTAAATTAATCGCACGTAATTATTTAGTTTTTCTCTGGTCTTCAAGCAGAAATTGCCTACCAAAATATCCACTGTTGAAGTGAAGGTATTTTATTAGACACCCGAAGAGACTTAAATTCAATCTTGCAGGAATACACTACTCCAAACCCTTGAAGGTCGATCACTGAGCGACAATGGCCGAAGGAATTATTTAATTACGAGAGGAGAGTGATTTGCAAATTCAACTTTCTTCTTCTTATCTCATTATGTCCTGTACTTTCGTCCACATGGACACTTAAAATCTCCCTGGATGACGGGGATTGTTGTATCCTCTCGAAAGGGTCATTGTTTGTTTTGTCAAGTGTTTGGAAATTACATTTGGCGAGAGTACATGCTCTGCGCGCTGTTATGTAAAGTGTATTCAACTATTTATTATGGTATACCCTAGGGACCATTCTTATAGTCATGGACCAAGCAAAATATTTAAGGTTGAACGATTGTAAAAGGAACCAAAATCCATTGGACTTTTGTTGCAGAATGAAAGCTTGTAGTATTGATAACAGATATTCACTTGGTTTTTAATATAAATTTTTTTGCCCTTCATTGAAGTCTAGTAAACTTTATTCGTGGGACATTCTATAAATTTAGGGTCCAAAATGTGACATTTTTCCTGTCCCTGTTACCTTGGTACTTTGCAACTTGCCATTCAAGTATCATAATGAAAGACATCAAATGATTTTTTTTAATTTGTTGGGTAGGTAGTTTGCTGTTCATTATCACTCTTGAAGGACGACTGCATTAACTTAAGCAGTACATCTTGCTTCACCTTCCTTCTTCAGGTTGTGGGGCCCACAAGGCTGCAGTGTACTCTGTCCATTCTTCTCTGTTTCTTGCTATTGGCTTCATTCTTTACTCTAACCTAATGTGTTCCTTTCCTTCTCGATGGTTCGCCTCCATGTTGGTCTAGGGCGACCAACATTTCTCCTTCCCTCAGGCTGCCAAGACAATGCTTTCAGGCAGTGACTGTTATTCATTCTAAGAATGTAACCAACCCATTTCCACCTTCTCGACTTGACTTCTTTGCTGATTTTCTTAACTCCAGTTCTAGAGATAATGTCATCATTTGATAAGATGTATGGCCATCTGATTATCAGCATCCTCCTTTAAAGGGAAGATACAACATTTGCAAACATCCAAAAACGAAATGATCAAATGATCACGAAAGATCTTACTGGAATGTTAGGGAATGACAGTCCAAAGCATCCTGTAAAATCGTGGCCCCTGGTTTGCTGACCTTTTCAAGAAAACTTGTATTTTTCCAACGCTGGTCGGCCGACCAGCGTTGGAGAATTTCTTTTTTTCCAAAAACTGCTCCAAATTTTTCATACTTAGTTATTCCACATTTTCTTTGCAATTGATTACACACCTGTGAAGAGGTACGAGCCAGCTAGACTGATTCTCTGACCTTACAATTCCCCAAAGTATATAAATTGCTCCGTTTCATCTTAAGAGGGGTCAGGGAACCAGACTACAAGAACGTTGTTGGTTTTCTTGGATTTTCCAGCATCTCCGAACCCAAAACGTGAAGCAAGTCAATTTAACAGTATTTGCTGTAACACACTAATCCACCAAATCTATTTATTTTTGAAAATTGCAGCAACAGCAAATGTTGTATATTCCCTTTAAGCATTTGAATTGAAATGTATCTAAGCACTAAGGAGTGCATCTTGAATTATAAACTCATAGATGTCAGATGTAACAGGGACAGGGAAAAAAAACAGGACCCCAAATTTATAGAATGATTTGTAGTCATGAGTTGACTTATAACAGTATAGTTTATATAACGACATGCTGAGCACAACCTCAAAAAATGGCTTAGCAGAAAGGATTACCTGCAAAATAGTCTTGTTATCAATATAACACATTTGGCTTTTTCTCCAGATTTTTGCCATGTATCTGAAACTTAATGAGACTAAATTATGGTGTATTTTTATTTTTTTTCAACAGCAATCCATGAATTTCCAGCAGACATCTTTTCAAATGAAGATCGCAAGAGAGGTGCTGTGATCTTGCACTGTGCTTGTGTGAGTACAACATTTTTGTCTTCATTTTCTAAATCCTTTTAACAAAAGTGTATTAAAATAAAATGTTCTAAACCAAGCATTTCCTGCAAATAAAAGTTTACAATGTTTTGAATTGATACCAGAAAGATATAAATAGAGATGAAAAGGGTGCACAAATTAAGTTTTAATTTTGTTTAATTTTTTTTCCCAGAATCAAAAAGGTTTATCAATCAGGGATTTAGTTTTTTGTGTTCCCGAATTTTTCATCTGTCCCCCCCCCCCAATCTAATTTTTTTTATCACAATAACTATAACATGTAATTTGCTAGATTTCATTGCGAATTTTCACAGTTATCATTTCTGTTGTTTTGCACAATAAATTCTTTCAATTTTCTTTTGTGTTTCGGTTGTAGGTGGTCTACATGTTTGTTGCCCTAGCATTAGTATGTGATGACTACTTTGTCTCCTCTCTCGAGAAAATTTGTGAGGTAAGGCCTACGGAATGATAGGGCCCGTGACTGAATATCCAAATTTACGATCATCCACTAAAAAGTGCGTAACCAAGTTGAATATTAAAAATAAATTGCGAGCCGTCTCGAGAAGATGGCCCTATTGTTTGTCCAATGTCACATTTGTGTGGACAGCCACTTTAAGTGCATGATTTGAAGGCTTCCGTGAAGACTATTAGCCGTAATTTGCATCTCTTCTTGGTTTTTTCAGCATCTATGAACACAAAACCTTAAACAGTAACAGTATTTGCTGTAAGAAACTAACCCCCAAATCCATCCATTTCTGAAAATTACAGAAAAAGCAATAGTTGAATATTACCTTTAAGCTCACAATCTATCTCTTAACCCTAACCTTCCCAATTCATCAAAATCTACCCCCTCCCCACAATTTTGGTGGATTTCGGGGGACTTAATCCTGCAGACCTGGTTTGACTAAATATTGATGGAGTATGATACTTGGGCCTGGAGGCTTAAAGCAAAGTATTTGTAGCAGTGTGATTGATGGATTTTGGCGCACTTGGTCCAGTACTTAGTAAAAGACAGTAGGGAGTTAGGGTTAATAGTTAAATGTTTGCGGTTAGTTTCTCCCTCTCACCAATATCCCCTTGATTTCAGAAAGAAGTTTTTTTGGCACAAAATAAAGTCAATTTGACTCAGAAACTGGAGACGTTACAGGTTATTGCACTCTGTTAACATCAAACATTGAAATTGACCCACAATTTATTCAAGAGACCTTTTGCAACAGGGTCATTCAAATAATGCCCCCTTTCATACAAAAGTCCCGCAGCATTCCACTTCAGTTCAACTGCATCCCTACTTTAATACCGGCTAAGGTTAGCCAACACCAACACCATCACCATATTTACACTCCAAGCCAATCTCAAGTTGCTGATCTCCAAAAGTACCTTAATTAAAATTCTGAAATGGATAGCACATGGTTGTATTTTTTTTCTATCAATCTTGCGAGCGATGCGCATGCCATTGAGTTCCGGTCATGTAAATATTTTCTCAATCCAGTCTGTGTCGAGAAAGCCTAGAGATACAATTTCCATCATTCATGATCGCGATTCATCATCAGTGATACTAAGACAAATTCCTTTTTTTTTTTTTTTTTTTCTTTTTGGCTCGTGTGTAATATTTCATAGATGCATTTGATTTTGTGGAGACTTTGGCAGGAGTATGCGCTGGGATTTATTGCGGCAACGAGACTGCCTCCGTGATCCGTCAGAGAATGAATCGAGGGAGTGCGGTGATATTTGATACGCCATCGTCATGGCAACATTAAATAAACCACCTGCCTGTATTATCTATCCAACCTGGGGTTAGATGCATTTGTACATTTGTGTTGAAACTGTACCTATATCCCAAGAAGTACAAGTGGTATGGATGTGAAGAATGTAGTACTCGCTGTGTGACACCTACATACGGTTAAAGGCACGTTTGAACATTTGCAATTACCCGGAAACGTACCGACTGATTTTACGGGAAAATCCGTGCTCAAAGTGAAGAAAGGACCAGTACAATTTTAGCCAAATACCCTGTGAAATTATTCCACCTGAAATGGTATCATTCGGAAGAAAAACGATCATTGTAGGTGGTTTAAGAGAGTGTGCCCATGTATTTTGTACTTGCGTAACCAACAAAATCCAGTTACAAGACCCCCAAAATTTGTGAATACGTTCTCTCTGTTTTCTCAAGATGTAGAGTATAAATCTCACTTTTGCCCTCTGGGAATTTGCTGAAGATTATTTGGCTGAGATCAAAGTATCCTTTAAGGTCATCAATACACCATTTAAAGGTCATTTCTACTTTTAAATAAGTTGATTATTTCATTTGTAAGAGATACAGGATATTTTGAAAAGGTCAGTGAATTGAAAATGAATGTACACAAGAAAGTGTTTAGCTTTAACGCCCAGAAGTACCATGAATTATGCAACCATGAATAAACACTCCGAACTCATCAGAAGCAAGTTGGTGTCAGAAATGACAGAATATTTACAGACCTGGCCACCATTAATTTCCACGACTCGTCTTATGTGTTGTTTTTGGTTTGTTTGGTTTTCCTTTCTCCACAGCGCCTAGGTTTCTCTCATGATGTGGCGGGTGCCACCTTCATGGCAGCAGGCAGCTCGGCCCCGGAACTCTTCACGTCAATTATTGGTAAACATAACAGCCATGGCAGACTGGTGTTTTGAAATTAAGCTGAACTAAATTGTTCTGAAGATTAAAGTTACATTCCCCTTACTATTATTAAGTTTCGTCCCGAAAAAAAAGATTCCTTTTCCAAATTACTTTTTTTCTAGCAATACAACAGTTATTTACGTTTGAATGAGACATTGACCCCCAAAAAAGCAGCCCTTATGTTTAGTTATTTAATTATTACTTTACAATTTCGAATTATTGGCTGCCAGAAAATAATTATGTTTTCCTTGGGTAGGCTGGTTACCGCTCCACAATCAGTATCAGTAATGAACACACCGGGAGCCAGTTTGCTCGCAAAGCAGATCTGTTTGTGCCAAAAACAAAAACCTTTTTTTACCCAGACAGTTGCGATGTGTAAAAAGGGGCCCCCTAAAAAGGTTTTTGGTTGGAATAAAACATACAAGTTAAAAGTTATTAGATTGAAACAATTAGGAGCAGTGGCGTAACTAGGGTTAAGCTGCTAGGGGGGCACCTGGGGTGCACCATTTTTTTCAAGGGGGCACTGAGGGCAACTTGCATATTGTTTGTGTGCAGTCCAAGATTTCAAATGGGGGAGGGGGGCACAGAACTCCGCTGGGGGGGAGGGGGGGGGCACATGCCCCTCTTGCCCCCACCCTCCTCCATAGTTACACCACTGATTTGGAACGATTGCATGTGAAAGATACTGTTGCAATCATTAAAAATGACTCCATTGTCTAATCAATGGAATTTTTGCACATATATAGCCAGGGATCACACCCAAAGTCATGATAATAGCGACATTAACAATGCTGCAAACGTAGGAAATAGCAAACTGGGATAAAAAAGAGAGCTTTATGTACCATTTTTAAACAAACCACATTTGTGGTGTGTTTGAAAGTTTTTACAGAGAAAAAACAACATTGGACAGTAAATTCTATAGCAAAAAGGTTTTTGACAAAGTTCTCATATATGTTTTCATAGACATTATTTGTTTCCATGACGAAAAATACACAAGACGTGGAGCCGTAATGAAATATTGACTGACAGAGAGCTTGCGTTTTCCGCTTTGACGTTTCCTGACTTTTGTTTCCTCTGCAGGTGTCTTCATCGCTAAAGGTGATGTCGGCGTGGGAACCATTGTTGGCTCTGCTGTCTTCAATATCCTCGTCATCATTGGGCTTTGTGGGCTGTTTGCTGGCCAGGTAAATTAATGATTATTATTTTTATTATTTATTCAGAAAAAAACAACATTTTTTGACAAACAATACAATTAGCCAGTGGCATATGCCAGCAATTAAACAAGTAAAGTTACACAACTATGGCCTGGAGCCATACAATTCCACTACCACTAGCTATATAAAATGGAGAAAAAAAATCAATGTCACAAAAATTTAGTTATCATCATTTAAAAAGGGGAGAAATTTCATCTCAAAAGAATTTAATACACAAGATGTTGCCCAAATCAAAACATCACAAGTCAAATAAAATCACTCAAAATTGGCATTTAAAAGACACCCATACAATTTTCAAAAAGAGCAATAACTTTAGGAGTTGCATATTTTGAAATATCTCTCTGAGAATACATTTCTCTTTTCTTTATTTTTTATTACTTGAGTTTCTTCTTTGAAGTCTATAGAAACCGATGTATTTTTAAATGCTGCATACAAAATCCTTCCCAGCTGAGATTTGTACACCAAGCTTGCCCAGGTTTTGTGAAGGAAGATATCAGTAAACAACATTAAAGGCAAAGGCAAACTACATGGCTTAACTCAACACATTATTTGTATTTTTCTGTCTTTTATTGTATGGTGTCTGACTAGCCCTCTTGAACAAGGTTTTTGACAAATTGGGGAACCGCCAACATAGGGCTGGATAGCTCAGTTGGTAGAGCATCAGAACGGTAATCCCGAGGTCGCAGGTTCAAACCCCGCTCCAGTCAATTTCTTTATTCAACTTTCCATTTCTTTGTATTTATGTATTTTTTTTCATACTTTTAATTGTTTAATTTATAAGTTTCTTTGAATGTTTAATTTTATTTTTTCAGCAATCAATTAAAATTCAAATCCAAAGTATTTGTCAGAACTGGTTGATATTTTAGCCCTGACTTTGGTAAATTGGTAAATAAACCACGATCGCAAGCTAAGTTGTTTCACATCAATAGCTAGACATGGGACCTCTATAACGCTGTAAACTGATCAAGACACCCAGTTATTTGTAAGGATAGCTATAACTCGAATCATGCTTTGTTATTATAGAAGCTGATCATATGAAGACACATGCAGCTGCAAAATGTTAGAATACAGTCTCTGCATTCCCCTAAAGTAATCGACATTTTGTGATTCACGTCAACCTTTGTTCAGAGATGGGATTTATGCCACAGTCCAAAAACATATGATTATATAAAAGCAGACCAGCAATATATGATAACATCTAAGCCATACAAACAAAACCATTGTCCGCTCTAAACTCAGCGCCCTTTACGTGAGTATCATTTCAGTTGCGACACATTTCAAAAAGTCCCCTAAAGTCCACAAAAACAAAAATTCAGTAAACACAGACTTTGTACCGCTGCTTTTGGAGTGGCACATAGTTCACCATTAAAGCAAAATTGAACCCAAGTGCCTGGTGGAAAGGCACTGATTAATATCCAGTGTTTGTATCGTTTCTCCGACGTGTTGTGGCACTGATAGAGGTTGTTTAAAAATTAATCGCTCAGCGGTGCTTCATATTACCGCAATCAGACTTCACCATTGCAACCAGGAAGCTATATATCACTCCATTTAGCATTGGAAACGTGCAGCGACTTAATCTGTGGTTGCTCGGCAACAGTATCTCTATACAAACATAAATAGGATTGTTTTCGATATCAGTTTTTGCTTGGGTTGATTATGGTGTTCTGAATGCATTGAATTGATTGTTTGTTCACACTTGAAAATTGATAATTGGTCGATTTCAGTGTTTTTATTTCATATAAAATGGCTGATTCTTGGAAAAAGTTTGTTTTTGTTTGTGTATGTTTTAATTTCCATTCATATAAAACAAAGAAAAAAATTGCTCAAAATGATACAATAACAAAATTAATTATGGAAATACTGTATCTGGAGCAAAACAATTATATGAATAGGGGTGACATTCGAGAGAAGGACAAAGCCTTCTGTAAAGGAGCACCCTAGACTGCTGTCAAATTACAAAAAGTATATAATTATACAATCTATTTCGGTTGCATAACTTAAATTGAGATGATGTTCATTTCCGGGTTTAATAAATTCAAAGTAACGGATAATAAATAACAAATACTGCCTTGCTCATTATGGACAGAAAAAGCAGTTAAGATTGTCACAAAGAAAATCCCTGTACTTGTCTAAATAAAATTCTTTTAAGTGCTTCATCAACACCTTTTTTGACAAGTTTACTAAATCGTTTCTTAAAAAGGGTGGGAAAGAATTAACAATGGTAGGCAAAACATGTCTATAATTAGCAGAAGCAATGTCTAGCCTACAGGTGGTTTGCAAATGGATGAGATTGCCTTGACGAGTAGCATACGAGTGAACATCTTGGTTCAAGGGAAACAAATCATCAGAACTGAAATTTTTTGGAAGCAGTTTATGAAAATAATCATAATAGTGTGAAGCGATCTGAAAATTATAAACTTCTTCAAACTTTTAAACTTAAAACAGAGAGGTGAAGTATGGGCATTATATTTGGCATGGCAGGCATTCCTAATGCTTTCTTTTGTAAAGAAACAATCCTATCATAAAAAGATGGATAAATTCTAATCAAACCACCCCATGCCAAGACTCCATAATTTAAATACGAATTAAACAATATAAAGTAGCACACCATAAGCCTGTAATTACTCTGGAATTCGGTGGGTGTAGTTGTAGACCAAAAATTTGGAAGGGTCCAAATTAACATCTCATGCTTATCTTGTTTTCATCTTGGTGCTGTTTTTTTTTCTTTTTGTATCATAAATTTGGTCTTAAAGATACACTGAATCTCAAAATATATCCAGCACCGATGATGAAGTGAGTAAATACTTGCTTACAGAGGGATTAAGACATCTGTACTTGCTAGCAGGTGGTTGTGGGTTCAAGTCTGTCCCACCATAGTCAAAAATATTCTGCTGTGGTGGTTAAGATGTTTCCTCTTGTAATCAAGATGTTTAAGTCCCACTTAAGGCACTCTCCAAAGAAAACCTGTAGATGTCTTCCAAGACAATACAGTGATTGTGTTTTAAAAGCCATGAAGCTTGAAACTTGGACCCTCTGTTATACAGACTTGTTGATTGTATTGTGCGTATCTTAGTGGACAGAATTAGAACAGTGAAACGTCACGTGCGAAGCTAAGAGTCCATTCAATATAAAAGAGATGAGATTTCACAAAGGCAAATTTCATATGACACTGGTTCATACTTCATGCAAATTTAAAAGTGAAGCGAAATAGGATAAAGGCAAACACTTCAATGACGAAACCATTTTGATGTCATAGACTTTTCTCCTTTTTTTCGCACTAGGATGTGGGTCATTCTGTAAAGTTAGGGACCAAAGTGTGACATTTGTCCTGTCCCTGTTACTTTGGAGCTTTGTAATTTGCTATTCAAGTATCATTTAAGAATGACTTCAAACAATTTTAGGTCTGTTGGGTAGGTAGTTTGCTATTCATAATTACTCTTGGATGACCGTAGAGGAACTTCAGATAAAAATTTACACATTCATAGATGTCAGATGTAGCTGGGACAGGAAAAAAGCGGACCCCAAATTTATAGAATGACCTATATACCAATGAATAAATTTGAATCACAAGTTTTCTTATCCTTTTCCTCCGTCCCTTTTGGCAGGTTGTTCCACTGACATGGTGGCCCATGGCAAGAGATACCGTCGTCTATTCTATTTCAGTACTGACTCTGATGTGTGTTATCTATGATGGCAGAGTCACGTGGTAAGTTGTCGTAAGATAATTTTTTTTATTTTTTAGAAAAGGAGACACTTCCTTCCATTTGGTTTCCTCCTTTTGTTTTATGTTAAAGGCATTATTCCACTGGAATTTGGTTGGGAAAACTTAAAGGGCATAGAAGATCGCAAATTACCCAAAAGTAACCTACCGAATTATTATCAAAAAGGTTTACTTGGATTAAAGATCGCACTACTAGTACTAAACATCCCGAGAAATTATTCCGTCTGGCTTGCTGTCATTTAGAAGAAGAAAACAAACCCCAACCCTATGTAGGAGATCGCCAATGATCAGTCAATTGACTGATTTTTGGAATAAAGAGTTCTATTGCCGATATTGTGTGTCATGATCAAAAGGTTGCATGTGCATGGTTTTTCACTGGTTTCTCGAAAAGTGTAATATTCACTGAGCTGAAACTTCAACAGGTCAGGTTTTGAACAATCTTCTTTGGATTGTGAGTGATGTCATTATTGGAAACAAAATGCATGAAAAAGCAAATGATCCTACATGTCTTTAATGACTTCCAGAAAAAAACAACCAAAACCTTGAGAAAGAACAAATGTCAAAACGAATAATATATTTATCCCCATCCAGTGCAAAGTCTCCTCATATAGATTCAGTGCAAATGCAAGAGAACAACCAATTCAATTTGGAAATAAAGTTTCTTTATATCTAAGAAATGTAATTTGCTAAAATTGTGTGTGAGTTTCTGGACTTTTCTAGTTACTATTGAGAAGAAATTCCGGCTATGTTACGTTAATCAAATTTGTGTGAAAGTAATACATTTTCGTCATGCAGGCATGCAACTTTCCCTCGGATCAGATGATTTACTTGTTTTTCACTTCACACTAATGCTAACAAAAAAAACCAAAAAAATTGAAAACACTGTATAAAGGCTTGTAAATCTTGGAATTTCCCTGTTTCTGTGAATTCTTAGTTGCATGCCTGTCCATGAACAGGAACCCTTTGAAACAAAGCTAGAATGAAGGATGCAAACACAGTTATCTTATGTCATTGATGGGATGCAGAACAGCCAAATGTGAACATCTTTCCACATTTGGTGTCTGTCCATTCATGACCTGAAACCAAAAGCCGATTATGATTGAATGTTTTTTCAGTGATTCATTTTTCTTTTTGTGTTCAGGTATGAATCACTGCTCATGCTGGCCATGTATGCTGGATACATCTTCCTCATGTGGTAAGTATCTTAATGATGAACATCACAGAGTGTTGGTTATTTGAACTTGTTATGTCAGACGTTAAGAATGTAGTGTATGTTTGACTTGTATAATTGACGATTGTGTCTGAGTGTTATTTCATGATCACACGTCAAACTCTTCAAAATGACTTTGAAATGGTGTTGCATCTTGCAAATAATTAGGGATCATTAGAATTGGTATGAGTATGGGATAAGTTTAGCCTAAGGCTAAGAAAAATTTGCTGGTTTAATATTTCACCATTTTGTATCCATGGTTATTTCACCAAACCTACATTGTAATTCTTAAATTTTTTATATAAAATGCATACGGCCTGTTCTGTGCCAGATGAGAAACCATGCAAAATGGTGATTTAACAAACACTTTTTTTTCTGAGCCACATACACAGACCATTTCTAATGGTCCCTATTCTTATCACACATGGGCTTCAATCACATAAGACAAAAACAATAGATGTTTTGATTAAGGTGAAAAGTAGCTGGGACTTATTGCCAAATCCACAGAAGTCCATTCCCTGAAATGGTGAAATATCACTGTGTATCTTGCATCCAAAAACAACAGCTGTTTTCCTCATACTTTTTTGGTCTTAATTAGGCCAGCATCTTCCATGACAGCATCATATACATGTATTTGGTAATCTGAGACTTTGTAGGTGGAGTCTGAGGGGTGGGTAACTAGTTCAAAGGTTTGTTCTGATGAAGCACCAGAGCTATATTTCCAACGAATCGTTTCAGATTTACTATGTAAACACCTTTTGAAGAGCATTATATCTGTTTTGTTGATGCTTCAGCAGATTTCTCTTTCCAAATTCTAGAAGCCTGTGTAGCTACTTAATTTTTTATTCTGAATAAGTGCTTTAAGTGCTGAATAAGTGCTTCAAGAGTATGTTTCTTGTTGATTGTTATTTTGCCTCTGGGAAAGATGCTGCTATGGCTGAACCATCAGGCCGCGTCTAACTTTTACAATCAATCTGTTTTGCATCGTCGGATGTTTTGGGAATTATGTTGTCGACCAGCCATCTCCCATGTGGGAGATATCCCATGTCCCTTGAAGAATCGTCTTCGGATGTCAACATCTTTCGTTGTCAACATCAAGTACAGCTTGCTCATCCCTTAGCCCTTCTGGACATCTGTTCCCAAGAAACGTTTCTCATGAACTTCTCATTTGGAGGATGAGATCATGTTGCGGTCTGGGTCCCCGTCTGACATTTCCATGTGTGACTGGATCCCACAGAATGAGTCTTTAGGACAATTTTTCACATAATACGTAGGAGGTGCTTAGTTACATACATTGTACGTCCAGAGGACACCAGCAATTGTGGACTAGGGACAAACTGGTTAGGGCACAAAACACTTGTTGCTGATTCTTCTCCCTGATTGGCTAAAACGTGGTCACATGGGGGTTCAGTAATTTAGGCTAGTCAGTGAAATCTTAACTATGTGTATTTTGGTCAGGCAGCAAACTGCATTTGTTGAGTAATATTAGCTCAGCATAGGTATGCTGGACAACATGTCAATTTTGGGTTAAATTTAGGTCCTGGGTCTATGATTGGCAAGTAAAGGGCCCCATTTTCCTTGGCCTTACAGTGATTGTATTAACTGTTGCTGACCATATAATTGTATGGTCAGCCACAATTTTAAAATGAAATCATTACATTAAGCTTTCACCACATGTTGCCCCTCAGCATTTTCCCTTTCCTTCCGCAAGATGATTATTCCTTGGATGTAGTAAAACCAACATATAATGAGATTTTAAGTTTCCAGCATGAGAGATAACTCAATCTCTTCACCCTCTTTGATTTAATCAGAAGATTTTGAGGCTCTTTGATGAGTAAGGGTAAACCCACAGGGGAGAGGAAACACCTGTACAATTAACAAAACATTGATGAGCACATCTGACAGTTTAGCTATTTGAAGTGCTTATTCTTATTCAGAATCCTGACATGAATTGGGGTTTATTTGTATTAGCTGGGCAGTCCGCCCAACCGTTTGTTATTGATCAAGGGAGAACGGCACTTTTAAGCTAATACAGGATACTGAAGAGCTTAAATTAGTGAACCTCCATGTGACCATGTTTTAGCCAATCAGAGAGAAGTGTCCACAAGAGCTAGGTTGTTATACATAAATGTTGATAATATTTCTATGGCTTGCTTGTGCCTTTTTCCTTAACCTGGGCCTAACAATCCCCACGATAATTTTAATATTGGGTTATATGCCCTTCAATGTTTTTATTACAATTCTAAAAGCACTATACATGTATACTCAGTGCTAGCCGAGAGCCTGCATAAAAATTCACAAATTTGCTCAGGTGGGTCTCGAACCCACGACCTATTTTAAAACCGGTGCAGACGTCTAACCACTCAACCACCAAGCTTTCAGGCTTCGGTTGGCCAGTTCTAATCTGAAGCAGCAGTGGATACCGAAAACAATATCTTGTGAGATATTCATTAAAGTTTACACCTCCCTGGTGTGAAAATGTCTGCTTTCAGTCCCTTCAGCTCTCAGTGATCAAAAGAAGCAATAATATCCCATTGGAAACCCTTAAGTGTTTACAATGTGCATCCTGTCCAAAGTGTTTTCAATCTTTGGCACATATTCACCTTCAAGAGAGAACAACAAAATTGAGGATGAAGATTTATTGGGCGCGGACGGAATCTAGATTTGAATGATTAACCCAATTTCAAGGAAGAATCCTTTTCATTCAGGGTTTTACATTTCAGAGCATACACACAAACAGCAATATATATTCAGCCAGCCCAGAGACGACAACTTTTGCTATTTGTGAGAATTGAGGAAGCAGATTTATTTGTTTTTTTGACATCTCCCTAAACTGCATGTAGTCTAGGTTTTTCATATTGTTGTGATGAAACCGCTGAATATTTATTTCTTCTGTGTGGGCAAGCTAAGCAGTGCGTAGGCACTGGTCAACCCTAGGGGCTAAAAATTCGTATTGAATGAATCAGACGAGAAAAATAAATGTCAACCCTAGCCCAGAGTATTGGGAACAAATCTCGAGATTTTTGGAGTAAAGCCTGCATGACAAGATCTATGACATGCCTAGTTCACATGATTGCTGGGGGCTTTGGGAGCACACAACAAGTAAAAGGCAGAAAGAAGTATTTTTATCAGTGATGTGGGAAAAGTGGCAGTGATGTGAAGAATACTGATCAAGGCAAAACCGAGTGTGAATTCTCACACCAAAAAAAGGTGGAATTACTTTCATTTAATTTAGCCAGCTTGATTTTTTGTTAACTGGCTCTTTGAATGAGTGATACGTGATACTTGGTTTTCCAGTGTTTTGAATTATGGTTGTTTCTTTATCTTAAAAGATCAAACTACATGATTTTTACAGGATATTTGACTTATTGACAAACACTCAAGTTGAGTTTACACGTAGGTAACTAAAGTTGCATAGTTATCAAATTTTAGACTGGTTGGATTTCAAGTGAAATTGATTCCAAGTAAAAAAATCTCCAGCCAATTTGTGGCAAATCCCCCGTCCGACAACACGGCGTTATGCCATCATTCCTGACCTTTTACCGATCACTGCTCCTGTGAAGTGTGGATGTAAAATCACACAGCTAAATTCACACTAGGTATAAACCGGCCAGATTTGCGCAATATCCATCTAAATTTCTCTAGTGAGTTCAGTCACAAATAACATCCCGTCTGTTGCATTGTGTATTCTGCGAACAGGATCTAGTCTTATTTATATTCCGCGGCGACCTGTTTTCAAAAGCGTGTATCATCTTTGATCAGATTTCTCTCTTCTTACAATCCCCTCCCACGCAACATCGCTCGTTGCTTTGACATTTTGCTCCCAGCTCCATTGTGGCCATATCTTTGTGGTCTATTTTTAGCCTCGTGATGGCTTTACCTGGTTGATTTTTCCAGCCTTGTTTTGCCAGCGATATATTGATTTTTGTACAAATAGGAAAGCAAAAAGGCAATTTAAAGAATAGCAAAATTTAGAATTCTTTGGCATGTTTTTGTTAGCAACACTGCAATAACAAAAACTTTCATGCATCGTATCTGATCAACATAATGTTGAAATTGACAATTTGTTCAAGCATCTTTTTAGAGCCTTGTGGCTCAACCAAGGTTGATAACTTTTTGTCCTGATCATGCTTAGTCCTTAAGATAGTTTTAATAAAGTGACAAAAAAGGGGGAATAGTAATATAAAAAAGCACATAAAACAAAGATGAACACATTTGTGTATGTCCACAACATTTGTTTAGGTGCTCTTTGTACATGTAACTTGTCTTTTTTCCATCATCTTTCCCTATGAATCAAAAAAATATTTAAGAAATAAATATTTCAATAGAAGAAGTCATAAAACACTTTATTTGGCTGATGATTGTGTACTGAGGGGTAAAAGGTGGTATTTTTTAGTGTAATTTATTCACAATTTGTGTGGAAAATTTGCAAGTCTTCTTGCCGGAACTCAACAATGATAATCATAAAATATACAGGAGTTTTTACAAGTACAGTGTGCACATAATTGTGATATGCATAGAATTTCATCCCTTTTTATCATCATTTGTGTTGTTTTGAACTTTGTGTAACTGCAATTCTTCTTTCTTTAATTGGTTCATACATTTTCCTTCATCATTTTTGTTTTCAGGTTGAACCCAAAGATTTCCCACAACATCCACCGGAAACAGGAGAAAAGGAAGGCCAAGAAGATCGCGAAGAGACTGGAGAGTTGCAACAACAGAACCTCCATTCAGTTAGAACAAGGTCAGGCACCAGACTGAGCAATCCAACAACTCCCCCCTCCCCCCCCCTTTTCCCATTGGACGACAAAGCACTCGGTGACAGAAATAAACTTGTATTCTGGGTGAAAACCTAGTTTCACAGTACACTAGCACAGTTCATTTGTACTTTCCTATCCAAAAATATATAAAAATATTGAAAACATAAAATTTCAAATGTTAAACTTTCCTAATGGTTTTATTTTTAATAATCTAAACAGTTTCAATTCTGGGGCTTGCTGTTTAGAAATCTGAGCTGCTTTGCAGATTTCAAAAGTACAATTTTGGAACTGGATATAATGTTATTCCTCAAGAAGGACAAAAATGTTTTGACTTTTTAACTAAACCAAATAAATGTTTTGACTTTTTCTTGTTATTTTTTCCAGGACATGGATCTTCTTTTTGTTATGTCTGTAGGTTTGATGTTTGTAGGTTTGATGTTGACGTATTATGGCTCTCGTTCCTTAGCAACCTGCTGAACTAAAGAAAAGCATTCAAAATAATACCAAAGAAAAAAAAGGAAACCCCCCAATATTTTTTTTTCAGTAAAAACTTCTTTTTTTTCATGAAAGAATAACGGTAAATGTTAGTGGTGGCAGAACAACCACCTCAAAATCCTGTTTCAAGATCTTATTGACTGTCTCCAGTTTTAAGAAACAATTCAAACAGCTTGTCTGAACAACACAACAAAAAAGTTGTTGTCATCTTATGAAGAGGATCTGCTGAACTAAAGAAAAACATTCAAAATAATACCAAAGAAAAAAAGGAAACCCTCCCTTTTTTTTTCAGTAAAAACATGTTTGTTTTTTTTTCATGAAAGAATAACAGTAAATGTTAGTGGAGGCAAAACAACCACCTCAAAATCCTGTTTCAAGATCTTGTTTGCCGTCTCCTGTTTTAAGAAACAATTCAAACATCTTGTCTGAACAACAGCCGTGTGCGCAACAAAAAAGTTGTTGTCATCTTATGAAGAGGATCTGCTGAACTAAAGAAAAACATTCAAAATAATACCAAAGAAAAAAAGGAAACCCCTCCAATTTTTTTTTTCAGTGAAAACATGTTTTTTTCCCATGAAAGAATGATGGTAAATGTTAGTGGAGGCAAAACAACCCCCTCAAAATCCTGTTTCAAGATTTTGTTAACTGTCTCCTGTTTTAAAAAACATTCAAACAGCACGTCTGAACAACGGCTGTGTGCACAACAAAAAAGTTGTTGTCATCTTATGAAGAGAATTACTTTCTTCGTGTCTTCTTATGCTCCCTTCCTGTTTGCCATTCTCAGTTACTCCTCTGAAAACCGACAAAGATGACACTGCCAACGGCGACACTCAGCCAGCTCCATCTGCCGATGAAAACAGCCCGAATTCCCCAAAGAGGTATCGAACATTCACTGCAATATGTTGTCTGCCGTTCTCTTTCAGTGTTATACAATGAAGTGAATGGTTCAGTTTTATATAAATTACTGTCAAGCATGCAGTCACTGTTTGAGGAAAGGACTCAACATCAATGAATTCTGACGTGGGAAGGAACATTCCGTAGGGAGATGAACTTTTTAATGTTTGTCGCTTATATGATTTACAAAAGCTCTGTTGGTAATGGGTTTGAGTCCCACCTGGGACAAGCTTGTGAATTTTGCATTGCTAGGTTTTGGACTGCGCATTGATTGCGAACAGCATGTCATTATAGGGTAAAATCCAAGAAAAAGTCCTCTTTTTGTCCCATATGTAACACCATGTTTTCTTTAACTACTTAATCATCGCAAAGACTAACAACATGAACGTACTTGTGGGTATTCTCCTTGCAGATACCAAACAGTAAAATACAAAAACACTGAAATCTATGAATATATTAGAGGGTTAAATTTTCATTACATATGGGACTGTGTGAATTCTCGGACTTGCCCAATATTAAAAGCATAATTAATCCATCGTCAGTTTGAGAAGCACTTTTCAATTATTTGAAGGTCAAATTTCATCTGTTAGGAGATGTTATGGTCCAAAATTCTTACAATTACGTGCAATACTGTTAAGGTAACAAAATAACTCAAGATGCAGTTAAAGATGCACTCCCGTTTTATTTTCGTGTTTCACTTCGAAAAATGTATTAATTTTTTTAATTGAAATTTTCCCAGCAATATAAAGTTATCCACTTTTGGATAAGACATACAGAATGAAACAATCCACCGACGTTTAGTTATTGAATGATTTCTTCACAATTAAAATTTAAACTTTTGGCTGCCTGCCAATAATTTGGCACTTGCAGGGTGGGTTCATTTGTGTACAAAATGAAACCCCTTTTTAGGGGGTTGCAGACACCCAAAATAGGAATAAAGCAGTTTTTTTGTTGGAACAAAAAGTACTAATTGAAAATTTGCAAGGAGAAAAAAATCCACTTTATGAAGAACACAGAGTATGCAACTTTAAGCAAAGAATTGCAAATTATGACATTTTAATATAAAGTAAATAGTTTGTATCCCACTGTATCTATTTACTTTAGCATTGACCATAGGACATGAAACCTAAATATTACTGGCATTAATTTCAGTTACTCCAAATAGAATATCCCTCCCAGAATTAGACCCCACCAGGAATTTGCGCAAAGATAAATAGATCGGAGTAATAAATGATACACCAAATGTCAGAATCCCAGAGATAGTGTTTGCACGTGTTTGTTATTCCTGCCAACTGGAGCTCAATATTCAAGATGCTATTTTGGATCCGGTTGTTGTCCTAGGCTAACCTTTTCAGATGCTGGGCTGAGATTGATGTTAACTAAACAGTTTCCGGCCAGAACTCGGATGAGGACTGCCTGCTGGCTTGTCATAGCAGAGGTAAAAAAAAGATGCCTTTATCTGCATTAATTCTTTTTATCATGATTTATTAAAAAAAAAAAAAAGAAATTTGTCAAAGATATGGACCCTTTGCATGGTGCACCCTCTCAGAGGACAGATTTGGCACTCAAATTCAGTGACAAAGAAAGTACATTGCATCTACTATGTGTATCATGGAAGAACAAACAACCTGCCATCAGATGTGACATTCTATGTGGAGAGGAGCAAATTGTGGTAAAGTTGCTTGCCTAAGAACACAAGCTGTAGCTCCAGCCTCACATGCAGGGCCGGATTAAGTGTTCGGTTGGCGCTAGGAACGAGTGTTCCCTAGGCCTACTTTCTGTCCAAGGCACCATCACCAATTTCATGTTTATACTAAACGCTGTACTAAGCAAGCCTGGCCAAACTGGTAGCTCAACAAGCCAGTTGGTACACTGTGGTATTTTCGGCCCTCAAATTTTTCGTAGGCCCCCAATTTTTTTGTAGATCCTGGGCACTTTGCCTACTATTGGATAATCCAAGCCTGCTCACACTGAAAATCGAACCCACTATACATGTATATCAAATTATGAACATCTTGCATATTACTTAGACACAATGCGATTCAGGCGGACTCAATAATTTGATGGATTGTGCACCAACAGTTTTTTCAATCACTGGAAATCTCTTTTCTTTGTATCTGTTTCAGTTTTCCTATATATTGCGAAATGAGGAAAAATTGGTGAGTGTTTCCTTACTCAAAATACGCTTGTGTTTTTGTGTTTTCAGCAAAAGCACGCTATGGAGGCCCAGAAGGAGGCAGAGTTTCATGCTTTCGGGAAGGAACCGACCGGTAACTCTAACGGAGCCCTGGGTGAGGCACATATATCGGCAAAAAGACCAAGGTAAGGATTAAATCGTCATCTTACCCAAATCTTGGAGACATTGTTGCTATCAGCTGGCATTGCTGTCACTGTAAACGGTTTAGCTGCGTTCGCGTTGGACTTAAGTTTTGTGTGAAAAGTTACCGGGTGTGATTGTTAACATTCCATTGTGGTTATTCTACCATGCGTCCGCACTTTGATTATTTTAGCCTGTGGAAAGTCAGTTGTTGCATAAACTTTATTGTACCATTTTCTCTCAGAATCTTTTGAAGACACCCTGTTGTCGACCTTTTAACCTAACACCAGATGTGGTTGTTGGAAAATGTGCCAGATTATATCGCAGAACACAACAGAAATATAGTAGAATCTCACATACATCGGTGTGGAGAGGGAGGGGGGGGGGGGGGGGGGACAAAGGGGGCAAGTGTTTGGTTTATACCATTGTTTGAGTAAAACATTGTAAGCAAATATCGTTTGAGGTAAAAAGACAGGATTTTAGGATGGGTTGACCTTTAATTTCTGATGTGAAGTGTTTTGTGTTCACACGCCCATGCTCACGCACATTAGCGTGAATTTGTACAGGCCTCAAGGCCAGTTTATACTTAGTGCGACAGCGAACGCTAATGTGAAATGGTAATGTCATCGCAAGTGCAAATTCTCATTCGCGTGAAGTATGAAATGACATTTAGGGTACATTACCAACCAAATGCATGCACAGGTTCTAACTGAATTGTGTAAAGAAAAAGAAGGATGATTAGATTCAAAAAGTTTATGACAACAATCATGTTATCATGAATGATGCACTCTGTGTTGTCCATGTGGGTAATACATGAACTTACAAAATGTGTCATGTGAACTGTTCTCAACCACTTATCTTTCACATTTTAATACCATAGTGTATTACTTTTATATGGTAGTTTTGATTAAAGGCCAGTACGTACTTTGTGCAAAGAAACGAATGCAAAGTAAATTGTGACGTTACAGCAAGTATATTCACAAAAGTTCAAACTCGTTCGACTTTTTGTCTGTTCAACAAATTCACTTCATGAACGTAAAGAAATGAGCTTGCCTCATGTCTTATGTGCCCTCATTATTCATGTTACTTTCATGATCAGTTTGCCTCGTGAGGAAATCACCGACGATGAAATCAGTGCCGTCATCGAGATAGAAGCACCAGACGGTCTGTGTCAAGTACCAGGTCAGTCTGTAGTCATGCATATTCATCAAATGTGACCTGACCCATTAAAGTGAGGCTTACGTCACTAGAGCTACATTTGAGTTAACAAGCCTTTAATGAAACTTGCACAATTAAAATCTAATGGAACTGTTACTGATTTTACTCCTACACACTGTTGTGTATACTGTCCGAGGGCATACACAAATAATTAACCCTTCACCAACTATACTACATTGTATTACATTATTTTGATTCCCCGATGAATCCACAAAACCAGAGAGTGTTTGGGAGGTTTTTGGTGGTACAGGGAGTGACAGTTGGGGCAGTTTGGAACACTACAGGGAGAAAGGGCTGGACAATTTAGGACGATACAGGGAGTAACGGGCAGGGCGGTTTGGGGTGGTACAAGGAGTAACAGGCAGGGCAGTTTGGGGGAGTGCAGGGAGTAACTGGCAGGGCGGTTTGGGGAAGTGCAGGGAGTAACAGGCAGGACAGTTTGGGGTGGTAAAAGGAGTAACAGGCAGGGCAGTTTGGGGCAGTATAGGGAGTAACAGGCAGGGCGGTTTGGGGCAGTACAGGGAGTAATAGGCAGGGCGGTTTGGGGGAGTGCAGGGAGTAACAGGCAGGGCGGTTTGGGGCAGTACAGGGAGTAATAGGCAGGGCGGTTTGGGGGAGTGCAGGGAGTAACATGCAGGGCGGTTTGGGGAAGTGCAGGGAGTAACAGGCAGGACAGTTTGGGGTGGTAAAAGGAGTAACAGGCAGGGCAGTTTGGGGCAGTATAGGGAGTAACAGGCAGGGCGGTTTGGGGCAGTACAGGGAGTAACAGGCAGGGCGGTTTGGGGGAGTGCAGGGAGTAACTGGCAGGGTGGCTTGGGGAAGTGCAGGGAGTAACAGGCAGGGCTGTTTGGGGGAGTGCAGGGAGTAACAGGCAGGGCTGTTTGGGGCAGTAAAAGGATCACAGGCAGGGCGGTTTGGGGCAGTACAGGGAGTAACAGGCAGGGCAGTTTGGGGGAGTGCAGGGAGTAACAGGCAGGGCAGTTTGGGTCGGTAAAAGGATCACAGGCAGGGCGGTTTGGGGCAGTACAGGGAGTAACAGGCAGGGCAGTTTGGGGTGGTAAAAGGAGTAACAGGCAGGGTGGTTTGGGGCAGTACAGGGAGTAACAGGCAGGGCAGTTTGGGGGAGTGCAGGGAGTAACAGGCAGGGCAGTTTGGGTCGGTAAAAGGATCACAGGCAGGGCGGTTTGGGGCAGTACAGGGAGTAACAGGCAGGGCAGTTTGGGGTGGTAAAAGGAGTAACAGGCAGGGTGGTTTGGGGCAGTACAGGGAGTAACAGGCAGGGCGGTTTGGGGGAGTGCAGGGAGTAACAGGCAGGGCGGTTTGGGGAAGTGCAGGGAGTAACAGGCAGGGTGGTTTGGGGTGGTAAAAGGAGTAACAGGCAGGGCAGTTTGGGGTGGTAAAAGGAGTAACAGGCAGGGTGGTTTGGGGCAGTACAGGGAGTAACAGGCAGGGTGGTTTGGGGGAGTGCAGGGAGTAACAGGCAGGGCGGTTTGGGGGAGTGCAGGGAGTAACAGGCAGGGCGGTTTGGGGAAGTGCAGGGAGTAACAGGCAGGGCAGTTTGGGGTGGTAAAAGGAGTAACAGGCAGGGCGGTTTGGGGCAGTACAGGGAGTAACAGGCAGGGCGGTTTGGGGGAGTGCAGTGAGTAACAGGTAGGGCGGTTTGGGGAAGTGCAGGGAGTAACAGGCAGGGTGGTTTGGGGTGGTACAAGGAGTAACAGGCAGGGCAGTTTGGGACACTACAGGGAGAAAGGGCTGGGCAATTTAGGACGGTACAGGGAGTAACAGGTAGGGCGGTTTGGGGTGGTGCAGGGAGTAATAGGCAGGGTGGCTTTGGGTACCTTCAACTTTGACATTAATCTAGCACCTGCCATCTTCGCGAAGGGAACAAATTGACCAGCTATGGTTTCCCACACTATATGGTACAGGGAGTAACAGGCAGTGTGGTCTGGTACAGGAGTAACAAGAGTAACAATACTAGTAACCTACATGAACTTGTAACAGATATCTTACTTAAATGCTGTTAATATTGGTGTGTCATTGCTTGTATTGCAGAGGGGAAATGTGCCATATTGAGATGGTTGATGTGCCTGCCTTTGAGCACGCTGCTGTTCTTCACAATACCAGATTGCAGGAGAAAAAGGTACGTGTTTTAATTTTCATTTTGGAGAACCAGTCATGAACATTATTAACAGCATGAATGCTAATTTGGCTGGTGACCCTTTTTTGTGAAGGAAATATTCTCTGTGTTAATTTCGTTACACTGCTTAACACTAAGCAGAAACGTGCTAACTATAGCAGAGAATTGTGCTAATCTTAATCAGTATTTCATGGCGCTGATGCACCAACGGTTAAGTGCGCATGGAGATTTCTGTTGTTGTGTCACTGATTTAAGCAACTTTTTCCTCCACGTTAAACGTGCCTTTTGCTTACTGCAAACTGTCTTCATGAAATAGACAAAGACTCTGTTTGCAGAAAATCGTGTGCTTGGCAGCGCCATGAAATTGGGCCCAGGACGATAAAAGCTGACCTGTCATAAATGTGTTCCTTCCGCAGATTTGAAAATTGGTACATGGCCACGTTCTTCATGTCTGTGCTTTGGATTGCGATGTTTTCCTACGTCATGGTGTGGATGGTTGCGCTAATCGGCTTCACGTTGCACATCCCGGACACCGTAATGGGTCTCGCGTTTCTTGCCGCAGGAACCAGTGTGCCCGATGCCATGGCAAGCCTTATAGTCGCTAGACAAGGTAAGCAGGCTGGATATATATAGTTTGCTTTGTAGTTTGGTGCCTGGCACCCCAGGAACCTGTTGGTAATTATACAGATTGTTGTTCCAAGTCCAGCCAGTGGGGTTGAGGTGCCTGTGTGCTTGGGCGGGATACTTTGTCGCAATCTGCTTCTCTGCACTCATACGGCCATACGGCAAATGGTTCATTGTGCGTAATTGGCCCAGGCCCAGTCAGACATATATGCAGACCCACTCACGGCTAGCTGTTAAATGTGTTTGTCCAGACCTGCACAGAGGAAAATCAGGAAACTTTGATTTCTTCACAAGCCAATCAACCATTTCAAACTGAAAGAATCAATTAAATCAGGCCGTGGTAAGTCAAGCTATACCATTTTTCGAGTACTGCTATTTGAGTACGAGTACTTTGATGATGGAGTACAATTTGGACATATCGAGTACGAGTACTTTGCTACCCGAGTACAAGTACCGTCATTTCGAGTACAAGTACTTTCACATTCGAGTACGAGTACTCTAAAAAAAGTACTCGAGTAGTACTCGAGTAGTACTCGAGTACAAGTACTGAGTACTCGAGTACAAGTACCGAGTACGAGTACTACAACACTGTGGATAACATTTATAGCAGAGATGGTTATTGTGATTAAATATGCCATCAGCACTAAAAGAAAACAATAAGCTTTATATTCCAAAGATGGTTTCAGGGATGCTTTATAAGCCTGATGAGCAGGGGTAATAATGACACGCTCCGTACCATGAACAGCATATATGGTAAAAATCTACTGATACCACGTGGTACATCTGCAGCATTTTTAGAGCGCTTGTGGTCAGTGGTTACGGTGTTTGACTCATGTGTCTTGGTACGTGGGTTCAAACACTGACGGGGAACATGGTGCTTGTGTTCTTGGGTAGGACACTTTACTACAATTGCCTCTCTCCACACACAGGAGTATAAATGGGTACCTGTGAAGGTAGAGACCAGAATGCGCTGATCTCGAGGAGGGGTAATAATTGTGAAGCTCTTTGACACCTTTGGTATAAAGCGCTATATAAGCACCTCATCATTATAAGATTTGTGTAGTTTATAACTTCTTGAAAAACTTGCATTATACGATTAAGATTCTTGACTGTCAATTGTTTTTTTTTACCCGTTTCTTCACTTTTAGGGCTTGGAGACATGGCAGTATCCAACAGTATTGGTAGCAATGTATTTGACGTCTTACTTGGTCTGGCACTGCCGTGGTTCATCAAGACTACCATGATTAACTACGGATCAGTCGTAAGTCCATAACTTTTGCTTTATGCCATTTGTAACCTGGTGAATTAAAGTAGGGTAGCCTCTCTTGGAGCACCCCTAGAGCAAGTAATGAATATGCATATCTATGGCGTCGTTCATGAATAATTTCCAACGATGGTTGGCCAACCATCGTTAGAAAAACAACTAACTTTTTTCAAATACTGCCTCCACTTTACCAAATTTAGTTAGTCCACATTTTGTTTGCAATGGGTTACACATCCATGAACGGGTGCAAGCCAGCTAGTCTGGTTGCCTGGCTTTCAATTCCCTGACGTCTATAAATTGCTCCGTTTCGTCTACAAAAAACTACAAGAACAGCATTTTTTTTCTTGGTTATTCCAGCATCCATGAACACAAAACTTTAACAGCAGGGTAGGTCATTTGCCATTTGTGCATTTTTTTCGTTTGAAGCAACAAAAGTGCTCAAAAGGCGCTTAACAACGAATGCATTGTTGGCAATGGCCTTCTTTCATTGTTTTCTTCAAAATGACAGCATGCCAGAAAGAATAATTTCACAGCGAGTTTCGGGCCATTACTGTCTTTAAACCAATTAAGCATTTCATCAATAATTTTGGATAGCTGCAAATGATCTACTCTACCTTTAAACAGGTCGGTGTAGCAATATTTGGTATAAAATACCAACCCCCCAAATCCAAATACCAGAATACCAACCCCCAAATCCAAATTACAGCAAAAACAAATGTGGTATGTTACCTTCAGAGTGTATTGCATTGAAGCGAAGAAATGCTACCTAGCTGAATCCCATGAATATTTGAATCATTCCATTTTGACATCTGTACCCTTTGTTCCAGGTCCGGATCAACAGCAAGGGACTGTTGTACTCGGTCGTCCTCCTCTTTGCAACAGTAGCAATCACTGTGAGTATTGTGATTTGTTAGTGTATAGTGGCTCTGTGCGTGAACTTAATGAGGGCGCTGTACAAGGAATGTAGGCGAGTCCATCACAGGTTCCAGCAGCCGATTTCACGAAACCTAACGCAATGGCGCAACTCTGCTTGCGCCACAAGTTATTGCGTAAGTTGCGCAACATTTCACGCTGTGCAACATTTCACTTATGACACATTTCACGAAAGTCGGATAGTGCGTAGGTCTGTGACTTGCGCCATAAATTATGGCGTAACTTGCGCAATCATTTTAGGTGGCGTAAGTTGTGGCATAGTGATTGAAAATGACATATTTTACCAGCAAATCGGCACTGCCACGGTCGTAGAGCCTGTTATTGCACAACTTAACAAGGTTGATACAAGACACTCACAACTTTGTTTGAAGTAAATGAATTTCTATTTTACTCGTAACATAATTTTTGGAGTTGCTGAACGATTCCGAAGAAAGTCGGACAAAATAATTTTCAAAATGGCAGGCTGAGGTGATCCAACGACTGTTTCGCGGAAGAACAAATTCACACACAAACAGCTGTCATAAATAATGTTTTTATCCTCGTCCAAGATGTTTAAATTATTTAAAACGTTGCGCAGCTACGCCAAGTTTCGTGAAATAGTTCGTAAGTTTATTGCGTAGCTGCGCAACAAATTTGTTACGCAAGTGTTATGCATGGCGCAAGCTACGCACAGTTTCGTGAAATTGGCTGCTGCAAGTCCATCACAAGTCACCCAGTCCCAATTCAAATCACAGGTTATTCAAATGAGCTTTGACAAGGCATTCCTATGTTATTGTTCATCCACTGTTACTTGTGACTGGACTTGTGAATGGACATAATTGTGATGGACTTGTGATTGACCCGACAACATCCCTGCGCCGTACAGACTGCTCATAAGAGCGAGTCAAAAAGTGAACAACCTCTTTTGACTGTTACGCCACATGTGAATTTGGTTATATATGCACGACAAAGTCAAACCTGCGCGACAGTACGCACGGCCAATTGATGAAACCTATTCACAGTGTTGACTGGAGAAAAGTGTGCGCTGTGAACAGTAGACAGCACTTTGTGAACATTGGGGCTGTGTCAGATACATGGTATTTTCAAATATTTGATCATCCACAGATTACCTGAAAAGCATTTTTCCGATTCGAATATTCGAAAAATGTGACTGGTATCAAGGAGATGAAGAGAAATGCTCATGATGTCATTTTAATTGTTTAAGTTTGCATATTTGAAATCTCTCAAGTATCAGCAAGTCAGCTACATCAAAAAATATATATCGATGGTCTTAATAATTCTAAAACGAATTGTGCATGCAGATCCTGATCAGTGGACCATTTACTTCCTGAGCAATGTACGCAAATTTCATACAGGGCGTGCGCATGCACTTCCTGACTGGAACACGAAACTTCCAACTGGCACACTCAGTTTATTATGGCGCAAGAAAAATTTGTTTAACTTGTTTCAAAAATTCAAACATTTGAATGAATCCAAGTTCAAATGATCAAATGCCAAATTTAAAACACACAGCCGTGATGTTGAGCTCGACATCTCTATTTTTGTTTTAAGAAATGTACATCTCTTTAAATGTTCTAGTTAACATCATTCCTTCAGGACTTTAAAAAAAAATATATGCAGTTGTTAATGGGCCTTTAAGCTAACGTTATCTTCTTTTCATTCTCTCTCTCTGTCCAGATTATCACAATACATTGTCACAAGTGGAATCTAACCAAGAGAGTTGGTATATTGCTGTTTGCCTTCTACGCTATCTTCCTTACCTTCGCAATTTTGGTGGAGCTCAACGTCTTTGGTTACGTCAACCCCCCGGTCTGCGTACTTTGAAGACGTTTCTTTGAGTGCGCGTCAGGAAGTTAGCCATCAAGTTAAAACTAAGCTATATCAAGTTAAATTAAGCTGAGGGAAATGTGTTAGTATTGCTGACCGTCATTTTTTATTCATCCTTCTATTGGCTCTGTGTGCACACGCCGCACAACTACATCCTCTGTCAGTGAAAGCGCAAACATTACCTGGGGAGCTTCAGTAGAGGGCACTTTGTGACCACTCATGAGCGCTCTGTTGGAGGACTTATTGTGCATGGGTATTTGTTCTTGTGCGCATGGTGCAAAGTACGCACGATTTATTTACTGGGTGTACGCAAGTCTCGCCCATCTTCACACAGGCATGCAACTTTTCCTCAGATCCACTGATTTCCTCATTTGTTACTTCTCATGAATGCCATTTCAAATTTGGAAAAATACTGCACAAAGTCTTGTGTGGTTTGGAAATCCGTGGTTTTTCTTAATTCCCAGTTGCATGTCTGTTCACGTGAGCAGCCAGGCATATGATGACATTTCAGTTTGTAACCGAGAGAGGGGGTACAAAAATGTACTTGTGCACGGAGTCCAGTTGGCTGTCATTTTTTTTTCGTTATGCAGCCAAGGACACATGCACCCCTTGTCTCATGCTTGTACAAGTGCTAATATAAGTAGCAAGTAACATGAACGCACTCAGTAAGTTGTACACAGTACTCATGACTGACATTTTTGAACTTGTGCGCACATGCAGAGCCTTTAGTTTGACAATGAACATCATCAGTCAGCCGTGGTTATAGTCGATGTAGATGCAATTTGCAACATTTGTAGGATCTGGAACTCTGGAAGCCCGTTTTGGACACACGGCCCCAGATTCTTTGGAAATTAGTCTAGTTCCCGAGATATACACCTCTACATATCCTCATGAAAACTGCTCAAATTCCTAAGCACCAGTCTGTTTTAACACGATGTCTTTTGCTGAGCTTGCAGAAAATATGAATGTCAGTGAAACTTAAACAAATAAAATTCTCTCTACAATTAAATACTTTTTCTCACAATATATGCTATAACTTCTCAAAATCCTTTTCAAAACTAAGTAATTCTGGAAACTTTTCTCTTCGTAACAATAAGTAGGATACATTTCTTAGATCTTTTAAACTGAAGTTGATCTTCAGTGATCTATAAATATATGCACATTTTTGACGAGGATATACACTTACAAGATCTATTTTGAGAGATTTCTAACTGTAGCTTTCATTCTAAGTCAGTGTTTAGATCTTGAGAGGTTTTTGGAGAAACTTCAATCTTTCTGAGGAGTTGGGGCGTATTATTCTGTGTGTGCCTGAGAATTATTATCTAAGAATTGCGCATGGCTTAGTATTGTGGAAGACAAAAACAATGGACTTTTTTCCTGAAGCAACGTTTTGTTTTAAGTTTTCAAGGATGAAAAACGTTTCAAGTGTTGGTCAATTCAGCAAATGTTTACGAGAATGTACTTTGCTGTTAATTTGCTGCATGTATCAAAGGATTGATTTGTGTGTCTTTTTGTTTGGGGGGGGGGGGTCTAACAAATTTTTGCCTCTTTTAGCCCAAATCAGAGTAGGTTGGAAGAGTTTTTGAGACATCTAACTATACTGTATACTAAGAGTTTTATGCCTGCATTATACAATAGTTATCTTTTCAGTATTTTGCTGTATGAGTATTGGAAGGGAAAAAAATGCAATGCTTTGGCTTTGTTGCTAGATTTGCTTTTTCTTAGATACCGTAGTCTCATGATTTGAGACGAGGAAATGATCTTTTTTGGTCATTCATTATTTTCCTGTACAAAGTCGATTTGCTCTGTAATTTTTCACAGCATTTACTGTAGACACAGGGTAGGATCAAAAATATTCTGTAAATATCACTAAATTTATAATTACCACTGTTTGTTATTATTATATAATCTTTCAGCCTTCCAAGTGTGGGGGAACAATAATTGATGCGTGGATTGAAGATGTGTAAGTTTAAGTTATTTTGTAAAAATGAGTGTACACTTCAATTATTTGTAAAACTAGTTATCACAGAGGTGCAATTTGGTTTAAAGATCAGCGTTTACAGTTAAAATGTGTTCCCCACCCCCTCCCGGTTTTTTGTTTTTGTTTTGCAATTTTTCCTACCATTTTGTTAAGGAAAAAAAAAGAAAGTAAATCCTCAGGAAAACCCACTGAGTAGATAAAAAAAATTATTGGCAGAATTTTTAAAAACTTTTTTGTACCATGGAAATAATCAGAGTAGGCAGAGTGTACTTACTCCATTTTCTATTTTTGGATATTCTGATTTCTTTTGTTAAAGGGAGCTGAAAAGTTAAAATAAAAATTCTAGTTTGCACAATATCAAGATACAAAAAATTAGAGGTAAAATGGCTGAAGTTGGTTACCAATTCTTCACACGCATGATTTGTTTATAGCATTTCAACTAGTCCAAGAAAACCGACTAGACAGTTACTAATACAGTAAAATAGAATCGTTTTTGCCTTTTATTTAAATTATTTGGAATTGATTGCATATTTCTCGTTTATAATGCTGAAATGCTTCAGTTGATCTAATAATTCGTTTATTTGAATACAGTATTGGAAGTAAAGCCACAAAATGTAGAGATTTGAAAATTTTCAAAAATTTCATGAATTCAAGCTAATCAGACAAAGAATACTGCATCAGTTGAACTAATTATTTGTTTGCTCGAATACAGTATTGGAAGTAAAGCCAAAACAAGGTAGAGAGTTGAAAATTTTTCAAAAATTTCGTGAATTCAAGCTAATCAGACAAAGAATACTGCAAGCGTTTAAAGATAGAAATGTGTGGTCAGAAAATTTCTTTCATTTTCAACAAGAAAATATTAATTTTGTCACGATTGTACCAAGCTGTACTATTCCGTCCTAATTCCACCAATCTTTGTACATTATTCACATTATTGGACTGTATATAAAAGCTCAAGTGACGATCTTCATTTCTCAGTGAACTAGACTTGAAATCAAAAAGCATGAAAATAACTAAATGCTTACAATTCAAAATGGACGAATAATAGATATTCACCATATTGACCATTTATAAAAAAGGCTTCCCGCAGAAATCAAATCCAAATGCGGTACCATTTTCAGGAATTTCCACCTAGTACTCAAACAAAATTTAAAAAACCTCCAAAAACAATAACTTAACTTTGTGGACATATTTAAAGATAAGAGTGCAGTTTTCAATACATTGTCCAATATTCTCCATTTCCAAACACATATACAACAAAGAGCCGGCTGCCACATATATTTGTTCCATTGATATTTGATCCAAGGTTGGACGTCAATGCAATTTACATGCAGGTTTCCCCACCAATCAACCCACTGCGTACAAGTTAGTCACAATTTTGTCAAGATTTGTTTTCTTCGTCAACTACCGTTCTGTAAGATAAGTGCCGCAGTAAGGCTTCTGTAAAAAAAATAATAATAATTGTACATATGTGTAATTATAAATAAATTTATTTCATTAATTTTGCCAGGTTGGTTACATACAGATGTTTTTCACTGCAGTGCAAAACTAAGTGGTTTTTCAAATGTTGTATAATCAGTTTCAAATATTAATAATAATGAATTAACAAACAAAATAAGACAAGATACATGTTACTGTTTATGAGAAAAACTGCAATGTGAGAATTGACTTGTTAAACAGCTTTTATTCCTGATGGTGGCTATCTCAAGTATTTGATGTGTATTGTGTAGAGCGATTAACCATCCAGGGAAGTTTTGTAATATGTATAACATAGTTTATTACTGGACAACAAGTAACAGTTATGTATAAAGTTTAAACTTGCGATCACTGTGTTTTTTTCTGAATCAATATTGAGGCAATAACAAGTATTTTGTTGTTTTCCCCAGCCCTGAAGATATAGTCGAATATTAGAAAATGAAAAGGTGAATGCAACACGTCAAATTGGATTTAGTTTCTGTAAGTGGAAGTGTATGTAAAACGCTTCATCATGAGCTGTTATTTGTCCCCAAAATGGAACTTGTTTGGAAGTAGCTTTCATTGTTTGTTTTATATTTTGAGACTTGAGTAAAAGGCCAGTTCAAAGTCAGCATGAAAGTGAATGCGAACAAAAACGTGTGATGTCACAGCAATTTCACAAAAATTGAACACATTTCAGCTCTGGCGAATTTCACAGCGAATGTTTCGTGACGACCAATTCGCTTCGCATTCGCATGACGTATGAACCGGCCTTTACTGTTGGGAAACGGTGGGTGTTTTTTGTGTGTTCATTTCTACTGAGTGAGCTTTGAGTAGTGTTTGCTTCAATCAGACTAAAGTTAGCTTACACTAAAGCTCAATTAAATGAGACTCGTTTCCGAATAGCGTTCTAGAGTCATGCCGAAGTAAGTTAGGGGAGCAATTTAGGGCGGATTTAGGGAGCAATTGTTTTTTATCGTTAGGATAGCCATGAGTAAATCTTTCAGCATTCATCGTTAATAAATTAAAATAACAAAGAACATACTATGAGATAGCTGCAACGCATATTGTGATTTGAATTGTTAAAAGTTGTCAACAAATGGAGCGACTACCTGTAAAAGATTGATAGTTGCAGTCTACAGGGTAGTGCAAAAAGAAAGAAACCCACTTTTGACAGGAATTTTAACCTGCTCAACTTATTTGAAGTATTTTTTTATACTGTAGTGAAGTATAGCTCTTCAACCATACAAGCTGAAACAAATCTTTAAAACAAGTGCAAGAATAGTGTTATGCTAAGTTGAATACAAGTCGCCAAAATCACTGTTGGACACGTGTAAGTCTAGTGTAGTGTTTTTTGTCTTTAAATCAAGCTCCGGAATTCAGTCAAGCGGATGGAATAAAGCCGTCCGTGGACAAACAAGTTTGGCACATGAAATTTTTTAACTACCAAATCTCAGAGACAAAATATGCATTTGCAATCATTTTTCGTCACTTATGTTGAAAGAATTCTTGAAATATGCTCAACAAGTAGGCGAGAATTGCTGTCAAAAGTGGTTTTCCTTCTTTTTTGCACCACCCTGTAGTCAATGCAAAATGAATACAAAAATGTTGCTTGTCTGAAACCTAAATCTTATGTGGTTTGGTGCAACTCAGGAACTCTTTTCTTGAAACAACGTATATGTGTCTAGCTGACTTGCTGTCTTTGTTTAGGTTGTTTTGTGGAAAACATTGTTGGCTACAGAGTGCCTTTCTGTGGACCAAAAGAGTACCTCAATTTAAAAAAAAAAATAAGTCACCTTTTTTCTATCATACTGTGCACTGACGATGCCTTGTTTTACCAAGGGTAGCTTAAAAATTATGCACCAGCAATTTTAGCAGCATGTCTTGTGGGGTAGGAATTGATAACTTAACTCTCAATAAGTGATTTCAAACTGTATCATGCTAGATTTCTTGAATTAAATTCAATGCCTAGGCAGCGAATGAAAAGTTACCCCTGCCCCCCCCCCAAAAAAAATGTTTGCATACAAAGGTGTCTTAAATTAAATTAGAGAATTATAACCATGTAGCTTCTCCGGTCCCCAACTCCTAACCACAAAAAAGCAAAAATCTGACCAAAGTCTCCTGTTAAAAGAAATATTTATTTAAACGTCAATGTTATGACCTAATACAAACATGGTTTACTGATACTAATTAATAAATATTGAAAACTATAACCAACACATTTATTTTGTATTGTGCAGAGAAATTGAAGTCAGTAAAGTGCTTATCGCCAAAAAAAAAAAAAAATTCATAGGGAAACTACTGCATCACAGCCGGTAGTTCTAATTTTTGTCTCTAAATAAGTTATGTTCACATGATTAATTTGGAATTTTAATTCTAATATCTGTTATAATTATTTGGGTGGATTGCTTGTTTTGTTTAACCCAAATTTTGCTAAAACCATAGATTTGAAAAAAAAGTTTTCAGAATATTGTGTTTGAATGTGATTTGAAATCTTAGTCAAAGAAAGACCCTGATGAGGTTTGTTATTAACGATTAATTGAACGTGATATTTGGAATGATCGTATTATTATTGCCGTATTATTTGTACTTGAATGGATTGTTATAGGTTGATAAGACTGATTTTTGAACACTACCAGGATATATAATATTAAAGTTGTCAAAGCAAGTTGAAAACATTTGTTTTGTTTCTCTAAATCTTGCATTTGTGCCTTGTTCTACTCCAAACCGCTCAGAAGCTTCAGTTTACATCTGGATCCACATAGCACATCCATACACAATGGTGCTAAACACATTAGTCTCTGTGGGTGCAACCAAGTAAATACATTCCCATAGACGCCAGTGATAAATCCCCATACTTCAAAATTCATTTAAAAATACTCAAAAATCTCACAGGTGTTCAGGCTGCACAGAAAAATGATAATCGACATGTCATCTTTCATTTTCCTTTCAATTTTGGGTAGGTTGACCAATGACTTTTTGAGATATTCTCACCCAAAGAAGATCACCCCTAACATGAATATTTCCCAAACTGGAAAACTTAAGTAGCCATTTTGAAAAGGATCCCTCCACAACATGGCTTAATAGCGCCACTTTCGGACCAAATTGCATCCGAAATGCTCAGGATTGGAAGCCCGAGACCAGGCCAGAGGTGCAGTGCCATTTGTCTTCAATCCCCCAATTCCATGGCTCTCAGAACTCCCCAATATAGAACAATTTGAATGTGTAACAATTATTCATGAGCTCGGCGGACAGAGTTTTGGCCTATTTACTTGGTTGCACCCCTGTACTGACAAAAACTACCCAACCTACTCTCTGTAGCACCCAAACCACCCAGGCACCGTATGGTTTAATTTATGGGTTCAGCTATGAACAAATACAATGGGTAAATTATTTATTACTCCACATACCTGTGCAATTATCAATACCAATGAATAACTGAAGTCTACTGAATACCAAATTTCTGTCAGACCTCAGGGGTTTGTTTTACACTGTGGTGGAGACTGAGAAGTATCTTTTGCAGACAAGGAATTGTTCCAGATTTGATCACAAGCCCCGCCCACATTTTGTTTGTTAACATTTCTCACAGTGCTCGTGACCAAGTTTGAACAAGTTACCATGGTCACCTAACCAAAAGTCATGATCCAATTGGTCACTGAGCTCGACTAATTGCAAGGCAGGATTGGAAGGGTCCGTGCTGCCAAGAAGAACGATGATTTGACCGACAAAAATGATGAATTTGGAGGGGGGGGGGGAGTATGGTCGACACACTGACCATTCAGGTTGTAATTTCCCATGTGTAGCACGATATGGGACAGAGGGAAACCCCCCCCCCCCCCCCTCTGTTGTGTTGGTCATTGTGATACCAGAATCTCAGGAATTCTTTTGAGATATCTAGGGGGATGTGTTAGGTAACAAATAGTCTAGGGTGTGTATAGGGTGTAGGGAGATTGGGGGGTACCCTTCTGTTCCATGTCGTGCATATATAATTTCTGTCCTGTTTTCACAACACCACTGGAACGGAACTCTCACGAAATACCCAAATACCGTTTGACCACTGGTATAAGTTCAGGGAAGGTTGGGACCTCAAAGTGTCCCCGGTCATGGAACTTGTGTAGTTCAGGCCTCAGATTGTCTATGACTTCTTGCATCTCGGCCCATTTGATGTAAGGGTCGTCCGTTGAGCCAAAGACAGTGATGAATTGGGCATTGGCTTTCATCTTGTTCCACTCCCACGGCCGGTCATAGTAACCTGCAAGTAAACAAACATTTCTTTTTTTTAATGGACTTTGCCAACCAAAAACGCTGAAGGTCACACACTATAAGGAAACAAACAAGAACTAAATGATTGAATCCTTAATTCATCCATGCCTGTTTACAAATAAAAGCTTCAGAGAGTCTATATGACGAAGGCTTCAAAGCTCTATTTTGACTCTTTGGGGCCCAGGGGCATTGCCAGACCAATTTAAATAGAGGGTGTGTGACAATAATTTACTGACAGGTCATCCATGCTGGAAGGTAGCCTGGGATTTTTTGTCCACGATGTGTCCATGGAAGTCGCCGAAGCCACTACCCACAGACATGTATGTTACTGTTACTGCCAGCCATAGCCAGGTAATTAAGTAACAGTCTTTCTTCCTATTAAGATAAACAGTGCCCTCTATTGTCCATGCACAAATCCAATAAGATGTGAGCAATCCTCACCACTCAGTTTTTCGTTTTCTTCTCCCAGGTCGGTAACACAGGGCGATACTAGGATGATGCTATGCACATTGTGGGATTCAACATACCTACGATACATTGGGGAAAAAAGTGGAAATCTTGTAAAACACAGATTGTTCTAAGTAAAGAACAAAATATTATCCGCGTTCCTTTCAGGAACATTTTTCAATCAATCTTTAGTTTCAATATAATTGTTTTACGATGAAAAAGTTAGAGTTTTTTCAACATTGAGACACACACTGAAGATCCTTACACTCTGATGTGATTTTTTTCTTGGTTTTTCCAGCATTTATGAACACAGAATTTTAAACAGGTCCATGTGAAACAATATTATTTTGTACCCGTCTTTAGCCTCATTTTGATATCACTTGATTTCCCTCTCATGTCTAAAATACTGAAGAAAAGTCTCCTTCAAATATTAAAATGAGGCTCCAGACTTGGTTGGTGATATACTGAGGACCTTTTCTTTGCCCAATGAAAATTCTGGAGAATTTTGCTGGCTTTAAAAAGTTGGCCTGATTTCGTTGTGCATATTTTCAGAACGCAAAGTCCCAGTGTGGTATTGTGCCAGCATTACATTTTGATTAGAATAACAAAATCATGTACCATCTGCTTTTGTGACAAAATGCTTTTAACAGTGCCATGGGCTTTACGAGTGTATAATGATCTGTACTCATGGGCGTTGCCAGGATTTTTTTCCAGGAAGGGGGGGGGGGGGCAAAGCACATTTCCCCCCAAATTTCTTAACTTTTTCAACAAATGTTCCCCTACCCTTACCCCCCCCCATCATATTGACAGCAATATATGGCTTCGCACCTCTTTTTTCCCTTCCCCCCCCCTTTTCCAGGGTGCGCCCCCCCCCCTCACGACACCTATGTCTGTACTCATCAACTCATATGAAATGGAGTTTTCACTTCAACTTTCTGCCAGCACAATTTGTCTACAGTCCTGCCCAGCATTGAAGATGCTAAATTCAGGAATCCCTCCATTCTATCGCCATACCTCATTGTAGCCTCTGCTCCGGAGCAGTCTCCAATGACGAGAGTGTGTTCATTACATCGCATCTCATCTCGCATGAAAGGGATCCATATGCTCTCTCTAGCGATATCTATAAAGTTTAGCAAAAACATAAGAAAAACTACAGATTGCAAGAAGGGCAAGTTATTGAAGTTCACACATCATTTCAATTCAAAATGTTGTAGGCAAATTGATTTCTTAAAGGTAGTCCATCATTTGTCATTTGTGCATTTTTTCGTTTGAAGCAATAAAAGTGCTCAGAATCTAAAGGTGGGAGCTTAACAACCAACCTGATGAAGTTTTAGCTCTGTGAGTGCTGTATATCCTAAGAAAACAATATTCTAGGATCTCGATTTCAGAATTCAAAAGTATCCGTATCATATTTTGAATTACGCCCGAAATCAGCCGGAATGCGTTCTCATTCAGCCGATTGCAGCTACGCGATGTTACGCACTGAGCCGAAGAATAATAGCAACCGCGTGCACCCATTTACAAACACCCAATTACAAACCAACTACTAATGGAAATTTCCAAAAATGCGTCACTTGACTCATCTTTGGAAATGACCTCCTTTTATTGTTTTCTTCAAAATGACAGCATGCCAGAAGGAATAATTTCACAGGGAGTTAGTGCCATTACTTACCAAGTAAGCGTTTTAACAATAATTTGGTCAATACTTTTTTTTTATACTACTCTACTCTACCTTTAAAAGTAATTTGCATCGTACAGTGTATTGGTCCTGTGGTTTGCAAAAGTCATAAAAGCAAACTATCGGCAACATAATGCGAGGTTCTCTAACTTGAAAAATGTTTGATTCTTTGGTAGTTTTTTAACATACCTGGATCAGGCATATTTCTTAATATACACTCCACTCCCTCAAACTAGAAAATGAAAAAACAAAAAAACATACTTAAGTAAAAACAAAACAAAACAAAACAAGCACGTGTGCGGAGTAGAAATAAAACAAATATACATCTCAAAAAAAAAAAAAATCATACCAGAAATAAAACAGGTACCGGTGTCACATGAAAATCCGACTCCTATGAAAATCGGACCCCTTTTTCCCTATTATTGGTTAATCCCTCGCACCTGACAGGTCACTCTCCCGAAACGATCCTAAAAATAGCATAGTATCGTACTCACGCGTGCGCAGTACTACCAATGAGTTCACATTTCATGGAGTCGGATATTCACGCTACACCGGTACTAGATTTTTCAACTTCTTTGACTGCAGAATAAAACTACACACAGAAACAGATAAATACTCTTCTCCTGAGATTTATTACAGTACATCGCTTGTGCATCGATACATTTCTATACTAAACAAGTACACACATTTTTAAAAAATTCTTCATACAAACCAGCCTGTACTTTGTGTAGCGTCTTTACAGGAACACAACTAAGGGTGCAAACCAGTAAATAGGCCCAAACTTGTCTACACCGGCCAAACATTCAGCCTCAATCAGTCAATCCTCCAAAATCCTCCAAAACCACCCGGTTGATTTTGGAAGACTGAGAACAGTTGGGTTCGGAAACGCCTGTTACCAACATCCATGTTTACAACACCTTAGGCCTCGACTCATTTAAAGGAGGAAACTCTGTGCTCTTCGAACAATCCTAACAAACTTGTATGATTTGTTTTCACGAAAAAATTGTTGTCCCCCCCCCCCTCCCAATTTTGGGCATCTGCAACCCTCTGAAAAAGGGCTTTTATTTTGCGCCAAACGAACCCTCCCTGGGAGCGCCGAGTTATTGTCTGGCAGCCAATAATTCAATCTTTGTGAAGAAATAATTTAATAACAAAACGTCAGTAGATCTTTTCATTTGACCTTAAAGGGAAGATACAACAATTGCAAACATCAACAAACAAATTAAATGATCAAATTATCACGAAATTCTTCACTGGGCTGTTAGGGAATGACAGTCTAAAGCATCCCGTACAATCCTGGCTCCTGGTGTGCTGACATTTTTAAGTAAAGTGGTATTTTTGTGTCAATTTCCAACGCTGGTCGGCCGACCAGCGTTGGAGAAAACTGGCTTTTTTCAAAACTGTCTTCCTTATTTTTCTATTAGTTATTCCGCATTTTCTTTGCAATTAATTACACACCAGCTAGACTGATTCTCTGACCTCATAATTTCCCAAGGTCTATAAATTGCTTCGTTTCATCTTAAGTCGGGTCGGGGAACCAGACTACAAGAACATGATTGGCTTTCTTGGTTTTTCCAGCATCTACGAACCTGAAATGTGAAACAAGTCAGTTTATCAATATTTGCTATAACATACTATTCCTCCAAGTCCATTTAATTCTGAAAATTACAGCAAAAGCATATGTTGTACATTCCCTTTAACTCAAAAATTAATAATGGGTCTCATATTTCTCATAAACTGTATTTACCTTTCTTTAATAATTGACATAATTTCCAGCGCATTGAGTACCAAATTGTTGGTAGATACGTGCGCTATATAAGACTCCGTTATTATTATTATTGTAGCACCCAGATAATTATGGTGTCTTATGCTACCCCTATCATTTAGATGCCCCCTCTGGAAGTTCCCCCCCCCCTAATTTTTCAACAGCCTGTTCAAGGAACAGCCTTGACACAGAGCCCCAGTGAGTTGGTCAGTGGTTATTCTTAGCCATTCTCATACTGGATGACTGTGAGTGAGCACTGCATTAAAGTTTGTTAGCCAACCGTATACTCACTGGACGTTCTGTGTCATCTATTTGCAGGTATGTGGAGTATCATTTTATTTGAGTTGTCAGCAACTTTTTATGTATAAATCCTCTTGATGTCATTTTAGTTTATTTAATCCCTTTTGAGATGAGGATTTTGATTGTGTATTTCTTAGCATCGAGCACACTTATTTTACTGACGGTGGATCCCGGTTCAGAGTTTTATTCAAGGATGTTTTCCTTTTTCCTGATGATATTGTGATTTATTGTTTGGGTCTCTGATTGTTCAGACTTTATAGATGTGATTTAGGCAGAGATTTATGTTTGATTACTTTTCCACCTTTATGTTTTCTCTGTGGGAAAAGTCATTATAGGTTTTCACTCTTGTAACTTTGTAGCATTTGCAATGTTCGTGTATTTGTATGTACTGTATAGCTATGCACTGTAGGTATAGCACCTCAGACCATGTGGTCTCACTCAGAACAAAGGAGCCTGTGTGACCATCCTAGAAGCATAATTAGCACTAGGCCCTGGGGCTTGCCTGTTATCAGGCTAGCCTGGAATAATGTCTCTGGTTTATCTAGAAGGTGTAGGATGCTCCCTTGGTTTAAAATCTGAGAGGCAAGTGCCAGGCTAGGCAGGATTAGTGAATGGCTGACTGAGCTCACTTTGTTTATTGGGTCCAGAGCCTTGCTAATATTCGGGCCAGGAAGTTAATGTTTTTCTTTATTCTAGTAGGTTAATGTTTTTCTTTATCTTGTTTCCTGTGAGAAAGTGGACAGGGAGAACACTGTTATTTTCCAAGTTTTCAGTTTCATTTTTATTAGGGACTTAAGCAGTAGAGACTTAATTCCTAGACTAGCCAAGTCTGTGAGTCTAAATATTTCTTAGTTATTGATTGCAAGTTTAGAATTGTTTCAATACCATGCTTAGATTTATTTCAGTTTTATAAATCATATAGGCCATTCTCATACTGGATGACTGTGAGTGAGCACTGCATTAAAGTTTTGTTAGCCAACCGTATACTCACTGGACGTTCTGTGTCATCTATTTGCAGGAACATTTAATGAACACTCCGTGGTAACTCTATCGAGCCAACCGGGGGTGCAACATTTGGCGACCACGAAGGGACAGGTGTTTTTGTGTCCACTTCAATGTGGAGATGAATGACAGCGCCTGTCCAGTGACCATGAACCAGAGCCGTACCATGCAGCTGTAGTCAGTAGTTGAGACGAGAACAACCCAGTACTAAACGAGGTTAGCTGGAGCACGGGTGCAGACAAACACCATTAGAGGGACAAGAGGAGCGTCGTAGCGTCCATATTCGCCCTACAAGATGGCCGAGTCAGCTCAGGATGTGTGCCAGCGCCTAATAGAGCAGGTCAGTCGACTCTCACTACTACAGCTACAGGAGGTATGCAAACACCTCGACCTACCAGGATACCAGGAGGTGGAATGCCCCAAAGCCCTTAGAAGGAAGGTGAGCCGCAACCTACTGCGTGAGGAGCTTGAAGAGAAAGAAGATGAGGGGCTTTCCCTCTACACAGACCTGCGAGACTTCCTCAAACAGATCGTAGTTGCAGAGAATCTACCAGCTGCGGACCCGAAACCTGAGCAGAAGCCATCGACAACCCCAAAGCTGGATACCACTCCAGCCAGCTTGATGACCTTGACCCGCAGGGAATTCAAAATATCGGGACAGATTGGCGAGCCGGGACAGCGAGACCGCCTGTCCTTCTCCAGCCTCGCCCATCAAATAGAGAGTGGCCGTGCCAAAGGTCACAAGGAACGGGAGATTGTGGAAGCCGTGATCCGTGCAGTGGTCCCAGGTTCAGCACTACGCAGCTATCTAGAGGGCAGAGCGGGACTGACGTTGCCCGTACTTCGTCACATCCTAAGAGCACACTACCAAGAGAAAGACGCGACAGAGTTATACCATCGATTGTCGAGACTGGCTCAAGACAGCAAGGAGTCTGCCCAAAGTTTTCTGGTGCGAGCCCTGGATCTGAAGCAAAAGGTTATTTTTGCTTCTCAGGAGAGCGGCTCTGGCCTAAAGTACGATCCTACCCTAGTCCAGAACATGTTTCTGCACGCACTCCTCACTGGTTTTAGAAGTGAATCTGTGAAGAATGAGCTTCGCTCCCTCCTACAAGATCCCAGTACCACAGATGAGCTACTTTTCGAGAAAGTTAACACGGCAGCAAGCCATGAGATGGAGCGACAAGAGAAGTTGCACTCCAAGTCAGTTTCTGTCCATGAAGTGCAGCAGTATGAGTCAAGCCAGGAAGCAGTGAAAAGGAAACCGAAGGAGGGCACCCTCATGACCGATATTGCGGAGCTCAAAGCTGGAATCATGGAAATTGCGACCATGAGAAAGCAGCTGGACAGCCTTCAGGAGTCACTGACTACACCAGCCAACCAAAACCACCAGCTACGACGACCGTCATCCGGCCGCCCGCTGAAGAGGGGATGTCGACACTGCCAGCAGAATGGCAATGGCGATACTTGCGACCATTGTTTCAAATGTGGCTCAAGTGAACACTACGCCCGAGGTTGCCGCACTAGGAGTTCTCAGTCGGGAAACGAGCAAGGGTTGCTGCCACGGGACGGGCAGTAACCAGTGATGTCAAATTCCTTCAGTCCCAAATGTGTTGTGTTTCTCCCTCAAAGCAAACCGCCGTAACACGCCTTATCGGCAAGAGATGTCTGGTCAGCTGCATGATAGAAGGCGTGAAGACCCAGGCTTTGTGGGACACCGGAGCCCAAGTCTCCATCATACCATCACATTGGAAGGAAACCCATTTGCCAGGTTTGAAGTTACGCCCCCTATCAGAACTTCTTGGTGGAGACGATCTCAGTCTCACTGCAGCAAATGGCACAGGTATTCCTTTCGAGGGCTGGCTTGACCTGGCTTTCCAGTTGACCGTGGGACACAGTCGTGTCATCAGCGTTCCAGTTTTGGTTGCCAACGGGATCACTGGAGTACCTATAATAGGGTACAATGTCATAGAGGAAGTTGTCCAAGGCGGAGATGAGAGATCGCTTCCATCAGAAGCAGTTCGAGCAGCTTTTCCGTCGATGAGAAAGAGTGAGGTGATGGCTCTGACGAGCCTCATACAGCAGGAAACCTCAGGTGATATTGGCGATGTTGTTGTGGGGAGACAGAGCATCACGATTCCCAAGCAGGGTGCCGCCATAGTACCATGCCAGGTTAAAGCAGAACAGTTGACTCAAGGTAATTTCGCCTTATTTGAACCTTCAGTTACCATGATACTCCCTGAGGACCTCCATGTTGACCCTGCCATCGTTCAGCTTAAGAAAGGAAGAGGAACATCCTGCAAGGTGTTTATCTTGGTCTCAAACTTGGCAAGCCGGGACGTGGTCCTCAGAAGAAGAACCCCCTTGGGTTCCCTGGAGCTGATTGACACTCTTCACACCCTACCCAGCCAGGCTCACGAGGCAAGGAACCCACATGTCAAGGGTGTCAACTCTATTTCAACAGCAAAGTGTGATGACGCTACGTGGGTCCCTCCCGTTGATGTCAGCCATTTGACCGAACCACAACGTCAAGCAGCCATCCAAATGTTAAAAGAGGAAGCTGCCGCTTTTGCTAAGGACGACAATGATCTCGGCTGCATCGAAGATCTTCAAATGCATATTCGGTTGAAGGACGATGAGCCGGTGCAGAAAACATACATGTCCGTGCCCCCGCCACTTTACAGAGAAGTGAAGTCTTACCTGAAAGATTTGCTTGACCGGGGTTGGGTAGAGAAGTCCGAATCATCCTTCTCCTCCCCCGTTGTATGTGTGAGAAAGAAGGACGGATCCCTCCGTCTCTGCATCGATTACAGGCAGCTAAATCAGAAGACGATCCCGGACAGGCAACCCATCCCCCGCATTCAGGATGTACTTGACAGTCTTGGTGGTAACTGCTGGTTTTCAACTCTAGACCAAGGCAAGGCCTACCACCAGGGCTTCATGGCAGAGAAAAGCCGACAAGCTACAGCCTTCATCACCCCATGGGGCTTATACCAGTGGAACCGCATTCCCTTCGGATTGATGAATGCCCCTGCAGTGTTCCAGCGGGCAATGGAGACGTGCCTTGACGGGCTGGTCGGTGAGGTGGCCGTAGTATACCTTGATGATGTTCTGGTCTACAGCAATACATTCGAGGGTCATCTTGAAAATCTGCGCCAGGTACTTAGACGGTTCCAAGATCGGGGTGTGAAGTTAAAACCCAGCAAGTGCAGTCTGATGAAAAACGAGGTTCGATACCTGGGACGAATTATTTCAAGCGAGGGACATAAGATGGACCCAGCGGACATTGCGGCGGTTGAAACACTGCGAGACAAGAAGCCCAGCACTGTTGGCGAGCTCAGAAAACTTCTTGGTCTACTGGGCTACTACCGCCAATATATTCAGAACTTTTCAAAGAGAGCCAAAGGTCTATATGAACTCCTTCGAAGTCCAAGTGCCGGTGACACAACATCAAACAGCAACCGTGCTCCTCCTAAGAAGCCCCCACCCAACTCCAAGTCAAGCAAGTGCAAGAACCAGGTGCCATCTAAGCAACCAATATCATGGGAGAGTGAGCATCAGCACGTGCTGGAAGACTTGTTAGACTGTCTTACTCATCCCCCTGTGATGGGCTTTCCAGACCACGAGAAACCTTTCATCCTGCACACTGATGCCTCCAACGATGGTCTGGGAGCGGTGCTGTACCAGGAGCAAGAGGGCAAAATGAGGGTGATAGGTTATGGATCTCGTACACTGAGCCCAGCTGAAAAGAACTATAATCTGCACTCGGGAAAACTTGAATTCCTTGCTTTGAAATGGGCCATCACGGAGAAGTTCAGGGATTATTTGTATTATGCTCCATCCTTCACAGTGTACACCGACAATAACCCCCTGACTTACATCTTGTCTTCAGCCAAACTCAATGCGACTGGTCATCGCTGGGTCGCTGAACTGGCCGACTTCAATTTCAAGATTAAATACCGCCCAGGGAAGTCCAACACAGACGCAGATGTACTCTCTCGTATGCCCCTTGACTTTGAGACCTACAGAGCCCAGTGCACAAGCGAGGTCAGCACCACTCATCTGGGTGCCACCATTGCTGCAGTCAGAGCTGATAGTTCCGGGTGTTTCCCCTGGATTGATGCCCTGTCTGCCTCCACGTCAAACCCAGACGACAGTGTGATGAGCTCCCACCACGTTTCAACAAGAGAACTGAAGGCAGCGCAACGCGATGACAATACCATCGGGCGCGCCATCCAGTTTCTTGAAAGCGGTCATCGCCCAACTAGACAGGACCGGATGACAGAACTGCCCAATACTGTTGCTCTTCTTCGGGAGTGGGACAAGCTAGAGTTGGATGTTGAAGGGATACTCCATCGCAGATCGGGTGGCAAGAAACAATTAGTCCTCCCCCTGAAGTACCATCGCTCTGTCTACAAAGAGTTACATGAAGAGATGGGTCATCTCGGCGCAGAGCGTGTTATTCACCTTGCACGTGATAGATTCTTCTGGCCCCACATGCAACGGGACATCGAGCACTATGTGTCTAATGTTTGTAGATGTTTGCAACAGAGGAAACCAAACCGGCCAACCCGAGACCCTCTCTGCAGCATAGCCACCACATCCCCATTTGAGATGGTCTCCATCGATTTCCTCCATCTGGAGCGGAGTGTTGGCGGATATGAATATATATTGGTTGTTATGGACCATTTTACGCGGTTTGCGCAAGCATATCCAACGACCAATAAATCTGGTAGGACGGTGGCAGAAAAGATATTCAATGATTTTGTCTTGAGATTTGGATTTCCGCACAAACTCCACCACGACCAAGGGAGGGAGTTTGAGAACCAACTGTTTCGGCGACTCCAACAACTATCTGGCATCACCCCCTCTCGTACCACTCCTTATCACCCACAGGGGAACGGTCAGGTGGAGCGCTTTAACAGGACGCTTCTTGGGATGCTTCGCACCCTACCTGAAAGAGAGAAGTCCCGCTGGAAGGAGTCCCTGAACAAGGTGGTGCATGCGTACAATTGCACTCGTTCTGATGCCACCGGATTCTCTCCGTTCTATCTTCTGTACGGACGTCCCCCTCGACTCCCCATTGATCTGACATTTGGCTTGTCACAAGCAAAGGAGCCCCCAAAGAATCATCAAGAGTACAGCCAACGCTGGAGGAGACAAATGGAAGAAGCATATGAAGCCGCCAGGAGGAATGCAGACAAGTCAGCAGCACGAGGAAAACGCCAGTATGACAGGAAAATGCAGAGCACTGTCCTGCAGCCCGGTGATAGGGTCCTGGTGAGAAACCTCAGGGAGACTGGTGGACCAGGTAAACTACGAGCGCACTGGGAAAGTGAAGTTCACACGGTAGTGAAACGGCTTAGTGATGACTCTCCTGTGTACGAACTACGGCCAGAAAGAGGCCAGGGAAGGAACAGGACTCTCCATCGGAACCTTTTGCTACCCTGCAATGACCTCTTACTAGAAGCTCCAACTGTCTCCATCAAAACGCGACCTACAACTGCAACCTTTGCCCGACCTGCACCAGAAGTAAGTGTTCAGCAAGATCCTAGCGACACAGACAGTGAAGCTGAATACGTCCTCCAGATGCCCACTCCTTCCTCAAACACCAATTGCCCTGCAGTGAACACTTCAGGTCTGAACCACGACGCTGAGGTTTTCCTCCCAATGGGTGACATAGGGAACGAGGAAGTGGCAGATGATCCAGTTGCGGCTGCCCCAGAACCGGCAGCAGTTGCACATGACGAGCCTGTTCCAGTTCTAGTCCCTGCAGCTGTTATCCCGGCACCAGCACCTGAACCCGTTCCAGTTCCAGTCCCTGCAGCCGCTAACCCAGCTCCAGTACCTAAACCTGACCCCGTTCCAGTTCCTGCAGCTGTTGGCCCGGCACCAGTACTTGAGCCCGAGCCTATTCCAGCCCCTGCGGTAGTCGGCCCAACACCTGTACCTGAGCCTGTAGCTGAACCTGTAGCTGAACCAATAGCCGTTCCTGATCCAGTTGTACCAGATCCTGCAACCGTACTGGAACATGGGGTCTCCAGTGAAGAAGTGCCAGGACAAGAGCCAGCGGTTCCCGCCCCAGAAGCAGAGGTGGACCCCGGATTGCATGGAGATGCAGGACCCTATCCTGCAAGACAGAGGCAGCCCCCTCAGCGCCTGACCTATGAGCAACTGGGTCAGCCACTACAGACACCAGGCGGTGTCAACGGTGTGATGGCAGCAGGTCTCTTCACTGGCCCTCATCCCTCAGTGCTCTGGCCCCAAGTACCCATGATGCCACAACCGTTCCCCTTGCCGTGGGCTCCCCAACCCATGCAGTGGTCCACACCGATGATGTCGTGGCCCAACCAGCAGGTGCCGATGCTACCGTGGCAACAGTGGTACCAACAACCAACTTGTCAGCAGTCCTAAGCAGCCAGCCATGGACACACAGAGGACATGAACATTAGTTTTTGTTTTGGTTTGCATAACTGTTACTGTTTGTACATCTTTTGGTTTTTTTTTTTTTACCTTCTGGAAATGTTAGGGACAACATTTAAGTTTGCAGGGGAGAGTGTAGCACCCAGATAATTATGGTGTCTTATGCTACCCCTATCATTTAGATGCCCCCTCTGGAAGTTCCCCCCCCCTAATTTTTCAACAGCCTGTTCAAGGAACAGCCTTGACACAGAGCCCCAGTGAGTTGGTCAGTGGTTATTCTTAGCCATTCTCATACTGGATGACTGTGAGTGAGCACTGCATTAAAGTTTGTTAGCCAACCGTATACTCACTGGACGTTCTGTGTCATCTATTTGCAGGTATGTGGAGTATCATTTTATTTGAGTTGTCAGCAACTTTTTATGTATAAATCCTCTTGATGTCATTTTAGTTTATTTAATCCCTTTTGAGATGAGGATTTTGATTGTGTATTTCTTAGCATCGAGCACACTTATTTTACTGACGGTGGATCCCGGTTCAGAGTTTTATTCAAGGATGTTTTCCTTTTTCCTGATGATATTGTGATTTATTGTTTGGGTCTCTGATTGTTCAGACTTTATAGATGTGATTTAGGCAGAGATTTATGTTTGATTACTTTTCCACCTTTATGTTTTCTCTGTGGGAAAAGTCATTATAGGTTTTCACTCTTGTAACTTTGTAGCATTTGCAATGTTCGTGTATTTGTATGTACTGTATAGCTATGCACTGTAGGTATAGCACCTCAGACCATGTGGTCTCACTCAGAACAAAGGAGCCTGTGTGACCATCCTAGAAGCATAATTAGCACTAGGCCCTGGGGCTTGCCTGTTATCAGGCTAGCCTGGAATAATGTCTCTGGTTTATCTAGAAGGTGTAGGATGCTCCCTTGGTTTAAAATCTGAGAGGCAAGTGCCAGGCTAGGCAGGATTAGTGAATGGCTGACTGAGCTCACTTTGTTTATTGGGTCCAGAGCCTTGCTAATATTCGGGCCAGGAAGTTAATGTTTTTCTTTATTCTAGTAGGTTAATGTTTTTCTTTATCTTGTTTCCTGTGAGAAAGTGGACAGGGAGAACACTGTTATTTTCCAAGTTTTCAGTTTCATTTTTATTAGGGACTTAAGCAGTAGAGACTTAATTCCTAGACTAGCCAAGTCTGTGAGTCTAAATATTTCTTAGTTATTGATTGCAAGTTTAGAATTGTTTCAATACCATGCTTAGATTTATTTCAGTTTTATAAATCATATAGGCCATTCTCATACTGGATGACTGTGAGTGAGCACTGCATTAAAGTTTTGTTAGCCAACCGTATACTCACTGGACGTTCTGTGTCATCTATTTGCAGGAACATTTAATGAACACTCCGTGGTAACTCTATCGAGCCAACCGGGGGTGCAACATTATTATTATTATTATTAAGTTGTAGAACTTTTATATTGCTAGGAAAATAGCACAGGAAATGCATCTTTAAGCTCCAAAATGGTTCAAGCAAATTTACAAAACTCAAACCCTTGTAGTTAATTATAAAACAGAAGTTGTAAATACAAAATGCAACAAACTATTTGTAATGAATAACAAAATGGCCTATAATTACAAATGCCTATCACAATGCTGTGGTGGAGGATCCTTTTGTAAATTTATACAAAATGTTAGTAAAATCTAATGTACTCTATGCAGAAAACCTACACTTGATCGAGTGTGCTCGTTATGAGTCTAGCATGCTGACATGTAGCGTGTAACCAATTCTCTTATTGGCTCAGGAGCGACCATCAAACAATGCACTACAAACTTTCTGATTTGCTGAATGACAACATGTAGCCAGATTTCTATATTTAAAAACAATTTCTCTGTGCAGCAATAGGCAAGTTTATTTTTAAGCCTACGAAGCGATGGAATGCCAGATTTGTTTTCTTTCCAAAACATGGAAAAGCCTCAATTCTGGCTATAGCTAAAAAACTGTTATCCCTGGGTTTGTCAAATGCCTACAACTTGTCACATATATCCAGATAAACATAAATATAATGAATACAAGGAACTCTCACTTCAAATAAACGTACTGTTCCTTCAATGGCAGTTTCACATTAATGAGTCAATGTTGCAATGTTCATCAATGTTTCAGAAGTTTTTGGATAGTGGCTATGAGATCAGGAAACACGCTTGTCATGAAGTGCCCTCTGTCGTCAAACTTGTGGCAATCAGGGTTGAGGTTGTCAATGACGACCTGCATCTCTGTCCAGGAGATGAACGGGTCATCCGTGGAACCATAGAGGGCGACAAACTGGGAGTTCATCTTCATCAGTTCCCATTCCCAGGGCCGACTGTAGTACCCTGTACAATGTGGATGGGGCAAAAATGATTGGGAATGAGGATATTTCGAGGTCACATGTCAAATCACCCCAATTAGCGATTTAGTCATTTGACGTTTTTGTTAACTCATCCGACTTGAGTCAACCCGATTAAATTTTTGGTTTCAGACAGATGAACTTAATACACGAGAATCGTGTACTAACAAAGGAAAACACGACCTTAGCAACAAACTGCCATTGCGCAACACTTTTTGTGGTTTATTTGTGTTTGATTGTTTTAACCTGTGCAATTTGTGATCCGTAAAGGCTAGATAAGTCCTATTCCGAATTATGGCCAAATGGAAGAAAAGGACAGTACAGAACATTGTCAACATTGTCAACTATGTTGTAGCGAGGAGAGAAAGAATACTAAAGTTCTGCTTCTTGGCTGCTCTCCTGCTGCTTTTAGCACCATATTACAAATAGCGCACGCTAAAGCACACACAAATATTTTGTTTGTATGGGTGGATTGTGAGATATAGTGCATTGTCAGTACTAAATTACATATATTTACATACATTTGCATTGAGTTCGGCTCATGACTAGAGTTGAAATCAAGTTGCTCTTGAGTCATTCTGAATGACTCAAGACAGTTCATCTTTTGCGTCTAGTCGCTCTTAAGTGTTTCAGACGTTGGACTTTTCATGTACTTCATTCATATCTTGTCTTTAATATGGATAGGCGCGACCCTGGAATGCCTCTCGGAACCGGGTGTCATACCCTCCTGAGTTTTTGTCTAGAAACACTGCCCAACACGACAACAACTTGTCAAAATGAGAAGCCTGTCAACAGATGCAACAGGTCAAAATCCCAAAGCCAAATCAAATAGAGTTTTCATTTATCAATGAAACTTTTTTTCAAAAACCAGATTTCTTTTAAGCAAATGGGAACTTTTCATACTGGTTTTCGTATTTTGCCGATATTTTCATAAACACTGTGCACTCAGTGTTGTCCAAGGGATTGCGAGAAAAAGAAGCTTATTCGGGTGGGACTTGAACCACGCCCTCCATATTGCTAGTGCAGACGTCTTACCACTTGACCACCGAGCCTGCCAGGGTTGGCTTGCCGGCTCGAGTCTGATGTAGCAGCAGGAACTGCAACCAAAAAACTTTTTCTAAGATGAAATTTGTGTTTTGGCATTTGGTATTTTCCCTTTGTAAGTTCGAGGCCGACCCGAGTAAGCTTGTGAACTTATCAGACACCACTGTGTTTAAAAAAAATGTTGGCGAATGGCAAAACTCAATATAATATTTACATCTCCCCGACGCAAATTCTATTTTCTAAGGGGAAAAAAAGCCAACTTACCACTCACTCTTTCACTCTCCATGCCCAGGTCAGTAACGCAAGGGGACACCAAAATTATACCATGAACTTTGTATTTCTCGGCATATCTAGGGGGGAAAAAAAACAACCAAAAATGATCATCGATAATACTCTTTGTTACAACAAATATGCTTATCGTTGGGTCCACTTTCCTAAAGCTGATGAGAACCAGTCACAATTAATATACGTTGCATGGGTTTTTGGTTGGTAATCTGTTTTTGCTATGCTAATTATTTTGCAATAAGGCAGTTTCTGTGCTAACCAGCTCCACGAAATGGCCCTAGGAAATCATGGTTAGCACAAATGAAAACACAATTTGATGTCATGAAACATTCTCAGCAAAATTCACTAATGAGTTGGAATTGTGTGCAACTTTTGTGAATTTGCAAAGTCAGTACTTGCATGACGCAGTGTTGTAGCAGGTGTTTATGACGGATCATAGGAACATCATAAGTCCAGTCACAAGTTACAGGAGATGAACAATAACAAAGGAATGCCTTTGTCATTAGTCATTTGAATAGCTTGTGAGTTGAATTGGGACTGGAGGACTCGTGATGGTCTTACTTAACCCCAGCAGTACTGCGTGTATTTTTTTCGTTTGAAGCAACAAAAGTGCTCAAAATCTAGAGACAGACGCTTAACAACTAACCTAATGAACTTTTAGCTCAGTAAATGTTGTATATTCCGTGAAAACAATATTCTAGGATCTTGATTTCAATTCGAAAGTTGCCGAGTCATGTTTTGAATTGCGCCCAAAATCAGTGTCTGGGACAGCATGCCAGAAAGAATAAGTTCACAGGGAGTTTAGCGCCATTACTAGCTTTAAACCTAGTATGCTTTTCAACAATAATTAGGTCAGTTACTTTTTTTGGATAGCTGCAAATGATATACTCTACTTTTAAGATAAGACTGGATTTTTGGTATTTGACATACCTCATGGCTGCAACTGCCCCACTGCTGTGGCCGACAATTATGGTCTTCTCATCACAACACAGCTCATCATGCATGAAGGGAATCCATATACTTTCTCTGGCCATCACTACCGAAGAAAAAAAACGGTATAATGAATTCATCGGGTGCACCACGAAGTGACATATCGTCTATGGACTTTGTTCACACTATACGTCACTTCGTGGTGCAACAGATGCAAGTGACGTGTCAAAAAAGTTAAAGGCTGGTTTACTTTGTTCATATTAATTTCCAAAATCACAAAATCAACAAATGTCGATGTTTTGAGTTCCCTCCCCCCACCCTCCCAGGAGAAAACAATCAATGGCAAAAGCTAGAATAATAATCAAGTATAAGAGTGCCAGAAGCAAAAACATTTCCCAGAAAGAAATTACCAAAAAATAATACACAATGTTAGTACATATTAATTCACAGACTTCAAAGATTCCAGAAATGTACTGTTCCAACTTAGTTTCTCACAAAATTATTATTAATCAGATATCTTAACAAAGTGCAGAAGTTAATTATATGAAAATAATTCAAATACCTGGGTCTGGCATATTTTTTAAAACACACTCCATGCCTTCCACCTGGAATATAAATGGGACTGAATGTAAACTAGTATGACCATCCGTTCAGTTGATCACTGTCGACACCACCAGTAACAATTCCACAGCCAAAATTTATGAAGATGCTCATCAGCCAAAATTTATAAAGCATGCGCAGTTCAAATGACCTACTAATTCATAAGAAAATCAACTCAAAAATGTTAAGATAATGGTTTAGCGGTAGCACCATGTGACAAATCTCTTTTGTGAGTTTGTGAGGTTCTGCCCATGGTCAGGAGACTGAGTAGATTCCAATGGAGGAGGGGTGTTATGTAGTGTGACTGAAGTAGCCAAGTCAAGACTCAAGATCCCAGATAAGGCCAGAACCACCCCCCACCAGAGGGCCCTATACCCAAGGTCAACTAGCTAGGGCCACTAGTTCCATTATCCTCTCCTTTTAGGCATTACTTCCCACCACATTCAGCATATTCTCCACAAGCACGGCACCCAAGTTTTCCACACAGCACCCCTGAAGTTCCAGAACCTGCTGCAATCACGTAAGGACCGGCAAGATACCAATCGCAAGACTGGCAGGGAAGGGAACTCCCTACCAGACTCATCAATGAACACAAAGCCCACGGCTGAGGCCGAGATTTTGACAAGTCGTCCATAGTCAAGTATTTGCACACCGAAGATCATCAGATCAATAGGCATCGAGCTGAACTCATCACCAGCATCATGCACTGGTTCCCTGCCACCGCATCAGAAAGGCCATTAAAACACAGTACCCCAAGATATCGGTTTCTCCATCAGTGGCATCTGGCGCTCCATCCTCACCACATAGTCCAATGGGTCTTCTGTTCTAGACCAAAGACAACTTAGTTCCCCCACCCTCCCCCTAGTCAGCCTATGGGTCCCCTATACCCTTGGCAACCTTCCCATCAACTCCCTTCCTCCACAACTGATACACTTCACTGATCTTCAAGCATCCCCCAGCTCCCCTGCATGGACTACACACTGACATGCCTCACTGATCAGCCAGCATCCCCCCCCCCCTAGCTAGTCAGCTAGAACTCCACGGTTGCATCCTTCTCGCTCTTCACTGGACACTGCTTCCAGTCTCACTTCATAACACCCTGACTTCTCTGTAATCCCTTGATGGTGCTACCGTTAATCTTTACCTCATAGCTATCTTCACCATGCAAGCCTTCGAATCTTATCAGGAAGATTATAAGACAATAAATTTGCCCAAGGTCCAAATTGGCGCTGAACAATAGCAAAGTTTGGCTTGTTTACACCAGTAACATAAAACTAACAAGAAAAGCCCTCTAGTGACAGCACAAACTTTCCTCTCACTAGCGGGCTTCTTTCAAAATGGTGTAACACTAGATGACAATTTCGGTGCGGAAAGAATGTTGCTTCCTGACGCCACTTTTGTATCTCAATGAAGGTCAGTCATCGCAAAAGTGTTGAAAAAGACATGAATCTGGGAGACTGTCTCAATGTCTGAGTTTGAGAAACATTTCCAATTTTGTTAGAAAATACTTTGAAAGTGCACTCCACTTTCCATAGAATTTGCACACAACCAAAGAAGTGGCATCAGGATAGGTCTACTACATTCTCTCCTTCGGTGCCTTAAGGTACGAAAGCCCATTAGCGCCACTGCAAGTATATATGTTGCAGATAATTTAATTCGTTATTACGGATTATTAATTCGTTATTACAGATTACTAATTCGTTATAACGGATTATTAATTCGTTATTACGGATAATTTAATTCGTTATTACGGATTACTAATTCGTTATAACGGATTATTTAATTCGTTATTACGGATTATTAATTCGTTATTACGGATTATTTAATTCGTTATTACGGATTAATTAATTCATTATTACGGATTATTAATTCGTTATAACGGATTATTTAATTCGTTATTATGGATTACTAATTCTTTGGACATGGGCGAATTATTTATAACGAATTAAATAATCCGTAATAACGAATTAATAATACGTAATAACGAATTAATAATCCGTAATAACGAATTAGTAATCCGTAATAACGAATTAATAATCCGTAATAACGAATTAAATAATCCGTAATAACGAATTAATAATCGGTAATAACGAATTAGTAATCCGTAATAACGAATTAATAATCCGTATAATAAGGAATTAGTAATCCGTAATAACGAATTAATAATCCGTAATAACGAATTAAATCATCCGTAATAACAAATTAATAATCCGTAATAACGAATTAAATCACCTGTAACATATATACTTGCAGTGGCGCTAATGGGCTTTCATATTAAGGTGTGTAAAATTGTGGGAAAGAATGTTGCAACCTGACACTGCTTTTTTCTGCATATCATCTCAATCAATGATGGTCAGTCATTGCAAAAATGATAAGACACGAATCTTGGACTGAGAGTGAGAAACATTTCCAATATTGTTAGGATTTTAGGAAATACATAGAATTTGTTTGACTCTCCACAGACTTTGTACACAACCGCTGAAGTGGCGTCAAGTTGCAACATTCTTTTCTTGTCAGGATCCCCGCCCTCTGCTCTCTCATCTCTCCCCGCCAGCTTACCAGCAACCCCGCCCATTCCTAGCTGGAGTTACCCAGCCCTGAGTTTTATCATTGGGTTGTCATCTAGGGCTGGAGCGCATTTTTCTCAAAACTTGTAGTATTTGCAAAAAAAAATTGGAAAATGTTCAATTTTGTCCCCGTTACACACTAATTGCAACTGCAACTCACCCCAAACTTGCCTGGAATAACCATTACACAGGTCCTTGAAGTAAAAAACGATCCACGATGAAGATTCAGCCTACAATTGCAGTGAAAACAGGAGGAATAACCGCTAACTTGACAACCTTGCTGGATTGGCCAGGACCGCCATTGGTTTGTGCACAAAAAAAAATGTGTACAATGAATGGCGGTCGATTAACAGGCACAGAGCTAGAGAGAGCGATCGCTGTCAACTACTCGTTTTTGCCGGCTGCGCTGGCTGATGGCGCGTGACGTCACGCGGAAGCGTAACACCCGATGACTGTTTCATGCACTAATATGAGGTTTACCACTCGCATCACAGCTTTGGTACTGGAACCGTAACCAATAGTGCATGAAACAGTCATCGGGTTCTACGCTTCCGCGTGACGTCACGCGCCATCAGCCAGCGCAGCCGGCAAAAACGAGTAGTTGACAGCGATCGCTCTCTCTGTGCCTGTTAATCGACCGCCATTCATTGTACATGTTGTGCCCATTCTTGAAAATCACGCATTCTCGAGAATGGGCATGCACATTCTCGAGAATGGGCGCGCATTCTTAAGAATGAGCGCCCATTCTTAAGAACGAGCACGCGTTCTTAAGAATGAGCGCTCATTCTTAAGATTGGGTGGGAATATCACGTGCACAATTTATGAATTTTGCCCAATCTTATTAAACATTGCACGACATAATTATGTTAAATGAATTGTATAGCGGTTAAAAGGGAAACAATTCATATAAAGAGGAAAGAAAATGTTCTATGCTTCTGTACTCGTATAACTACGATAATTTGAATCAAATTAAACCTGTTATTATTGCTTTTTTCTGCCCACTATGGGAAGTTTTGTAATAACGGAGGACTGGGAACTAGTCTGGGAAGTGCTTTGTTTAGGCTAGACAAGTTACAAGTCCCTGCATGTATCATATGCGTGCCACGAAAAAAAAACGATGTCCAGAAGCTGCCAAAATTGCTCTTTTTGACTAGATAGAATCCAGCTCTGCGACGTTATGGTGGGATGTGAACAATAAATTGGTGGCAATTTAAATGGGAAATAGCATTAGCACTATGGGATGTCACAGTATTCATTCTCATTCTTCACATTCTTCACATTCTTCATTCTTACGTCCCCCCCTCCCCCCTCCCCCCCCCCGCTTTTATTATCCCAAAAATCAGAATTCTTTGCACTAGTATTATTATGTCTCTTATTTTTTCCCGGTCCCCCCCCCCTATCAATACGCCTTTACTTATCATATCCACTCTACTTTTCAGCGCCTTGCGTTGCAACAGTATAATTATTGAGAATCAGTGAACGAGGATTCAGCTAGACTTGCCAAGCGCAGCCGGTGCTCGGCATCGACAAGACCGTTATCTTGTCGCGCATTCTCAAGAATGTGCGCTCAATCTGGAAGAGTTATTTTTTGCCAAGATTGAGCAAGGATCCAGTTGCACATTCTCAAGAATGTGTATGCCCATTCTCGAGAATGCGTGATTTTCAAGAATGGGCACAACATCCACATTTTTTTTGGTGCACAAACCAATGGCGGTCCTGGCCAATCCAGCAAGGTTGTCAAGTTAGCGGTTATTCCTCCTGTTTTCACTGCAATTGTAGGCTGAATCTTCATCGTGGATCGTTTTTTACTTCAAGGACCTGTGTAATGGTTATTCCAGGCAAGTTTGGGGTGAGTTGCAGTTGCAATTAGTGTGTAACGGGGACAAAATTGAACATTTTCCAAAATTTTTTGCAAATACTACAAGTTACGAGAAAAATTCGCTCCAGCCCTTATAGACAACCCAATGATAAAACTCAGGGCTGGGTAACTCCAGCTAGCCCATTCCCTCCTCTCAGTCTCAGTGTCATAATCATATGGCACAACAAACCTTATTTATTTCATCACGAGCCCACGCATACCAGTTGCACTTTTCAACTTCTCCGCATCCATTTCCAGGAACAATAACAACTCGACTTGCCATCGCTGACGCTTACAACTTTCATGGAGCTATAAAAAAGGAAATTTCTTGATCTTTTTAGAATTCCTCCATGCTCGGAGCAAGTTGAGGTTGCGCAGCACAGCAGCTGCAGCATGCAGGCGCCCTGGCTTGTGCATGCTGTGTGCTAGTTTGTAGTAGTAGTACTTAGTGGGAGCATACTACCCGGCATCCGAGAACGAGGTGCACGCTGCTGGTTGCGCCGATCGGAGACGTTTGCCTACTGGTAAATTTGGGCGAGTTCACAATACAAACGGGGGTAAACAATATTAAGATTTATTTTCTTTCCCTTCTGAAAGAATTTGATAGCAATTAAAATTGATCCTATTAAATATAATCACATATATTGGAAAATATTATATATTTTTTGTGTGAAAACGATGTACATTTAATACCATAACAACTGAAAAAATATAACACGCACACCTACCAAAAAAATATGTCAATCTACGATGCATTAAATCATATCCGAAAATACACCACTTACGTGTACCTGTACTGTGTAATCGAACGTGATGAAATGAAAAAGCTGTGAGAAACATATTTTTGCCACAGTTTCCGTATTCCCCACTTATTATGACTCTTAATTTGAAGGCATACGTGAAAAAGTGATTATATTCAAGCATGCCACTAATGTAATTAAGGTGAGTATCATAGAGCAAGGAAACACTTGAAATCCTGGATTACGTCGCTAAGTCGATTTGTTATGTGGTTTTACACTGAATCTATTTCGTGAGAATTTGCCTGTAGAAATTTTAGTTAACTGTGACTTAAGTTTCTTTCCTTTCGAGTATCTTACATTTAGTTCAAGTATTTCACATACTTCCATACAAAAGGACAGTATATCATGTAAGCATTACTTACGGAAAACAGGCATGACGGGAAAACACCGGAAAATCAACTGGAAATCAGCGGAAATCAGCAGAAATCAACCGAAAAATAGTCAATCAGAAAACATCTGGAAAATAACTCAAAAGTGTTTGGCTTGGATTATAAAAAAAAAATGTTATGGGTTTTGTTGCGGCAGCCGTAAGGCCATTTTGAAACTGTCATGACTGCTGCTAGCGTTACGGCATTGCAAAAACACCATTGCGAATCTCCCTTCCAACCAACGCTTTGGTAGCTTGATTTGTTAAATGCTCAACCTTGACAACCACCATGCCGTAGGTTCCGGAATTGAATCTGCACTATGCCAAACCTTGTTTTTTTTTCTTTTTATTTCCTTTAATAGGCCTAATAGTTTCATTTACTTTTGTGTTTTTAATTAAATCCACATTTTATTGAAGTAGGTTTCATTTTTTCCTTTGTAGTCTATGCCTTTAAAGGGAAATAAAGTCCGAGAACCATTCGGTTGATAGTCTGGTTCCAAGAGCCAAATCCTATTGTTGAATATTGTCAGGTCAGGGAACCAGAACGTCCACTGCTGTGACAATAGCCACTGCGAAAAAAACATCAGCTGTGGAATATTCCAAGCCTAAGGCAGGGCACCTCGTCCGAGAACGGCTCTTCTTTTTGAGGGGGTGGGGCTGTTTTCTGATGTTTTGTGGTATTTTTCAGTTGCTTTCCGGTGTTTTCTGGTCGATTTTTGTGTTCTCTGTTTGATTTTTGTTGTTTTCAGCTGTTTTCAGTTGTTTTCCAATGTTTTCCAGTGAATAGTACTAGAACCTTGTAGGCATTAGCCGAAATAGCCCCATAAAATCTGTCTAGACTCAAATAATGGACTTCTTTTGTATTGTAAACCACAAAGCGACGCATACTAGATTTGAAAATTTTCCAAACTGACTGCAGAATTTATACAGGATAACTAGATATTAGGCCTACTTCTTAGTTCTGGAACAGCACTTTCATTTGGGGGGGGGGCAGTACCACTATGCAATTTCAAATCCTGTGATGATAACTTGCACCCAGAATTTTATTTTCTCATCCTAAAAATCTCTCCAAAAAGTAGCCTTGACTTATCCATGTCACGTTAAAATTTCGGAACAATGGTTTTCAGGACCTCAGACCAACAATTTGTTGAGAAGTCAGAGATTTTACTCGCAGACATCAGATTTTCGACCCGATGAACGTTGTACACATGCATTCTTTGTGTTTTTGTTTTTCACTTCATATTTCTTTCCTCTTTTAGGAACAACAGGAAGTACCAACTAATTGCAGTCATAAGTACAAGAGTAATTTATTCCAGAAAGTAACATCAGTGATAATTCAAGATGGTGTTAGCGGATCTTGGCCGTAAGATCACCTCGGCACTGAAGTCTTTGAGTAATGCCACCATCATTGACGAAGATGTAAGTAAAAAAGTCATTTTTAAAACAGTAACATTTCAAATTCTTTTTGTTTTTATTAAAATCACACTTCAGTACTGCTTTCCCCCATTTTTGATGTTAATTCCAGTTTGCTAGGTTTTAACAGTTTAAGTTGAAAAAGTGTGGAATTAATGACCAAAAACCACCCCGCTGATAATATTTGCTATAACCAAATCAACATATTTTGTTCCAGTACATAGAACCAAGAAATGACAGTGTCTTTGCCAGATTTTCACTAGATCTTCCTTTAAGTTTAACATAACATAGCACAAATAATTAACGCTGTTTTCAAACCTATTTAACTTACAAAACCTTAGAAGCACTGCAGTACTTAATTACATTTGGGGTACACGTAATAAAGTTTTTACTTTTTCAATGACTGCCCGCTATTTGTTATGTCAATCATTGTTGATTTATCATGTCAATCTCACGGGTCTACAGACAAAATGGGCAGGCGTCAGCCTTTGTGAGATGGCTAAATGTTGAAACATTTCTTTAAACATTTTCTAAAAGTTTACAAAATTAAACGCAAAGTCACATCCCTACTCCCCAGACATTAACAATTGGCTATGCTACACCATCTTTTGATTTCCCAGCAACCTCATTTACCCTTACCTTTCCAAATCTTCCAAAATCATTTTTGCAAAATGGCAAACATGGCAAAAGTGGCTGCATGGCAAAAGTGTGTTGCAGATTTTGGAGGACGCACTGTGTCAAGGTCTTGGGCCTGACCATGTGTTGTTTATGCTCAGCTGTGCATAAATTTAGGCCTAGATTATACTTGAAGTCCTCCACACTTCTACAGGATGTCACGGGCCCTGCCTCAATATTCTGACAGTGATTGCTGGAGAATTTTGAAGGAATGAGGCAGTAGTTACCCCTCCAAGGACCATATTCAAGAAATAACGGAGGATTTTGCAGGATGCCAGGTGTTTTCTATTTTTACATGGAGGCAGTTGGAGGGTTTTGCATGATAGAGGTTACATCCTAGCAAAAATGCCTAGGGAATTAGGGTTAAAAGTGAAAATATTTCTCATGAACTTTTGGAAATTTCAGGGAAATCTCAGGGAAGTTTGTTTTCCTAAAAATGCAGGGAACCGTGAGTAAGATTCCTGGCAAAACTCCTGGGGGGTTATAGGGTTAAAGTTTGGAATTGTACAACATTCTTGATTCTGTTTGTGTACAGGTGCTGAATTCTATGCTGAGTGAAGTATGCCGTGCTTTACTCGAAGCTGACGTCAACATCCGATTAGTCAAACAGCTGAGAGAAAATGTCAAGTCGGTGATAGACTTTGAAGAGATGGCCGGCGGTCTGAATAAGAGGAAGATGATCCAGACCGCTGTCTTCAAGGAACTGGTCAAGGTAGGAGTGCTCTTATGCATGACCAACGAGGGCGCTATCACAGTGAACTTTTTAGAGGAATCACAGTGGCAATAGAGCTAACAAGTCAGTGGGGAAAAAAAGTCAAATTTTTAGAGATGGAGTGAAAACCTGAGATGAATATCCTAAAGGGAACACGGGAATCTGACGAAATTAAACATGTGGATTAGGTTTTCCATCCTAATCCGATGGGAATGAAAACTCAAATCCATATGTCAGCCTCAGTGGGATTCGAAACCTGGGTCACAATGTTGGAAGGCAACGGAAGGAGAATTGTGCCAACCAGAACTCCAAAGTAGAGAAACGAGAGATATATAAAGACTGATTGCAAGAATGTAGTCAGGGCATCATAATTCTTGCTCATGTGCTTGATTAGAAACGGGTGTTGTACATATGTGTAAAACTGATCCAGGGTCACAAAAAAGTTGGAGAAAAATTATACAGACTTGTAGCCAGAAAACTTTGTCATATGAGATTGGCTTAGCTTGAAGATATAGAAATAGTGTTGTGATCTCACATTTTTGGTGGAATTTAGCCCATCTGTGCACACTGAACGCTTACATGTATACATCTTTTTGGTTGCTGCATTGCCACTCAATTCAGCAGAACAACTTAGACATAGTCATTGTGGTGTCATGAAAATTAGGTCTATATGTGCTATCTAGTTCACGCTCATTGAACAAGCGAAATATTGAGTGTTTGTGTCCTGTATGTCACTCGGACATAGATGCATTACATTTTCAAAACTCACAACAAACTATTTGCTTGTTCTTTTTCTAGCTGATCGACCCCGGTGTGAAAGCCTGGACACCACTCAAAGGCAAACCCAACATTATAATGTTTGTTGGGCTGCAGGGTAGCGGCAAGACAACGACATGTACAAAGGTAAGCGACTCTTGCAAAATATTTAAAAATCAGATCATTTCTGTTTCATTGTCTCACAAAATTGCTGGTTAAGACAAGATTAAGGATGGTACAGGGTGAGGCAAGTTCAAACGATTATGCGTCTTTGTACCTCAAATTAGTGCAAAGCCAATTCCAACACTTTCCGTCTTAGTTAATGAAAATTGATTTTTGTCAGCATGGAATTTGTAGGGTGGCACACAGTTTTCCTACATTATTTGTCGGTGTAGGTGGGTGGGTGGAGGGGGGAAGGGGGGAGGGAGGTGGAAGGATTTTTAATTTTCCAACGTTGGGTAAGCACTTAGATCAGGTACTGTATCATGGTGAGACCCCTCATTCCTGCTGTTTTCAGAACATGAATATAGTGAAGAGATTCAAGGCTAAGACTTTTGTACGGTTTGTGCAGTTTGATTCTGGTTATTCATGTAAGTCTCCTCTGTCTATTTTCTTGGCAGCTAGCCTACCATTTTCAGAAGAAGGGATGGAAGTCGTGTTTAATTTGTGCAGACACATTTCGTGCAGGTAAGCAGTAACTTAATATTGTATTTAATAACAAAATGATGTGTCTGATCCTTACATGGATCACCACTTCTATAGATACACGTGTTAATGACGGCCAAATAATTTGGATGTAGCTATTATCTTATTTGTTAAATGTTCACACACAAGGCCTGAATGCGGCACACACAAGCGATTTATGTGCCTACAATTGTTCTCACTTGATTATCCTGAGTGTGCTGCACAAAGTGTATATAAAAACTCCAGCACAGTAGGAGGTGTAGTTATAATTCAGAGACTATTGTTTACTAATTGTTTACTAATTGAATGAATCCCGACTGATCTATTTTTTTTTTATTATTAGGTGCTTTTGACCAACTCAAACAGAATGCAACAAAAGCAAGAATACCTTTCTATGGAAGGTAAGTAGTTAAAACAAAAAACAGATGGACAGTTAAATCTTGTTTGTGTCGCCTAAACAAAGTTTTGGGGACACTTACCTGTCCTAAATTCCGTATGACCGTATCCCGATATCCCCATATCCCTGTATGTTAAAGGTTAGGTTAAGTTTATGAAAAAAAACTGTAGAACTTCTACATGTTTTCATGGATTTTGATGAAACTTACATGCAGTCACCCTTGGGTGGGAAGACACAATTCTTCATCGAATTACTTAGGACAAAGTTCACAACACATATAGGATTGACCGCGAAAAAATTAATTCACACAACTTGAACCTGAGAACATTTTCTTCCTTCAATTACCTCTAGTCTTAGAAAGTAATTACAGGAAGAGAAGTTGTCTTTATTATTATTATTTAGGCCTTTTGTTGTTTTGGTGGTTTTTTTTAACCGATATACCTGTCTAGCTGTTGCATCTATATTTGCAACATTGGTCGGTTGCCATTTGAACTTATTGCCAATTATTTCCTATCATCTCCTTGTTTTTCCACAGTTACACAGAAGTAGACCCAGTGCTACTGGCCGCTGACGGCGTAGAGAAGTTCAAGAATGAAGGATTTGAGATCATCATCGTTGACACGAGCGGGAGACATAAGCAAGAAGATTCACTGTTTGAGGAGATGTTGCAAGTGTCCAATGCAGTGGTATGTATGGAGGGTTTCCCAGTGTAGGAGTGTGTGGCTTGGTGTGTGCAGCAAACTGTTTGGGGGCTAAAATGAAAATAGTTATGGACTTTGAACTGTAGATAGTGCTTTTCTGACCAAGCACAAGAGCTCCATTGTGTGGGGCACACTGCATGCCTGGGCGGGCCGTCACCGCATTCTTTTCATAACAGCTTTTCTTTCTGTTTAGCTACACTCTCGGAAATAAGAAATGTTGTGCATTACCCTGTGTAACAATGTGCAAATTGAGTATGTACTCTTTGTTCTTATTTCCAGAACCCTGACAATGTGGTCTTTGTGATGGACGCATCCATCGGTCAAGCTTGCGAGGCCCAGTCCAGAGCCTTCAAGGAGAAAGTGGACGTAGCTTCAGTCATCATTACTAAGCTGGATGGTCATGCGAAGGGTGGTGGAGCTCTCAGTGCGTAAGTGATCTTCCCCCCCCCCTCCCCTTCACACTCCCCCCCCCCATCCCCCCACTCTCCCCCCCCCCATACACACTCACTAAGGCCCAGTAGCGTGCTCAGGGCTTGAAATTGGGTTCAACCCCACAGAAGCAAGTACTTACTCCCTGTAGTGCTGGTTTTTGGGGGCAAGTTGCGCCCATAAGTTGATACACTAAAATATAGAGAAAAATATTGGAATTGAAATTTGACTAGTGTACATGGAAAATGCATTTATTTTGCCCATGTTTGTCTTTCTGAAAATGCTTTTCAAGATCATTTGACTTGGAAAAAAAAACTCATTAAATTACCACTTTCGATAATTGAGAGCACGTGAAGATTCACAAACCAACTTTGAAGTTGGTTATCTTTCCAGACATCACCTCATTGCCTTCCAAGAGGCTGCGTAGACTGGTTCCCTTTGATCATTTCATGTTCTGTTGGTGTAAAATCTGAAGCGATATCGCAACTTAAGCTATTCCATCCCCACTTAATTGTTCCCGGCCCTGCTTTAAAACTTTCTGCATGTTTCTGTTTGACAGTGTTGCGGCCACAAAAAGTCCTGTCATCTTCATAGGAACGGGTGAACACATTGATGACTTTGAGCAATTCAAAACGAAACCGTTCGTCAGTAAACTGTTAGGTAAGTCACTGGTAATCTGTGCAAACACTGTCCAAAAATAGTGTCCATTAGTTTTCATGTTGTGGGGTTCCATTGCACATAATTGTAGATTGCATAGCTGTACTAAAATTAAGCATTTAAAGTATACTGTGTTTTGACTTTTAGCACAAAGTACCCCCTATGATAAAGATATGAATTGTTTCAGTTAAAGGCACATAGGATTATTTGCATATATCCCAAAAGTAGCCGAAGGAATTATTATCAAAAAGCGTACTTGAATAAAAGATCGTAATGGTACTGAATACCCCATGAAATTATTCCGTCTGGCTTGCTGTCATTTAGAAAAATATCAAGAAATATAGGTGATTTCCAACGATCAGTCAGTTGACTGATTTTTGGAAGTAAAGAGTTATAAAGACGACATTGTTTCATGATCAAAATAGCCTCACTATCATTTGTTCTTTAAATGTGGCTTAAAACATTGGGTATGTTTAATCACAATTTATATATTATTCATCAGAGCAGACTGGTATCATTTTGTAATGACAATTTATTTCATTGCTTTCATTTCTATTCACAAGTTCCAAAAATGAAGAGTTTACCTCGCTCTCAATTTAATATGGCCGACTCGCGGAAACAATCTATTGAGTATTCTACATTTTGTCCACCAGGTATGGGAGATATAGAAGGCCTGATTGACAAAGTGAGTGAGCTGAAACTAGACGACAATGAAGAACTCATCAACAAACTCAAACACGGTACGTCAAGTTCCTTGCAACGTCAAATTTGGTTGTTCTCAACTCAGTATTTTAGATATGGAAACTGTCCTTTATATCAATTGATTTTTTTTTTACTTTTTGTTTATACCATTAGATATGGAATAATAGAATTGAAAAGCTTATGCAACTTGGGATTTCCTTTTTTTGTGACTTCCCTGTTTTTCGCATTACATGCTGATTATTAACCGCAACACCTTGGGTATCTTTACTAGAAAGTATCCTGAATCCGCCAAAATCCACCTATTGTGTCATGCACACAAATGTTGGTGTTGGTGACTGCTCAGTATGGAGGTATCCTGAATCCATCAAAATCCTGCAGTACCGCTAGACTTACAATCCTCAATCCATCAAAATCCCCTGTTTTCAGTATGGAGGTATCCTTAATCCGCCGAAATACTCCAAAACAGGGGTATAGATTTTGATGGATTCAGGGTGGTTGGGGTTAAAGGGCTTGTATTTGCCATTAAATGAAAAAAATGCAGTATCCGTAATGTTGTAGAAATTGGAAAGTCTGTCAAAAATTTGTTACAACTTGACCGCTGAACTACAATGAAGATTTATAACCAGTGCAGTGTGCACCATAATTGAAGATTATTGTTGACATGGAAGAAACCACCTTCTTACTTAAAGCCCAGTTAACTTTTGCTTTATAAAATGGTATTATTTTTCAGGTGAATTCACGTTGCGAGACATGTACGAGCAATTCCAAAACATCATGAAGATGGGACCATTTGGCCAAATTATGGTAAGATTGTACATTTATTACAAATCCATGCTTCTTGCATGTGGTTACTTTTTGTACATTTGGTGGGATTTACTGTACCTAAGGCAAAGTCAAAGATTCTCTTATGTGACTATTTTCCGTACCATTTTGTAAATAGAGGGTATTTGAAGTATTAGAAACAAGTTTGTTTTCCTTGGTGAAGTTAGTGTGAATGATAGCTCTGTAAGAAAGACTTAGCAGACCATGGCTTTGATACACGCTGTCATGTTCCTGCTGAAAATCACCAGTCAGATTCTCCAAACGAATCATACATGGACAACATGATGAGGAGTATAGTAGACAGTCACTATTACTCTACATGGGATTTGATGACCCCATTTAAATGAGGTGCAAAGGATAAGCCTTGAAGGATTTTGGCAGATGTAAAAGCTTCCTCAAGAAAAATACCTAGGAAGTTAGAGTTCATACGTTGATACCTGTTTGCTCGGAATTTGAAACATGCTGATTATAATTAGTTTAAACTAGTGTAATAAAAGAATTTAAATTTGTAACAATGGTTCAAATGTGAATTGACCTATCGCTGTTTGCGAGTTAGCCACGCCCCTTAGACAACCCTATGGAATTTTGTATATTAAATTTTGTCTCAGTTTTTGCGTGTTCTGCATCCATTTGTATATTATGTAATTGGACAATATTTCACAAGCTGCGTCGACGCAATTCTACCGTGATAGGTCAATTGATTTGTTCTGGGTTTTTTTTTACTCGGTTGTCAGGGTATGATCCCAGGATTCAGCAGTGATTTCATCTCCAAGGGCAACGAGCAAGAATCCATGGCCAGATTAAAGAAGCTAATGACGATCATGGACAGCATGAACGACGAAGGTAACAACAAAAACAGATCTCTCTAAAAAAAAGACTGAGCAAGTCTAGTAAAGCTGGTCCCAGAGTGCACAACATTCTGTTCAATTGATTCCGAATGGCTATTCACTGGAAGTCTGTTCATGCATCTGGTCTACACAATGGGCCGGATTTAGCCCTATCATTGGCGTTACAGGATAATCCTATATGATAGCACTGCCCGGCACACAAGTGACAGACAGTCAGTCAGTCAGGTACATAGAGGACACTAGGCTGACCCTCTGAGACCAGCACAAATAAACTCATGGAATCGGACTAACGATATTAATTATTGCATGTAGATACTGCATGATCTGTATTTGACACCGACACTTTAATAGCACTGCAGTCTTTTAAGCAAAGATATAAGTAAAGTAAGTAAACTCTGTCACAAGCCAATGTGGCCCATCAGGCCGGCGTTTATCTCCGGTTTCAGTAGCATGAAACGGCTGAGAATATTTCTACTCCCCCTGGATGGGATGGTAGTCCATCGCAGGTTACTCCCCAGCTAATGCCGGTACCCATTTATACTCCTGGGTGGAGAGAGGCAAGTGGAGGTGAAGTGGCTTGCCCAAGGACACAACATATAGCCAGCAGCTGGATTCGAACCCCTGACCCTCTGATCATGAGTCACAAACCCTAACCACTAGGCCACACTCTCCCGATATGCAAACCACATAACTCCACATATTGAGAAATTGGGCCATGGTGAACAAGTTAAAAAGTAGAAATGAAAAGAAAATGAATTGGTATTTGTTCTTCGCAGAGTTGGACAGCCGTGAGGGCGCTAAGCTCTTCATGCGAACCCAGGGGCGTGTCCATCGAGTAGCCAGGGGGGCGGGGGTCTCGTCCAAGGAGGTACAAGAGTTGCTGCAGCAGTACCAGAAGTTTGCCCAGATGGTGAAAAAGATGGGTGGCATCAAGGGACTCTTCAAGGGTAAAGGTAGGTAGAGGCCGAGGCTTGACATTTATCCTAGTTACTACACTAACTAGACTGGCTGCCGGACCGAAGCAGCATTTCCGCCATCTTTATTCCCCCCAAGTGCATGCTTTTGACTTCAGAAATTGCAAGCACAAGTGTGTTCCATGGTCAACAGCACGCTTAACATTTGAAGAAGAAAAATGTGACTCAACTAAGTGAGTCTTAATAAGTTGCCCAAGCTACTTTTTTTAGTTACAAGCCCTTAAAACGATCTTGTGCAATAGAATTGTCAATTTTTCACCCACACAAAGTTCTTTTGCATCATGATGTCAACCTCTTTAATATATCAATATAGAAAAGCTGATTATGCACTTTTTTAATAAATGTGAAAAACCAATTATCCAAAATACAACCCAACCTTAAGACTCAATTCTCCTGGTCCAGTCACAAATTATGTGGGTATGTGGCATGGGGGTACCAAGATGGCGGAAAGTTGCTTCACTTTGTGGGCATGTCAGCCACACCAGTTTGTGTTGTTTGAGCTCAGCGATTTGAATCCTCCCAGACTATTTCTCAGACTTGCTTTTCCAACGAGTCTGGGAACATGATGTCTTTATAGGATGGCTGCAGACAGTAAATAAGAATATATTTGAAACTGCTGCAAATTGCTTTCGGACTGGATTGACCTGCAATATACAAATCAAAAAAATTAAGCGGCCCTGATATTTTGATCTTAACAAGACCTTCTTCAGAGGTTCAGAGGCAAATGACAGTGTTACAAAAAACAAACATGTAGGGGGCAGACAAGCATGCATGGTTGGGAGGAGAAACACAAAAGAGGGATGAAATAGGGGACAGACCAGTGTAAGTGAAGAGCAAAGGGAATGGCAAAGAAGAATGAACAAAGGATAGATTAAATAGGGGGCAGACCAAGAGGGATTTATTTTTGGTGTACAGTGTATTCTAAATCCTTTTCTTAAGTCATGGGTTAATGTGAAACACTTTGTTTTCTTTCCCAAGGTGGTGACATGGCCAAGAACGTGAATCCAGCACAGATGCAAAAGTTGAACCAGTCTATTGCCAAAGCTATGGATCCGAGAGTGCTACATCAAATAGGTAAGAACTTCAAATTGACATGACCTTTTTCTTCAATCGGCTGATTTCCCCGTTTTAACTTCCCATGATGTTTGCATCTAAAAAGTGGAAATTAAAACTGAAGAAAGTCATTTAAAGCTTGGAATTCCTTGCATTATAGTGGGTGCGTTTGAGTAGCTCACCCAGATCGACTCGGGTAAAGGCAGACGGTTTAGCCACGACAGCCGGGCTAATCGAACGCTAAACTGCGGGCCATCACAATCCTCACGTGACTCCCATAGTCGTGGCCATAGCCACTGACAAAACGCTCATTTCGGATTTATCTTAGTTTGAGATTTACTTCTTTTAGTTCAATTGCAAAACTCAAAAAGGTTGGGCTGGAATTATAGCCTCTTAAGTCGGAAATGAAAGTTGAAGTTCCACTGTTGAGATTTCCGCTGTCCGGCCGCCATATTTGTCCATTTCTTGGAATGAACAACGCATGCGTGTGACGTATTACCACCAATAGACTCTGCTCCCCGAGCAGGGTCTGTGGTGGCCTGGGTGAGCCCCGAGAATGACGTCAGAGCTAATCGGACAGCACGGGGCTGACCCGTGCAGACATGGGTGAGCTAAACGAACGCACCCAGTGACTTCCCAGTTGCACGTTTGGTCTTATTAGCTGTACTGCCCATTTACTGTGTTTTTTTAATGTAACCTACCCCACCCCAGAATTTAAGAAATGGAGAGGCAGTTCAGTTAATTTCAGGGTGGTACACTCAGTGGGCTCTGGTAGATGGCATTTTTTACCAGTTTTGAGAGCCGAGAGGACAGGAAATAATGCATGCGCGTACTGATTCGTATGGCGCAATGTACGCACGACCAATTTCATTCTGAATGTGCAAAAAGCCACAACATCTTCACATGAGCGTTAGGCGTCATCAGCAATGCATTCCAATGTCTCTCCCAGTGGTCTCCCCTAACTCTCCCTTTCTTCTGTTAAGGGGTTACTTGTGCACGGAGCCCATTTTGAAATAAACCCTTAATATCTAAAAGTTTAATACTTCCAACAGTATTAAAGGGAAAATACAACATTTGCAAACATCAAAAAATAAAACTACCAAATCATTTTGAAATACCTTGCTGGACTGTTAGTGAATGACAGTGTAAAGCATCCTGTAAAATCATGGCACCTGGTATAGGCCTATTTTTGTATCAATTTCCAACGCTGGTCGGCCGACCAGCGTTAGAAAAAACTGGCTTTTTTTCAAATACTGGCCCAAATTGACCATCGCACTTGTTTACAATCGATTACACACCTATGAACAGGTACAAGCCAGCTAGACTGGTTCCCTGACCCTACAATTCCCCAATGTATGTAAACTGCTCTGTTTCTTTTTATATGGAGTAAGGGAACCAGACTACAGGAAAATGATTGTTTTTCTTGGTTTTTATAGCATTTTCAAACCCAAAACCTCAAAAAGTGAGTGTAACTATATTTGCCATATATTTTCAACCCCCCAATTCCATCCATTTCTGAAAATTACAGCAAAAGCAAATGATGTATATTCCCTTTAAACTACTGGAAGTATTAAAGAGAAATTGGTTTTTCTTTTGTCTAATAACAAATTTACCTTTTCTTTCTTCTAGGTGGTATGGGCGGACTACAGAACATGTTGCGGCAATTCCAGCAGGGGGCAGGAGGTGCGGGTGGCTTAGGTGGGCTGGGGAACATGATGGGTGGAGCAGGAGGGCAAAACAAATGATCCATCGGTATGGAGGGGGGCAGGAGTTGGGGTGGCTTAGGTGGGCTGGGAATGATGGGTGGAGCAGGGGGGCAAAATAAATGATCCATGGGTATGGAGGGGGCAGGAGGTGGGGTGGCTTAGGTGGGCTGGGGAACATGATGGGTGGAGCAGGGGGACAAGTAAATGATCCATCTGTATGGAGGGGGGCAGGAGGTGGGGGTGGCTTAGGTGGGCTGGGGAACATGAGCAGGGGGATAAATAAATGATCTCACAGAATGGAACGGCAGGTCAAATTTGGCACATTTGTAAAGCTGTTGTCCACATTTTGAATACAAGTTCAGCTTGAAAAGTGTCTAGTTTGGTCAAACATCCTTTAGGAAGTTGGGCTTGTACAGATCATTTTATGCAAATGTTTTAGCAAATGGACCAGTCAATATTATTATTATTTTTTTTTCATGAAAGTTTTCCCCCATGAACTTGACACGCAAAAGCTTGGGAGAGGGGCAGGTTTGCTGATCAAAATTTTATTGATATCTGCCATTACTTGAAGAATGTTTAGATTCTGACTCAATAATCTATTTCAGAAGCTTGAGGGGTGTATTTTGTCAAATTCAATGACACAATGTTCACCCAATGACCCAAAGTAATCATTAAGTATTAAACAGTAATTTTTCTTGCATTGTCTTTTCCTCTCAAAAATGTTTCTTTGTTTCTAAATTATTTTTGAAAAGGTATTCTTCTTTTTTCTTTTTCTTTTTTGTTCTTCCATTGATTTTTTTTTTTGGGGGGGGGGGTTAATATAAGAGAATGTATTGTGTATGTATCCTTTGATACAAAATGGTGAAGACCGAGTTAGAGAAAGTCAGGCAAACTTGACCTGTTTGTCCCTGCTTCATTTTGTACACAGTAACAGTTTTCTTTTGCTGACACTTTTTTCACGCAAAAAAAGTGCTGAGAAATTGCAATTGTTTAGTTGTAAATTGTTAAGCATTTGAAAAATTCACTTGCAAACTTCATTGGACTCTACTATGGACGCTTGTGACATTTACTTCCGATAATTTGGAGGAAAGTAAACATTTTAATTAAAAGGAACTCAGCAAATGTTTGTTTTTCTCATGAGGTTTAATATCATCTGCAAATCCTGGTCAAGTAAAAATATCCTTTTGCAACTGATATTTTAACTTATACAATTCTATGTAACATTACCTTTGTTTTATCAATTCAATGTACAATTTATTGATCATGAAATAAACATTATTTAAGAGAAAAGGATTCCAAATGAGTTATTATTTTGTATTGTAACTTTTTAATACTTTCTTTCAGTCAGTGGGTAAGCCTCTTTTAAAAAATGCATCTTGTGGGTTAAAGTAAAAAATGAAATATTGCTCCACAATGTACCAGCTTTTACTGTCCACATAATCAGCTAACTTGTACTTTTTTCCCAAACACCGGCATGGTGTATACAGCCCCACAATGAAACAGTCGAGCATACTTTTGAAGTTTTTGGCTCAAATAAATATAACTTTGACTGTAACAACAATTTCTCATAAGTGGCTTCCGAAATTGTTAGAAAAAAAACCTTTACAACAGAGACACGATTCTATGCAATGCAAACAGCTTTATCATGCAATATAGAAACAGTTACTCTATCGTTTTCCTGATGACTTTAAAATACTGTCATGGTATTTAGAAAATGAGCTTTCAAAATTAACAAAATCTAAACGGTTTATGAATTTATCGGAACAGAACTGCAAAAATAAAACTGTCATTCCTACATGTACATTATTAAGCACCATACCCTCTAAAAACACGAGTTGTAATAACTGGTTAGCACCCTGTGTGCCTATAATATACATATGGGCCAATACTGTAAACAATGGGTAAAGATACTTTTTTGCAACTAATTTCACCGCACTGCTAAAGGGTACATTTTCTGGGCACAATTTCATGGCTTTTTTATCCAAAAAAAAATATCCCCTGCCGACTATGGCTGTGTGCAAATTACTTGGCTGCGGCTTGGCGCTACACACATGCCTATGGAAGCCACGTCCATAGACACATCTCACTGCCGGCTGTAGCCAAATAATTCAGATGTGGTCATTAAAGCAGAACTCTCGGCGCTAGGCGTTAAGAGTTTACACGCATTAGCGAGGAATTTTGGCTTGCACACCTGGGCCCAATTTCTTGGCTCTGCTTACAGTTAGCGAGAAATCCCTGCTTACTATAGCAGAAAATTCCGTGCTTACAGCATATATGGTAAGCGGATTTCACGTGTTAAGCGAGGAATTTTGGCTTCTGCGCCTGTAACTAAGGTTCTGTGCTTACAGAGTTAGCACAGAATTTTCTGCTAGCATGGTAAGCACAAAATGGCGATCCTTAGCGCAGAATTCTGTGGTTAGCAGAGCTATGAAATTGGGCCCTGCATGCATCCAATAACTACCATTCCGTGTTTACTAATTAAGCACAGAACATGTCTCTTTCACTGTTAGCACAAAATGGTGATGGTAATGTATTGTAAGCACGAAATTCTCTGGTTAGCACAGAAATGAAATTTGGCCCAGATAAATGCATCACTGCATTAATGCTTGCCTGTGCACTGACAAATAGTGTACAGTGAATCTCAAAATGTCTGAAATTTGTAAATTACATACCATTGTGCCTACAGTATCTGTGTTACTGCTGTAAGCACAAATTGTGACCATAATTCTGATAATTTGCACTGCATTCCAACAAAGGCATCGACATGATATCGGAACCAGACCAATCTATCAAACTGCATTTCTTTTCTAGGTGTACACAAATAAGTGAATTAAATCAAAACGCCAAAAATTCTTTAACAACAACATCACTTGAGAAGTTATCGATGCACACAGGTCATTCTGTAAATGTAGGGTCCAATGTGTGACATATTTCCTGTCCCTGTTACCTGTGATCTGATACACTGTGCCCTCTGGAGACATGCACACAATAGGAAACAAAATATTGTATACGTCTCCACAAGGCAATTTCTATAGATGAATACGTCTCCACAAGGTTTTCACGAAATAGATATATGGATTTTACTCAAAAACTAGGAATTTCCAAGGTGGATTGATCTGTCACAAAATGGAAGAGTTTTAGAAACGGGATATTAAGTCCGAATTTCAGCCAAGGAAATTAATTCTGGTTAAAATAAGAGCATTTTGAAACTACATTTTCAAACTCAAAAACTTTACTACATGAGAACCAAGAAATGTCTCCACAAGGACACAGATTTGAGTATGTGTGAACCTTGTAATTTGCCTTTCAAATATGATTAAAAATGACTTCAACGTATTGTATAGGGTAGGTAGTTTGCTATACATAATCACTCTTGGAGAACGACTGCATTTAGGAGTGCATCAGAATTATAAAATCACAGATGTCATGCTGTAACAGGGACAGCAAAAAAGTAGACCCAAAATTCATAGAATGGCCCATTTGTCAGGAAATGCGCCACAAATATAACTCTCCAGGAAACGTTCATGAAACCATTTTTACACTTAACAAAATATCTCTACCCTTTTATCCTTCATGTCTGGAATATATTTCCAGCAACAGTGCAAATAATAACATTTAATGAATAGAACGTTCTGTGGCAGAACACTATCGTGGAAATGACAAATACTCAAAGACAAGGACAATATAAAAAGTCATTCAGCCAATTGAGCTATCATTAAAAACAGGGGGAACAAGACAGAAAACCAGACAACCATATTTTTGTTTGTAACTTCCTTTTCTCACAAAGTTGGCATTTTTTTAAATTAAAAATTGATAAATAACATTATTTTTTTGCCATACACATCTAGATTATCTCTAGATCCATATGTCCTGTTTTACTATTTCCTATAACCAACCATTGATGGTCAAATGAATGACAACAACTCATAGGTTTCATGTAGGTGGAGCATTACATTTACATTTGGTAAAATTTTTAAAAGCACTACACCCAAAAAAATTATTCGTATTTCCAAAAATGTGTTACTGTTCAAACTTTTGATTAGTAAAGCAGTGATATCAGCAGTTTAAGTAAGAATCAGATTGGCAAAGCGGTACTTTCCTTACCTTTCATCGCCTTCCTGGCCTTTGCTAGACCTTCACAATGTGCAGCATGCAATGTGTTCAGAATTTATAATAATAAGCACCTACGAACACAAAAATTCAGAACACAAATATCAAACATATTCAACACATATTACTGATAGCTTTGTGTAAATTAATAACAAAATTAAATAATGATACAGACATGTTAACAGCACACGGATATACATGTTTCGTTTCTAAACACAAATACAAATGAAAGAAAAATAAACTCTTTATATCTTAAGGTAGCACACTTCACTAGGTTTGCATCTGGTTTAAACAATAACAAGCCTCTTTGATATAAAACATGCTATATATTAACAACAAAATAAAATATATGAAAATATGTACATAAAAATGCCGGTAGTATCGAAAACGATGACCCCTAAAACGAAGACCGAAGACCGAAGACCCATGTTTTCCAATGGGTCTTCGTTTTCATGGGTCTTCATTTTCGAGTGAGTCTTCATTTTCGAGTGGGTCTACGTTAAAACATGGGTTTTTGGTCTTCAGTCTTCGTTTCAGGGGTCTTCGTTTCAGGGGTCTTCGTTTTCGATACTACCTAAATATACCTGTACTAACAATCAACAAAAACAATGTAAGAGTTGTTCACCTTCAAATAAGTTTGACAAAAGACAACTGGACTCAAACTTATCAGATAGAGAGCGGTTCATGACCTATCTTGGTTGCTTGCTCAGCTCCGAATGGGTGGTGGAAACAGACCGGTACTCCAAGAGGCGTTGCAATCATCCCTTTTACATTGTTCTGTTGATCACCGGAGTGTAGTGTGGGGGCGTTTTGATAGCCCCTATTATTGTTGCAACGTTGAAGGATTTCCTGATGGCTGGGGTGTAGATTGTTGAAAGGTGTTGTCGTAATACCCCGCCTCGATTTAAGACCTATTTTGAGCGGAGGAAGTGACCTAGACATGTCCTGAAACTGTTCTCCATCTAATAAGTTCAAGTCCAGTTGTCATGTTTCAATTGTTTTCTCGAAATTTATATCACCTGGATAACTCAAAATCTCCATCAATTTAATTGTTCACCTTGTTTCTTATTTTTGTCTTAACGAATCTTGTCAGACCTTTTATACTTTTAAGTAATGACACACTAGAAACAATCAAGCCCAACTCTTGACCTACTGCTTTTTTGTGTGACTTTCCCCCTCCTTCTTTTCAAAGTAAAGAAATGATCAAGGTCCCATTTTTCTGAAAATTGACCCAAAAAATTGTCATATGATCATAAAATTGGCACAAATTTTGTATTAAAGGAAATTTGTAATAAATGTATATTCATTCATTTTTTTTTATAATTATTATTTTGTTGGAGGGGTGAGAGACGCTTGGAGGAATTGTGGGGTTTATGGGTTCCACACACAGCCTAAGACTAATGCAGTATTTCAGTCCTATTATGCATCATGATGCTTATGAGATCTCATCAATTGATATTTACTGTTACATTAAGAAATTACGATAAATGGAATACAGTGTAAAATGTTCAAATGACAGGGGGGGGGGGGGTTGCTAATGTGACTTCAATTACAAACATGGAGCAATTTCGGGCAACAACCATTAGTCAACAATGGTTGGTTGGTGTCAAAAAGTGCGCATGCACTGTGACGTTGAAGTACGAACGACTCTAGTTGAACCATTGTCAACATATGGTGGTCACGAGTATGTTTCGACGTTCTTTGACCTGTTGAATGAACCGGAAGATATCTCCATGGCCCACCAGCAGGTAGAACAACTCGCTATGTTTCATCTATTGTCAATGGTTCTCTCTGAACTTAGTTAATGAGACAAGGCTATTGATAACCAGCAATGCGACCAGGCCCAGTAGGCTGGTTCCAAATAGTTGACTAGCATTCTCCAACCATCATCGACTAGACAGAGTTCGGGCTAACTTAGTCGAATCATGGTTAACAATACTTCTTGTGCAAACTTGCCCATCACTGCACCCTAGGCTTTGAGCTACAGAGGGATAAAAAAACTGTTTAAAATGTGGGCATTTCAGTTCAGTTCAACAAGTATAAAATGATTGCTTTTCCCAAGGAAATTTCTTAATTTAGGACTGAATATTATCTTGTAATGTTCAGCTGGTGGGTTTTGGTTGTGAGAACGAAAGTAACCCATAACCCAAATCGGAGCACACGGTCAAACACATTCACGTGACACCACAGCTATGGTTTCGTCATTGTGGCAGTTAATTTTCAAAGAAATCACAACATTATTCCAGCATTTAATCGCAGTCCTGTGCATACAGTTGCGTACATGGTATTTAGTCCTACAGAAAATCGTCTTGATCTTAATTATTTTCCCCCATAAAGTCAAGATTAACAAACCTGGGAAGACCTAATCACTACATTTTAGTCATGGTAAGAGACAGAATATTTAAAGCCAATAAGTCCTGCATGTAAACAAGTTATTTCAGACAATACAAATTTTGGGTTAAAAACATGGCAGATGGATAAAAAAATTGTCAGCGCCTTTCTGAGTTGTATCAAAATTTATGCAATTCAGATTTGAACTTTTCAAATATTTTATTAATATCGCTAAACTTTACATGCATACTTTTTTACACATATTTACAATTTTTTATTTATTTATTTATTTTTTTATAAAAAGGCTTTTGCTTTGTCCTTATTTTCGTCAGTCTTTTCATGTGTGACATGCAATGGGACTTGGGGATAAGTAGGCATTCGAACCACCTCCACTATTTCCTCGACTTTGTAGGATGGGTAGAGCCCACTGCTGCGTCCGCGTAACCGGTGGTTCCGCCCCTTGGAGTAACCGTCCCAGTGGTTGCCGGCCACGCCCACCGTGTCCCCCGGCCCTAGGGCAATCTCATCCCGGCCGCGGGGCTTGTGTTCATAGAGGGCGGCCTGCCGGTGCTCGTTTTGACCACCGAAGTAGTAGACATCGTCGAGTGAATGGAAGAAAGCGGAGGCGTCTGGGTGATAGGTCTGCATTATCTCATAGGCAACTCGACATACCTAGGGGGTTGTGGATGGGGAAAAAACAAACGAGAACGTTTTTATTATTTTTCGCTCATACGCGCCGTCCGACATCTAAGGGTGCTAAGGACCTTTGATTTATATAAGCTCTCTCATTGGACGGATTTTGTTCGACCAGTGACCAGGTTCAATACTTCCATGCATACTGGACACGTTATACTAACATACACAAATGTAGGATCATTTGCTTTTTGTGCATTATTTTTCCGTTTGAGCAACAAAGCGCATGCATACACCTAACTTGTTGAAGTTTCAGCTCAGTGGATACTATACATTTTGAGAAAAAAAAAGAGAAACGTATGCACAATTTTTTGGGTCACGTAGCTTGATTCTGTTTCTAACGCATGTACAGGAATGTGAGTGACCACTGATAAAAATAGCTGAAAACAGCAGGAAAAGGTGTAAAAAAGCTGAACTTTGGACTTTTGTATACAGTAAGTGAGGAAAAAAAGCTGAAATCCAAAACAAAAAATCTGAAATCAGCTTTAAAGCTGAGATTTCACACCCCTGGCAAGTACAAAAAAAATGTGCCTGTGGGCATATTTTTTTCAATGATATCTTTTTTTATCCGAATGATACCATTTTAGGGGGGGTTGTGGAGGGGGGAAAACCAAAGGAGAAAGTTGTCAGCATTTTTCGCTCATACCCGCAGTCCTACATATAAGGACCTGTAATTTATTTGAGCTCTCTCATTGGACAGATTTTGTTCGACCAGTGACTTGGTTCAATACTTCCATGCACACTGGACAGGTTATACTAACATACACAAATGTAGAATCATTTGCTTTCTGTGCATTATTTTTCCGTTTGAGCAACAAAAGCGTGTGCATAGCAACTAACTTGTAGCAGTTCCAGCTCAGTGGATACTATACATTTTTCTGTTATTAACGCATGTAAAAAAAAATCTGTCTGTGGTAACACTTTCTTAAACCTCCTTCAATGATTATTTTTATCCAAATGATACTATTTCAGGACAAATAGTTTCACAGGGTATTTGGTACCAGTAGAATCGTTAGTTTGAGCAAGGATTTTTTCGTTAAACTAAAACGGTAGGCACGTATCTGGATAATAAGCCATTTGCGAGTTAAATTTGAATAAAATCTGGAATGCTGACTTAATCCAATGCTTTGCAAGTTTAAACTTTGCATTCTCCCGACCAAAGAGACTGTTACTATATCACGTGATTCGGGGCAAGCCTTACACTAGCAACCCCCAGCTCCGGCATGATCTGGTGTCTTTGTGCCATTCTCACCCATGGTGAAAGTATTGGTGCTGAGCGTCTCTTGCGTAACTATGCAAGAGCTTGCCCCGAATCATGTGATTAGCAACAGTGTCATTGGTCTGGAGAATTCACAGTTAAAATGTGCCAAGCATTCTGAGCAAGTCAGTGTACCAGATGTACCAGAATCCCAAAGGGTATAAGGTTACTCGCAATTGCTAAAGTTCCTACCGGTACGTGCTTATAAGGACTTGTCATGTCTAAAATTTTACAATCAGCAATGTCCCAAACTGTATCAGACATTTTGTAGGTCCCGAACTGTATCAGACATTTTGTACAAGATTCTATTCCAAAGAATGACTCCTTGACACTTTTACATTCACGATCCATGTAGGAGGGGGGATGTTCAACTTGAAATGATGCAAACATCTTGTAGGCTCTTACCTGTGAGGAGAATGTACAGACTAAGTAGTCGGACAGCGCAAGGAAGTGGATGTCGGTGATGACTCCTAGTAGGGCATTCTCTGTATACCTGCTAGCCAGACCAGCTGACTGAGATATCGCATTGTCACTTATAAAAATATACTGCGGATACCTGCAACATCAAACAAAACCAAACAAATGATATAAAAAATTTGAGGACCTGAATTTCCACCTTTTCATCAAATACTTCAAGTCTGAATCAGAGCTCAGTACGTCAACAGAAAGTGAACGGGAAAAAGATTTTTACTGAACGGTACATGGGATCACCTGCTTTTTGTGCATGTTTTTCGTTTGAAGCAACAAAATTGCTCAAAATCTTAAGAAGAGTGCATAACAACTAACTTGTTGAAGTTATAGGTTGGTGGTTACCACAAATTTTGAGAAAAAAATAGAGAAACGTATGCACAATCTTTTTAGTCACGTAACTGGATTCCGTTTCTAACGCATTTAAAAATCTGTGCCTGTGGGCACATTTTCTTTAATAATTTTTTTTTTTATGATACCATTTCAGGCACAATAATTTCACAGGGTACCGGTATTTGGCACCACTCCTAAAATTCTCTTCGACTAAGGATTTTCTCGTTAAATCAGTAGGCATACTTCCGGGTAATTGATGTTTCTAGCCGTCTTTAAGACATTGAACCCAATGCACACCATCCAAATTGAGCATTAAAAAATCTTTAAAGCAAAACTAAATATTGAATTTCTTTTTATGTACAACTGTGTGGTCATGCGTATCCATTGGTAATAAAAACACTGCATTCCAAATATGGCAGCCATCCAAACAGTCCATAGGGCTCGCTCAATGACGGCCATCTCTGTAGGAGAACTGCAACTGCATATTTTACGCAATCAAACACGCATTGCACAGTGTTGAAAATGTTTCAAACACACGCGCTTGCTGCTCGAAATCTGTTCGAAATACGACGCAGCCGATGCGCGTTGCACAAGTTGACGGTCAAAATGCCAATGCACGTGGATGGTCTGTAGGAAACGACGTCATTTGAATGAGACCTATTAGTTTCTTTAGAAACACCACTTACACTTTTTTTGCCTCTGCTAATAGCGTAGCGTCATCCGTGGCAAGATAAACTCGTCTCTCTGTTATCGGTTGGGTCCTCTCTAGCGTCAGGTAATACTCCTCCACGTGTACCATGTATTCCTGAATACCGTGAAATGAGGCTTCTGTCCCAACTTTGTCAGTGCGTCTCACGTGCACCCTGATTAAAAGGGAAGAATTCAGCATTACGCAGGAATACCGCTGGTCTGAGTACGATGGGTGGGTATAAAATTCCAAAAAGATGTTTGTGAATTCATGTTATTATTAAGGGAATAAATGTGTACTTGGCCTGCTTTTGTATGTTTAAAACCGGCTTGGGTCTAGGACGCTGGTAATGGGAAGGGGTTCAGGCCATTATCAGCTTCCAAGTCAAAACAAATAAAAAATATAAAAAATTACCAATGTTTTTGCTCAACAAATTTATTTCATATAGTTTTTAACTTCCCTCTAGCTATGTTATGGTATGTGCCTCTCGCGAGTAGTATTAAAGGGGCACTAGGTCCTGAAATCCCCGAAAAATGTTATGTTTTGGATTGTTTACTTAGGCTATTTCAAACATCTGGTTGAAAGGCAACCAACCTAATGTCTTACCGTTCCCGAGAAAAGACGGAAAAAAACCCGCTTGTTTACATCGGACATGACGGAGTACGAATACGTTTTTCGTGTCATTCTCAGTGTATGCTATACACGTTGTGTGTCTCGGGAACAGCGCGCGGTGACCAATCACCAATGCAAAAAATTGTGGTTCCTTCAACGTCCGCAAAAGGCGAACACTTTACGCGTACGAATGAAATCACAACTAGCATCCAAACAGCTCGAAGTTATGGGGTCGCAAAAGTGGACCCCGAAATTCGTTCTCGCATGCATAATACAGGAATAACACAAAAACGCCCAGTTTTTAAGGGATAGTTGTGTGGATGTTTAGATCCTACTTTTAAATGTTATTTCCGATTATCATCATCTCGTTCAAAGCCCGTTTTGTAGCCCAATTGGGCTGTTCCAGGACCTAGTGTCCCTTTAAAAATGAGATTGGAGGGTGCATGGCACGTACTGCACGTTGAGGCACAGAACGCAGCGGTGCCGGTGAAGTATGAATTGAGGACTCAATGAAATGTGGACTCATTGGTAGAATTGAGCATGCCTAAGTAAAGACTGTGAATGTTTGACCAATAAAAAAATAAAAGGAACCAGATTTCACAGGAGTCCAAATTTCATGTAACACCGGCAAAGTGTTTAAAACCAGCCAGCTGGTGCTTTATCAACCGTTTAAGCCACCCATGTGACGGGCTCTCGACAAATAGGGTTTGGTAAACTGTCTTTGTTTTTGATATTTATGAATATTTTTAATGACTTGGCTAAACTTGACAACTACCGCGGCTCATGTGTGGAAGCATATAGTCAGCTTTCTATGGTCTACAGTCAGTACCAGTCAGATAACTGTGATTAAACATACTCAATCATCAAGAATAAACAACCTTTTTCCAACCAACAAATGTTGGGTAGTTATCACAAATTAACGAAGAAAGAAATGTGGACCAGATGTTATTTTATAGAAACTTGGATTTTTATCCCGAACCAAAGACTACGATAACATTTATTAAATAAGCAAAATGAATGATCTGTTATACATGTAAAGTAATCATTTCTTCACAAAAATGAACAGATTTAAAAAGTGGTGCTTTTTGCAGACATGAATTGTTACAGATTCAGAACAATATTCCATCAAATACTTGCGGTAACAAAGAACCTTCAAATATTAACGGATTACTGGGTGTTGCACAGTCATGATATAAATGTCTAAACCTCTGTCAATGTACGTGTTGTTGCCACAGTCAGTAAGAATAAGGTTCACTAGTACTTTCTCTTCCATATGCATGGATCATTACCCATAAAGAGTGTCCATCAATTGATGTTATGAATAATTTAAACAACTTGGATTACCTCAAAATGTCAGCAGCTTTTTTTAATTTGACAACAATCAGTGAGCACTATTAAGCCTTTTTTGAGGTTGTGCACTTTCTTGGACAATAACACAGCTGCTACAATGTACACATTAAACCACAAGTCTCTTTTCAAGCCTGACATACCTCACAGGGTGAGGAAATAATTGAATGCAATATTATAGTACATGAACTTTTGCTTGATGTGAAGGCTATTACTGTCACATCATGATATGGTGTGCCACCTCACATTTGCTACTGTTAAACCCAACCATTCCTGTACCGCCTCAGTTTGTCCTGTCTGTTCCTGTACCACCCAACCCAACCCCCCCCCCAGCACTGTGTGGTTTTATGGATTCATCAGGGAATAAATACAATGTACTACAATGTACTACAATGTACTACAATGTAATACAATGTAATACAATGTAATACAATGTAATAGAAGTACTAATGGGTTTAAACTTCATAATCACCTTGCTTAACAAAACATTTTCACTTAAATCATGCACGGCCACTGCCCCCCTCCCCCTCCCCCCCCCCCCCCCCCCCCCCCCAAAAAAAAAGGGAACTGGTTATCAGCAGATTTTCGTTTGGTCCACTACATTTTTTCAATGCAAGGTAACTTCATGAAATAAATCCTAGTAACATGTTAAGATTAGCTCCAGGCAATCTCAAAAAAAAAAGGCTGACAATATTATGTGTCAAGGCAAGTTCAGATTTCACGCAAAAGTGAATGTGAATTGTGACGTCACAGCAAGTGTTTACCCTGCAATTTTGCACAAGTTGAACACATTTCAACTCCGGCCTTAATTTTCTGAGAAATTTCCATTAACTGTTGGCAAACAAGGTACTCTATTATCCCAGGGAGAGCTTTTTGCAATTGCCTCCAAGTTACCAGAGAATATTGCCTTTCAGTGTCTTGGCCCTAAGGACACGCTGATGAGTGCATGCTACACAGTCCTTTATTAAAGAAGGCTTGTGATTGGATTCCTGTCGGATATCTGAAACCTTTCAGAATCAACGAAATCAGATATTTGCAAAGAAGGACACCAGCACTTGACAAGCCAACATGATACCTGTCAATTTACCTTGGACAAATGGATGCACTGCCACTTAAAACCTCAATACTCTGTCATGTGGGTAGCCTATGCATTTCCATCAACCGTCGCACTTATCTTTGGAAAATCTGTGACCTGTTCTACTGATCAATAGGGCTGTGCATTTTGGAATAATTTAGTATTTGATTATTCTAATTTGGAATTAATAGAATATTCAAATATTCAAAATATTTCTGATCAAGTTACAAGAGATTAACAATGACAAATGAATGCCTTCGTCACACTTAAATAGCTTGTCAGTTGACTAAGGACTAGATGACTTGTGATGATTGACTTGTGACTGACTTGTGGTGACTTGTGATTGACTTGTGACTGACTTGTGATGACTTGTGATTTACTTGTGATGACTTGAAACTGACTCGATAACAATTCTGACTGGAGGACTCGTGATTGACTTGTGATTGACATGTGATTGACTTGTGATTGACTTGTGATTGACTTATGACTGACTTGTGATTGACTTGTGATTGACTTGTGACTGACTTGTGATTGACTTGAAACTGACTCGATAACAACTCTGACTGGAGGACTTGTGATTGACTTGTGATTGACATGTGATTGACTTGTGATTGATTTATGACTGACTTGTGATTGGCTTGTGATTGACTTGTGACTGACTTGTGATTGACTTGTGATGACTTGAAACTGACTCGACAACAACTCTGACAGGAGGACTTGTGATTGACTTGTGATTGACGTGATTGACTTGTGATTGACTTGTGACTGACTTGTGACGACTTGTGAAGACTTGTGATGGCTTGTGATTGAAATGTGGAGACTTGTGATTAACTTGTGATGACTTATGACTGACTCGATAACAACTGTGACTGGAGGACTTGTGATTGACCTTGATGTACAGTAATGTCCTCTGTTTTTTCATCATGCACGGTACTTAGCAGCACCATGAAACTTGATCGCTTAATGGCAAGACAAATACGATCACTATCTTACCCAACGATAGGATGTTTGAATCCGAGACGCTGTCCGGCCATCTCCAAGTCCTTGGCTAGCCTAGGCTGAGGACGGAGGATATACTTGAGTACCTGGCCCATCCACCAGACCGTGGGATGACCATGGAGTCTCATCAACCTCTCCGAGAGGTCCTCGGGGATGGCTAGGGGTAGGAAGTCCGGCCTGGGGTTGATGCCGTCGATGATCGGCAGATCTATCACCTGGGTCTTCTCAAGCTTGTCCGTGGTAGCTGTCAACCAAACCAACCAATCAGAATGGGTTAAAATGATAGAAATGTGGTCAGATGGCAAATCCAGCATGGGGGGGGGGGGGTTGCTGGGGGGTCTTTCCATATGACATTGCATCATACTATCCAAAACGTTGAGTCCACGTCCCCCCCCCCTTCTTCTGAACCTCACAAATCTTATTGCTACCTTCACCATGCAAACCTTCAAATCTTAGCTAACACTGTTATCAATATGTCATGCTATCTAAAATGTCATCCTATTTGCAGGGACAACATTTCTATGCATTTAAAATTATTCTCTTGGCGAAAGTGCAAGTATCTCCAACTCACACCAATAGAACAAAAATGACTTAAATATTCACTTACTGAAGCAAACAATTCTGAAATCTCTGAATTTGGGACGGAATGTGTAAAATTTGCATATTAATGCCTCTCAACTGGCATTTATACCGAAATTCAAAAAACAGTTTCAGACAGTTCGTCTCAATTTCAAACATGTTTGGGTTCAGCATGGCCAAACTACTCCAACCCCTTTGAATGAATAGACTGCAGAACTTTGAAAACAAATAAATGCAATCCATGCAAATAAATAAATAAATACGTAACTAAAAGAGAAACATTGCATACTTATGTGTTAGCACTGCAAACACTATTAAAATACTGCAACATATTATGTAAAAGCTGCTTTGTTAGTCACACAAGTAGAAAATTATAGGTGAACATGTACATATTGATTGGCAATGAGGTCACTAATGAACATCTATACACCCCAAGGGACAGTGAGTGACCTGGGATTTGGTCATGCACAACATTAGCAGTTTACAAAACCTCCAAAAAAATTATGGAATTGAACTGAATCTATGCTTAAGTGGCAAGAATCAATCTACTTAAATAGTGTAATAGTGTCCTCTTTAATAGTGTTTTTTTTTTTTTTTTGAAATGTGAATTTAAGAAATAAGATTTTGATGGATACACTTTACCAAAATTGTCTCCTTTGTACTGTTATGCTACCATATGGAATGCAAACAGATACAGTTTCATGCGACTTATAATGTTCAAGGCCCCTTTTTGTCTGAAATTTTCAGGAAATAAATTAAAATGTTGTGTATCTCCCTCGCAAGCCATGACCTACACATCCTTTTAGTTTTAATATCACAATGTGGAAATAGCGCACGACACTACATGTATATAATTAATCCCTTCCCCTTTTTGAAAAAAAAAAAAAATTGAGTCCTCATGGCCCCCCGAAAATTCTGGATCCACCCTTGTATTGAACCAATCATATTTTTGTATCACCGTACGCAGCCGATATTCCTTTAAATTTCTGTTATCTATTTCTAAAAAATAATAAGCTTAGCCAGCATAATCAATTAATCAATAAAATAATCAGTTACATTTGGGTCTCAAGTTATCGACCGGGGAGCGATGTCAGTGAAAACATGTCTTATGAGGCTTTTAAATGCTAGAGTAACCTTATTTTTTCCCCTGTTTGGTAAACTCATTAAGTTCTAATCTAGCGTATGTCAACGGAATAATTGATGGCGTGCGAGTTGGTACTGAGCTTAATTGGTTTGGCTGCACAGCCAGGCGGTGTGAAGGCTTTTCTCATTAGACTGGCCATCTGTCTCCAACAGATTGCAAAAATGTGCAGGACATGAGGACCAGCGTGTGTGGAGGAATTTCTGATTAGAATTCAAGCCAACGGGCTCAGTGTTCTCCACAGAGAATTAAAAAAAGAACAGGTATTTAATGTCCCAAGATGGTTTAGCAATGACTTGGACGCTATCTAAAATATGTTTAGTACTTACCTACAACTCCCCCCCCCCAACCTAGTATTACTGATATATCACAGTGCCTAAATAAATGAATGAAAAATCACTTTCTACTTGATGGATTAATTGAAATTGTTAGTAACTCTTATGTTGCACTTTCTAGAAATAATCACTGTGCTACGTTTATTATTACAAGTCCTCTACTGTCAAACACTGAATTGTTATTACACTCAATTATAATTCATCGTTTCAGTGCAACAAGGTTGTAACTACATGTACCAATGTTTTAAAATTCAGCTTTTTGTGGGTCGTTGGGGTTTTTGGTCAGGTTTTACCTAAAGATTCTTGCACGAAAATTTCACTGAAAAATAGAGCGTCATTATGACGTAATTAATTAATGTTATACAGTCATATCTAGATTGCAAGCCTTAGGCTCATGCTATAAATCATATGCCAGTGTGCATCACTGCAAACTACCCTATTGTCATGTTTGTGCAAAAGGGTCATAAAATTTGTCCGAATTCATATTCTAGTCAAATGATCAGAATAAGAAAGCAGAAAAGCATATTTACACTGAAAAAAAAGATGCCATTTGGAATTATTAACAACATTCTTGAGCTGGACACAGGTAAAAACAATCATGTCATTCAATTCCGAGGTGTTTTGGGACTACGGTAAACCTATTTTGAAACTTTACTTGATTTAAGCCAAATCAGGAAATGAACAGATTTTGTGCTTAAATAAATGGGGCGTTGGTGTGTTCATGCAAGGTCATATCTCGACCAGATACCGGTACAACGTTGTGACACAAAATTCTTTGTTAAAAGGTTGTAAGTTCATCTCATTTGTTTAAAATCTGTTCTATTTAAAAATTTTAGAGGTATGAAATGTCCAAGTTAATGCAAATTATCTCCAAATACATTACCGACCTAGAATTAGTTGTCTTATCATTACTTTCTAGAACTTAGAACTGCACGTTTTTCTCAAAATGACTCAAATCCGAGTTATGACCTTGTTGCACAAATGCGACCAATAACACTCCGAAAAATACGGTTTATTACAGTTGGATTATAACCTAAGTATCACAGGGATGTGATTGGTCTGTGACAAAAAAAACTGAAAATTTTATGCATGAAGTGCAAACTCCGGCGAGCCCGAAGCCATTACGGCGTGGGGTCCGGGGCCCGCTTAAGGGCCCCTGAAAATGTTTGAGTTTAGATGCTCTGTGGTGCAATCTGAGGCGATTACTGGGCAGTTTCCTCTGAAACTTTGGAGCAGCATTTGTTTTAATTTTAAGAACACTTTTTCTTCATTTGTTAAAATGTACTCTTGTTCTTATAAAGTTTCTTCTGTACTCAAAGTTGAGAACCATGCATTGTCATGTTACCTCGCCGTATTTGCCATGCTTTGGTGTGCTTTGGGTGTTTCACATGGGATACGAGCGATTTCTTTCCACTTGACGCTGGATAATGTCATAGCAAACACTGCAAAAAACCTTGCCAGCGGTTGCTATTTTATCGAAACACTCTTGAAATTATGCTGATGCCCGTCAATAATAACGGAGTCCTGAAACCATTTCCACCCGAACTTATTTTTCACTTCTTTATCAAGCTCTCGCACTGATAAATCTCCTTGCGACAGGATTGACTTGTTAAGCGCAGCCATGTCGGAAGCATACGTACACAAGTACAAACACTCCGAGCAGACGCACGTAAAACAACAACGTGCATAATCCACATGATTGTACTGTATTTTATGCCATTGTGCACGCTGAGTAATGTCGGCACACCTGACCAGCGCAACACGTGCATCTCGAATACCGACACAGGAACTAGACCTATTAAATAATCACAACCTCGGACCCGAGCGAAAAATCACATGATCGCGCTAACGGCAACGCATGGTCTTCAACTTCGTTCTCACATTGGGTATTGAATATGTGCATGCGTAAGATATATCGATCAACGAAGTAATGTCCGTCGGATATTTCGCGAATTCGGCAAGCAAAACTCATTATGAATAATTAATTAGCACATTCTACCCCCCCTTTTTCTCAACGGATTCACACGATTTCCGGAAAAAAACGGAGAAATCACATCCCTGGTATTAAAACTATGTTGATCAGGGTTTTTTATGAGTAGGAAAGGATGTTTGAATACAGCTGAAAACAGTTTCAAAGGAGCCAACAAGGTTTGCCAAGAGACTCAAGACTCATTCTCCACTCAAAGTCCTTTTGAAAATATTTGTCCGAATACTCTGATTCCGTAACCAAAAATACTCAGACCAAAGATTCTGGTTTTTCAGACTGAATTTTAACTACAACATATTACAGTTTACTTTCAACAGTCCCCAAAAAAGGATTAGTTTTCTACACGGCGGGCCTGATGTGAAATGGTTAACATGCATCAGTGTCAGAGTAGATTTTTGTTGCCGACAGTAAATACCTCATGCATTTATTCTGGAAATCTGATTGGTCGATTGACCCAGTAACCTCTCTGTCTCTTTACGATGACACAGGACCGGGTGGGACTGGGTGATGTGGGAGATGAAGATGATGACGCTAACGCTAACAGAAGACAAGAAATCAACTACAACACTTCATGCACTGAAAATGAACATGCAAAATGAACAAGACATGCAAATGAAATGCACATTTACATAAATTAAACACAACTGTAACAACTCTTAAACTGCCCACCCCTGTCTCCCCCCACCAAAAAAAACTGACTGTAGATCACAGAAATGCAGGTTTCTATATTCTAAGAAATAATTTCTTATCTAAGAAATAATTCTGCGAATAAACAAATAAGTATCAATGAGCATCAAATTTGCTATTACTTTTTTGTAAAAGTAAAATCTTCATTAGATAAGACCCAAAACTGATGCTACCGTACTGCCAACATTTATAGTAATAAAGAAACCAACTTCATCAATTTCAATGTTAGAAGTCTTAGAAAACTTTGGGAAGTGGTCCTCATGTGACTCAGCTCTGATAATGAAACGTCCAAGTTAGACAGCATAATGAAAAAATCCTGAAAAAAAAACAACGAAAAAGGTTTCTTACAAAATCCAATCCAATCCAATGTGGATTGTATGTCATTCTCCCCCTTTGTTTTACGCAAAATTGTTTTTGCTCCACTAGAAATGTACACGTATGAGAAGACAAACCATCATGCATACGTTCTACGAAAATGTGTCTTGACACTATATACTTACGACCCCATCTGCCAGTAGTGGCACCCCGACGATCCAGGCAAGTCTCACTCAGAGGTAGGAAGAACTTCTCCCATCCTTCAGGAGCATAACGCCAACCCCGCGACTGTAAGACGAGGGTGCGTTGGGTGGCATAGGCAACAATCATGCAGTAGGCTACATGATGGACCTGGCAGCCGTAGCCACAGCCTTTGTTCAGATTGCAGACCACTTTCTGGGCTGTGCTACACTCTTTGGGATTCTGTAGAATGGGAAAGGCACATGAAAGAGGTTATGGGCTCAAGGCAGACTGTAGTAAATGAAGCCAGAGCCACAGCCTTTGTTTAGATTGCAGACCACTTTCTGGGCTGTGCTACACTCTTTGGGATTCTGTAGAATGGGAAAGGCACATGAAAGAGGTTATGGGCTCAAGGCAGACTGTAGGAAATGTAGCCAGAGCCACAGCCTTTGTTCAGATTGCAGACCACTTTCTGGGCTGTGCTACACTCACTGGGATTCTATCCACTCCGTTCACAAGTACCCCCTCACCGGCAAAGAAAGTACAGTTGAGGGTGACAGTCTGACGCTATCTTGCCTGACTGCAATTTTGCCACGACGCGCGGCCATACCACTGCGTGTACATAGTACAAATCCCCTGGTGTATGTGCGTCACACACAAGGAACGGTGCGCGTCAACCAGCTAAATGTCCTGCCCATGGGACGTTGTTGCTAGGTAAAAGGGCGCCCTCTTTCGTTGGCACACGGAGCCCATAGAATGGGAAAGGTATATGAAAGAATTATGGGCTCTCTAGGCAGACTGTAGGAAATGTAGCCAGAGCCACAGCCTTTCTTAAGGTTGCAGACCACTTTCTGGCGTGTGTTAAGCCACAGCCTTTCTTCAGGTTGCAGACCACTTTCTGGCGTGTGTTAAGCCACAGCCTTTCTTAAGGTTGCACACCACTTTCTGGGCTGTGCTACACTCTTTGGGATTCTGCAGAATGGGAGAGGTACAGGTATATGAAAGGGATTATGGGCTCTCTAGGCAGATTGTAGGAAATGTAGCCAGAGCCACAGCCTTTCTTCAGGTTGCAGACCACTTTCTGGGCTGTGCTACACTCTTTGGGATTCTGCAGAATGGGAGAGGTACCGTACCAGTATATGAAAGGGATTACGGGCTCTCTAGGCAGATTATATAACTTATCCCGCGAGCACGAGTGGCACACGGAATAATGTAAAGCATCTGTGTCCCACATACCACGAGGCCGAAGGCCGAGTGGTATGTGGGACCCAGACCCACTACATTTTCCGTGTTTCACGAGCGTGAGCGTGATAACGAATTTATCTTCAAATCCATCAATTATTTGGTCAAACAATAAATCAAATTACTGTTGGCTTTCTTCTAAACCATACATACCTGTAAATAATGAAACCTTCTTTGTACCAAATCACTCAATGATTTTGCCTCATTTGCCCTCCATACCGTCTTGTTGTCTACCCTGCTTAAGTTGTAAATATCTACAATGATGGATCTGTTAATAAAAAAAAATTGAATCACAAGACTGAAAATTAGATCGGGGTCAAGATTTGTGCTGGTCTTGAAGATGTTTACACATGCACTTGAAAATATATAATTAGCAATTGTTCACATTCCTTCATCGTTATGTTCTCACTGGTCTGATGATGAATGGTTATTGATTTTTACACTGTCAAGAAAACTACCGGTACCAATGCTGTTGAACAAAGAAATTGACTGGAGTGGGGTTTGAACCTGTGACTTCTGGATTGCTGATCAGTTTCTCTACCAACTGAGCTATCCAGCCCTATGTTAGTTTTTTAGATGAGTCAGGTCCGAGTTCAAGTCCGAGTCACAAGTCACATTTGTACGAAATGAATGTGCATGGCAAGGACACACATACATGTTAGCGATGTAAACGGTGCCCTGTCGCAGGAAAAAAGGAGGGACGCATTTTAATAACAACAATTATTATTTGAAACACCACCTGGAGAGTGGTGCGTTACGGTTCATGCGTTTAATGATCTTTAGTTTTACTTTAACTTTACTTTAACATTACTTTTTTAAAATTAACATTGGAATTATGTTTTAGAATGTATTTATTTTTTTTTTGTAACAAAAATAGTGACTCGCGAGTTACAAACCATTAGCATCAAGTTGGAGTCATGATGGTCAAGTTCCGAGTCCGAGTCCGTTTCTTCTGCCAATGTGACTCAAGTCGTGTACTCAAGTTCAGGTCTCTAAAATTGCTACTCGAGTCCTACAATCAATCTCCCAATCTGTCTACTTCTTTAAGTGTCGTCAGAAACTGACATGCTCTCTTCCTCTTTCTATTTACAAATCTGTGAATTTCCAGCTGTTTCAAACATGGCAACCATGTTTAATCAGTGCAAAATCAAATTGACTTGCCATGAAAAGCAAGTCGAAAACACCTGGGAAAAATATCAGCCTAGAGGTCTTCAAAGGTCATGTCAATGAAGAGCAACATGGATGAGTACCATCATGTCTTAATCATTTCTTGTGTAACGGGCTCATGCAATATTATTTTTTTAATGCAATCCTTGAAAATGCACCTTTGTGTCCCACCTAACCTTCATTTCAATTTTCGTTTTGCCATTTTCAAGGATATTTTGGTGCCTTTTTGGTTTTTATGTTAACGAAATTTCCATATTCATGAGCAAATGTGTGATGTCATTTCAGGCAGAAACCTCAATGTTACAGAAATTTCAGCACCAAAAGTTGCCAAAATTTGGGATGATTTGCGTTGTAAATTTTCTTTTCTTTGGTGATGGCTCAATGAGCAAATTTTTCTCACAAATGTTTTCAATGAACCAAAGTTTGGGTACACAATCTGAGCAGTGTCTACCTGAAATGATATCACAGCAACAGCGCCCTCAGTTGTCTGGAAAAGCATGGACAGTTTTAAATGTTTAAAGAAGTGCACTTTTCAATAATCTGAACCAAAAAGGAATGTCAAATAGTTTTCATACATTTAAGACAGGAGTAGAAAACTGCACAAAATGTGTTCCTAAGTAAAATTCATCTCATGGCCCCTTTACATTGTAAGTACTGATATTCTGGGTAAAAATTTTAACACGCATGTTGTTTCAAAGTTCCTGACTCTGTCAAACTCTCATGTAAAAATAATTTTCACTGCAATTGCTAGTTTGTTTTTACGGGGGGGGGGGGGGGGGGGGGGGGGGGGGGGGGGGGGGGGGGAGAGTTTGTTTCTGCATTCAATATGGGACGTTGAACAATAGAGGACAATAGGGTCCTCAATTCCCAAAGGACCCCCAATTTGGCAATATGTACAAAGCATATGGGAGGTCTTCCTTAAAAGTTTAAATACAAACAAAAGAGGGACAATAGGGGGTCCCCTAATTGCTATTTTTGTAGGGGGTGGGGGGTGGGGAAGAGTTTGTTTCTGCATTCAATAGGGGACGTGAACAATCGAGGACAATAGGGTCCCCAATTCATGAAGGGTCCCCAATTTGGCAATGTGTACAACACCTATGTGAGGTCTTCCTTAAAAAATAAAGTATAAACAAAAGAGGGACAATAGGGGGTCCCCGATTGCAAGCAAATACACACTTGTACCGCTATATGTGTGTTTGTGGGGGGGGGGGGCGTATTTCGTATCTTCTTTGAAATGCAATACTTCTTTTTAATTTATTTCCACAACATCCAACAGTGCAAGCGCCAGAACAGGATGGAAGGCTTGGTAGAAGATGTTGCAGGGGTGTGAGTGACCACTGATAAAAATAGCTGAAAACAGCTGAAAAGGTGTAAAAAAGCTGAACTTTGGAAATCTCCTATACTTTTGTACACAGCAAGTGAGGGAAGAAAGCTGAAATCCAAAACAAGAAAAAGCTAAAATCAGCTTTAAAGCTGAGATTTCACACCCCTGGATGTGGAAGGAAATTACAGCTTAAGTGGTGGGAGGAAACCGAGAATGATATTCAAGGAAAAACCCACAGAATCAGGCATGGACTGAAAACCAAATCTACATATTAATCCAGGCAGGATTCGAACCCAGGTCACAGCAGTGGAAGGTAGGGAAAGTACGGCTAAGCTAACCTAGTCCCCTAATGAAATGCGAACTGTGAAAAAGCCACACTTTATGTGACGTTCAAGTACCGTACCCCATAATAGCATTTCCAGTGCACTTCACAATGTCATCTCATCCACTTCAATATGCACACACATATTGAGGCACAGAGCTTGTCTCTGCAGATGTACGATCATCTTTCTACTGTACCGTCAATTCCACAGGGTCTCTTCCAAATAAAACAGACGTTGTTTATTTCATTTTGGCATCAAAGGGTCTTTTTCCCCCTCAGCTTAAAGCTTTCATTGATCCTCTTCTTTTCTGCATTATGCATTTCTGAGCGCTCTCCAAATGCCCCTCGGAAGCGATCCTGAAACGGTTTCCAGGTTTAATTTGGCTGAAGTCAATTTCTATTTGTTCTGTCATCGATGTTTCAGGCACAAATCTAGGGACCATCTACTCAAGTATTTTACGCAATGAGATGCATTAAGATCACCATACAAGTAAGGTGATCAATTTTGTTTTAAAAAATTGTGTACAGCAAATATGTGAAATATTTGCATTCTTTTTTAATTTTGTAATCAAAAAAATAAAAAATAAAAAAAACCACAATTTTCGCCTAGATATCTGTAAAACAAGGAATGGCAAACCACATTTCACTTCTCTGCATTGTGATGCAAATGAAGGGAAATTACATTGTACTTAATGCCACATACACCTTAGATCTCAGACTTACATATGTACATGTATGTTTGTTTTTACCCTTCAGGGCCCCCCCCCCCCCCAAAAAATACCCAATAACTTGCATTTCAAATTATTATTTCATTTTCCCAAAAGGAGCACTGCTCAATCTAACACAGTAAGATTGTAAACTGGCCTAGTTTCAGTTCTACATATGACACCAAGCATCCTGTAATGAAATCCAATGCCTCGCACGACTCCATCTTTAAACTAGCGCTTCAGACAAAACGTTTGCCATGAATTATTTTTTACGACCCATTTGCTTTGCATTGTCACACTGGAAGCTCGCAAACTACCAGTTGAAATGGATTTTTCAATGCCTAACGTTAATTGACCATTAATATTACATCTTTATCAATTTGCAGGATCATGTTGTCATCTACATGTATGCATGTACCAGCAAAATTAAAAATATCTAAATATCTAAACATCAGGGAGCTACATGTACTTTCAGTCTCTTTAACGCCCCACGAAATTCCACTTTAAACAAAATTCCATAAATAATCTACTGAAAAAGTAACTCGTCGTGTGCCTGACAGAAGGGTGTATGCCCGTACGCACTTACGCGCGACTGCATAATCGCCAAAAGATTCCCAGCAAAAGGCCATATGCAGAAAACTGCCTCTATTTTAATGAAAGCATTTCCATTGGAAACTAACACAAGTCGTTCCAAAAATTATGTTTCATACCTGTGACAAATTCAAAATGTGTACGGGTGGGAGAACATTGGATTTTTGCGTCAGAATGCTCATTATGCCCTTCTGCTGGGCACTCAACGAACTAATTAATTAATTAATTAATTAATTAAATGTAAATTATGTAAATTAATAAGCCCCTCTACCAAAAAGGAGGAAATATATATTTACTGTGGAAAATTATAATTGAGATGACATCCATAATGGTTCATTCAATAAAATTTGAAAAGTGTTCTTCAAAATTTGAGATGAATAAAATGGCCAGCAATGTTTTCAAAATACCTTCCATTATTGCTTCAAAATTCTTGTGATCTCACATTTGCTTCACAGAAAAATTGTTGGTTTCTGTATTATTATGTCCATATATTAAATTACCCATGACCATGGAATATTACTAAATTCTCTCTCTCTATATTTTTTTCTTGGTTGCTTTGTCAGAAATCCTTGGAAATTAAATGGGCAATGTTCAGCGAAGCGTGCATGAACCAGAGCAGACTTAATTAACGTAGCATCCATGCCGCGGTTCGCAGCATAATATCATGAAATGAAGGGAGATGGGGAGACAGTTGAACAACATCAAGCATTATAAATCCATTAGTTTAAAATGTCATTCATATTTCGAGACAAACATGCCATGTTAAGCATTAATTTCCTAAAATGAATTGTTAATGCTATGTGCATATAGGAGTGACTTTTTTAGCATTTGATATCACAAAGAATTATATTTTGAGGAACATCAATATGTCATGTCTTGTTTAATAATATGCCAGGAAAATAACAACCACCAGATAATTTGTCTATAATTAGATAATTACTAGTCTTTTGGAAAGGCCAGGGTTACAAGTGACTTTAAACTTTGTCAACATTTTGTAAAAACGACTTTGCATTTTAAATTTTGCATAGCAAAAACACAATTCATACATAGAGGATCATCAAAGGAAAGATCAAATTGCCACGCACAGTCCATGTGCGATGCAAATTAGAACGTTACACTAAAGACCGTGACCACATTTTATCATGTTTGAGAGAAGGGAGTTAAAAAAAAAAAAATTGAAAGTCAATAAAAAATGTCTATACCTTAATTCAGAGGTGGTGGCTGTATTGTAATAATTTTTTAGAAATGGCCTTGGAGTGCATTATTCGCGCAAGAATGTCTTCGCTATTTATTTCCGTCCTTCCATTTCAGGCAACGAGAATACCACTTCCTCTCCAACAAGGCAAGCCAGTCATAAATATAAAACACGGGCGGGTAAAAAAAAAAATCAATATTCTTTGGCCCGGAGCGGTTCGGGCTTAGTGACATGGACATAATTGAGCTGGAAGAGCTCAGTAGGTATACAGCGAGATGAGCTGTGATCCAATTAAACCACCGGCGATATCCACGATCCCCACGAGGCAAACATGCACAGGCTTACATCGCCATCTGCTTGAGCTATAGCTTTTTTTTTCCTGTTTTAAATATTAATTAAGAGTCTATTATCTGGAGCATATAGGGGTTTTTTTTGGCGGCTGATCGTAATTTCCTGACGTCTTTTGTTAGAGAAAGCCAGTGTTCATGTGTTGCTCGGTGCGCTAATGAGGTTTTTCTAGCAAATTAGCATCTCTTGTGACAGGAAGCGTTCTGGGAGAGCACATACTGTTTTCACAACAAGAAGGCCCAAAAAAGTGACACATATAAAACACAATTTCTACATCTGCATTTATAATAATATGAAATGTCACAAAATTGTAATATTTTTTTAGGAATATGATTTGAAAATGCTGAAATTTTAATAATAATAATAATAATAATAATAATTTGGGAGGCTAATCATCCTTACTCGCAGCTGGTATGCTGAATTGCGAAGGACGCGGCTACAACGTGGTCGGGCCGCTGGCACGTAAATTTTGTTTTAACTTTTTAGTTGTTCAGCTTTTTAAGATGAAGGGGTGTCTCAGTATAATTTTAGCTCAGATTATTTAAATAATTGTAATCTTTGAATATTGTCTGTGATGTAAACAAATGCAATTTAATTTTTTTATTTCTAGTCATTTTTTTTTCAAATCGACTGTTATTGCTTTGAATTATTCCATTTTTGAAAACATGCATGAAATTTGGGGCTTGATTAAAGATTTCGCAAATATATATAATCTATTGTTTAGAAAGACAATTCTGAAATGATCATGAGAGCTCTTTTAATTGTGGGTCTGAAATTTGAAAATCATTGTGTAAGTTTTAGACATTTGTCCCAAATAATGATATTTGAAGTTTTTGTGAAATACAGCCAGTGGATACATTTTTAACAAACAAAAATGTGAATTTTTGCAAAATTCTGTTAATCCGTATCAATTAGATGCAAAATATTTATTGCAATCTTTTGATGTACTTAACAGAACTCAACCCATCAAACCCCAAAGTCATGTTTTGTTGGGATCCATCAGGATGGGTACAGTACCCCTAAACTGACAGTCTTTTACATTGGGTTGGCACACCTCCAGAATCAAAATCAGCAATATGTTCAGTTTCCCATTGGAATTTGCCAATTTTGTTGGAATCTGTCAGGATGGGTACAAGTACCCCTATTACTGACAGACTTTTACAATGGGTTGGCACACCTCCAAAATCAAAGTCAGAAATATGTGTGTGCAGTTTCCCATTGGAATTTCCAGGATGGGTATGGTTCCTAGTAAATCACGCTAGGGAGTTAGGGTTAATCCACTGACTACTACCTTACAGAAAAATATCTGTTCGTGATAAAAGTTACACTTTAAACTGACTGCGTGTTGTTTGTTTTTCATAGACGTGAATAGCACATGGGGTCCAAAATTGTCACATTTTTGTGTCCCTATTACATCTGACCTGTATAATTTACCATACAAGAATCATTAAAACTGACTTCAAAGTATTTTTTTTAATTTGTTTGCCAGAACTTTGCTTAACAACATCACTCTTGAAGATAGAAGGCATTAAAGCCAGAGTCCATCATTTGCAGCTATCCAAAAAGTAACTGACGTAATTATTGTTGAAAAACATACTTGGTGGAAAGATTGTAAGGGGACTAAACCCCCTGTGAAATCATTCTTTTTGGTAAGCTGTCATGAATGTTGAAGAAATCAACGAAAGAAGGCCTTTCCAACAATGCGTCTTAAGAAGCACCGTAGGAAATTCAAATTAATAGTTCGTTTTGTTATTCGGCAAAGCGCACGCAAGCATTGGCACGACGCACACGCAATTGCTATAATTCGTCGGATCAGTGCACGACATCGCGTAGCTGCAATCGGCTCAGTGAGAACGTGTCTCGGACGCTGGATTCAGGCCCAATTCAAAACATGATTTAGCAACTTTCGATTTGAAATTGAGATCCTAGAATGTTGTTTTTCTCGAAAAATGCAGCTGAAGCTGAGCTGAAACTTTATCAGATTGGTTGTTCAGCATCCTTCTTCAGATATTGAGCACTTTTGTTGCTTCAAACAAACAAAATGTACAAATTACAAATGATGGACTATACCTTTAAAGAATTTACAAAATCAGATGTAACAGGGTCACAGGGACAGGGGGAAAAAATGGACCCCAACTTTATGGATTGACCAATATGCAGTAGACAGTATGTCATTGTCACCGCCTTGAGTGGTTTTGGCCGTGCGTTTGTCAAAATTCCTTTTACAAAAAAATCTGCTCACCTTTGTTGGTGACCAGCATCCTCTAGCACCTGATCCACCTTCTCTTTGACTTTCTCACTGGTACTCATCATTTTAATCTTCTTGAGTTCAGCCTTGAGGTAGTACCAGATCTCCACCACGCCGTTGTGAATGCGACGACGGAGCTTCTCCTCTTGGGAGCTCAGGCCATTGCTGCTGCCACTGACGCTGCAGGAGACCTGCGCTGCTGCTGCTGCATCTGTAGGAGACAGACTACCACTGATTATTCAGTTTTCACTTACATGTAGTTGATTGTTAAAGGTATAGTCCATCATTTGTAATTTGTGCATTTTGTTCATTTTGTTCGTCAGTGCTCAAGATCTAAAGAAGGGTGCTGAACAACTAACCTTGTGAAGTTTCAGCTCAGCTTTAGCTGTATATTTCGAGAAAAACAACATTATAGGATCTCGATTTCAAATCAAAATTTGCTGAATCATGTTTTGAATTGGATCTGAATTCAATGCTTGCGCACGCTTCGCTGAATAACAAAACGAACAACTAATTTGAATTTCCTACAGTGCTTCTTAAGAAGCATTGTTGAACAGGCCTTCTTTTGACTTTTGTTGATTTCTTCAAAATGAAAGCTTGCCAGAAAGAGTAATTTCACAGGGAGTTTAGTCCCCTTACTATCTTTCAACCAAGTATGTTTTTCAACAGTAATTATGCCAGTTACTTTTTGGATAGCTGCAAATGATGGACTCTGGCTTTAATTAGTCTGTTAACCAGTTCAGAGGACGTGATTACACACACTGGCTGTTTTTATACACAGACACGGCTGACGGGTTAAAACGTCAAGATTGCCTCGACTCGCCACCAGGTGACGTCTAAACACGCTAATCCCTCGTGCCTTTTGTACACACACACACAAAGTCCGTGAAGTCTGTGGAGGTGGACCATGTGCCCACGGTCACTGTTATTCGATTGTTCAGTGCGTGATAGCTGCATTCGGCTAAATGAGAACATGTTCCGGATGCTGATTTCAGGCACAATTCAAAATATGTCTTTTGAGCTGAAATCAAGATCCTAGAATACTGTTTTCTCGGAACATTCAGCATTGGCAGAGCTTAAACTTCATCAGGTTAGCTGTTAAGCACCCGTCTTTAGATTTTGAACACTTCTGTTGCTTCAAATGAAACAAATACATGTATACACAATTATACAACACCTGAATAAATCCCCGTCATCTGATTGGTGGATTGTTGATCACATGCCATTGAATTATTCGTACCAACGCACGGCACGCGCGTGGCGCGCAGCGCACAATGCAATGGAAGTTCTATTGCACGGTGAATAGAACTTCCATTGCACGGTGTCACTGCTGCAATGCTGCTGCTGGTAGTGGCGCTGTTTTAAATCGAGATAAATTGAATATGATTGTTCTCAACCTATTGAACAGTTTGCATTGATAAAATATGATAAACTTATTGTCCAACTTTTAAACAGTTTTTAACCGGAATAAATTGGCTATTAAAAGTCAACCAATAAGATGACAAGGATTTATTCGGGTGTTATATAAAACAAATAATGAATGTTTCACGTTCGTGCAATGGAAAGAATAATTTCATTCGGCGACAGATGAAATGTTCCATTCCACTCGGCTTCATCTGTCACCTCATGAAATTATTCTTACCATTGCACTCACAAACATTCATTATTTGTATAATACCGGTAACAAATGATTACTCTACCTTTGAAAATAACATCAAGACTGCTTTAATTTTTTTCTTCTTCAAATATTTGAATTTAAAACACACAGGATATTCGGATATTTGGTCGATATTGAATATTGGGTATATTCGGCACATCCCTAAAATAAAGCCACATTAGTCAGCATGAGCTTCAAACCTGGTCAGAAGGTGATGCATACACGTACCGTAGGTGCCACTCTGCCAACTTGACCCTCATTCAATATTGTCGATTTCTCAGTTATCGGAAGATCAATATTTGGGCCCCGCTTGCCTCATTTGATTTAGGCTTATTATGAGAGCCATGATGTGAAGTCAAAGTGGGTAAATTATTTTGTCAGAAAGACAAGTTGGCCGTAATTTTGAAGAAAAAACTAGCTCTTACGTTAAACCACATGATAGACATGGTCTTTATGACTGCTTCAGGAAAATTGGGATGCATTTATTCATTGTTTGTTCTTGCACCCTCAGACCCTAATGTTTGCATTGATCTCCATCAAAAACCAATGTTTGCTCTCCATGACTGTAAGACAGTGGCAACTTGAAGAGGTCGGCATAATTTGAAGAGAGGAGAGAGATGCTAGTGCTTCATTGTGCACAGTTAAATTCTGCCTCTGAATATGTAGTAAAAAAAAAAAAAAAAAAAAAAAAAGACTTCCACATCATGTACATGAAACCTAAATTGTCTGAAATCTCTTTTAGGGGGAAAGGTCTGAAATTCATTAAAGCCTCCCTCTCTTAGAGGGCTGACAAATTCAGCTTCGCCATCACAGCAGTAAAAATCAATCAAGTGACTGTTTTAACTGTGATATAGCCATGTTTTGACTGGAGGTGATAGACGACAGTGTTTTCACGAAGTGACAAAAACCCCAATATCATGCAAAAAGGTCATTCCGAGATAATCGCATTTGGAGTTAATCCTTTATTCAGAACACATTTTCGACTAGTTTGTAGTTATAGATTTGGGAATTTTTTACATTGTCAAGTAACGTATGCTTTGTTCTTTGCTAATTCAAAGTTGTTTATTCGAAGTCTCTCTTAATTAAACTGTAATTCATTAATAAAGATATTCTTCACTTCGTGAAAACAGCAAAACGCAGAGGCTTCTATTATTTTGTCCCATTAAGTTGTACTCACTCTTCGTCACTTCGTAAAATAATCAAACGTTCTAAGATATTGTTACATTTGCGCGTCTTACGTCACTGCAGCGCGCGTGTGTCTGTTTTTTATCGACATTGTTCGCGGCGCGCGCGTCCACTCCCATCCTAATGTGTGTGTAGAGAAATGTATTATTCCTCTGGCCCTGCTAATGAGGTAAGTTTTTGTCACTTCGTGAAAACAGAAAAACATGGATTTCAGGCTTTCTGTCAAATGTTTGTTTAGGATAATTACAAAAGTAATCAATATTTCGCTTTGAAACTTGGTCAAATTCTTCTTTTTGTCAAGTGCAATCAATTGGCCAACAAAACTCAAAATCGAAAAATAATCGATTTTGCAGGGTTTGTCACTTCGTGAAAACATCGTCAAATATGTCAGCTGTACCATGGAGGAAGGCTGTACCTACCAGTTACCTCTTTTGTCTGTTGATGGAATTTGACTAGTCACAGTAACGAGTAATTATAAGAATGTGGTCTGACTGATTTTTACTTGTCTGTAGACAAATGTTTGGCGGGGGAAGTGGAAGAAAGCTTGACTGTCTGTGAGTGATCAAACAACAGGAGGGAATGTACACTAATTATTATGGCATTTCAGATTCACCTGTCCTAGAGAGAGAGAGATTTCAGAAATATTTGGACATAATATGGTTATTTTTTCGCGATTGTCATAACTATGTTATGCAACTAACACAGCAAAATGTTTGGAAGGAAAGTTTCAATGTTGGGCAATGTTTCATGATGTCTCATATCCCTTAACATACAATTACTTACAAATATATAGGCCTATTTAACTGAACATTACTGCAAGTAACCGACAGCAAACTTGCTCAAACTTGAATGTTGCACTCTTTTCATATGATCGCAACATGCTTCCTTTGGAGTCAGCAAGTCAGCATTTAGATGACTCAAAGTAAACACGTTTACACAGGAATACAGTCATTGTCTTCTTAACAAATTAAGCACTTGATAGCGAAACATCTCTATTAAATATCACCTGAGCTAGTTCGGCCATAGAAAGCAATAGACCGAAGATAAAATAAGTAGACTCAGTCCAGCGGTCCAATTTATATTCAAAGCCTTGATGACTAGAGATAATTAGTAATTTTCAGGCTTGAAATGAGGCCGTCTTCTGGTTCGTGGGACTGATGAATACCGATAGAGGCGGACAGAGCGAGTAAATTTGTCAGAATGATTGAGCTATCCCCCATAATTCAGTCTAGTTTGGACGGCTCGGTTATAATGATGTATCATGATTGGATTGAGGAACAAATAGGGAGAACTGGGGGCTATTCAAACAACACTCACGGCTGTCAATTTAGTCTGGGCAAACTGTTAATCACATCTTCTCTGGGGAAGGCTGAAATTGTGAATAACCTTAATGTGGAAACATGGGTCAGACTTACAGGTGCCGATCATTTGTATTTTCGACATTAGTTTTAAAACTACATGTACATGTATTTCAAATTCAATCAAAAAAGTTTCATTTACGCACAAGCATTTATGATATACATGTACATGTATGTATCTTTACATAAATAAACAGGCCTATATGAATGAAAAAGAGGTACACGTATTAATAAGATTCACTTTTTTCCCAGAAATGAAAAACATTTAGTGTAAAAAGGGGTACGAAAAATTAATATTCACTTTTTTCTCTGGGAAATTGAAACCTATTTAAGCATACACATGGAAGTTGGAGAAAGACTTTTTTTTCACAAGTTCTTGTATGATTTGTAACCATTGTAATGTATATGTACGTGTAGGTCATTTGTAGTGATCCCGATGTCTATTTATAGACAACTCAATCAAAACAGAATGTTTCCTGTCAACTTTCATTACAATGCAGAAGTATATATGGGACTCTGATTAAGGAAGACAACCTAAACAAATCTGACATCAAATGCAATTCACAATAACCAACCAATTAGCTACATTGTATTTCTATCAAATTATTTACAACAAACAAAATTCAATTTATTCACATTTGTTCCCCCAATAATAAAGGATGTGCCTTTCACCCTTATAGTATTACACCCACTGTATGCGAAGTGTTTTCCAAGATCTGTGAGAAACTAGGAGGTCTCAGTCGAGGATATATTTGGATCATATAAGCTGCGCAGTTTTATTGTTTGTCAAATGCCACATTTTTGTTGAAAGCACTTTTGTGCATGATTGGAGAGCTTCCATGGGGAATATTAGCTCAAATTTCATCTTTAAAATCTGTCAAATATCAGCCATTCCCATAACTCTTCTTTATATAACTTAAATAAGATCTCTGTCACTTTTTGACAACTGCAGGAGTTTGCAAATCTCGATCGGTGACCACTTTACCCCGGAGCACGCCAAACCTGATAAACATTTTAATATTGAAAAATTGATCAAGTTATAACTGAGAAAGTTCAGCAATGCACAGCCCTGTTTCATGAGCTGATCCCTAATGCCACACCACCTGCTAACAAGTGCCATTAAACCACTGCGCTTGTAAGCGTTGGCTGAACAATTTTGATCTACATGTAGAAATCGCATATACTGACAGGTAATGGAATACGATGGGTGATTCATGCCAACGGAATAAACAGATATTAAAACCGAATCTACTTTAAATATGTTTTTTGTGGGGGGGGGGGGGTTGGGGGAGGGCATTTTACAGCGGAGGGGGGAGTTTGGGGAGTTCCAATCTTGGAAACTGACCGATTTTTATAAAATGTGGTATGCCACATAGGCATTCATGCCAATTATAATAGAAAGTTTTAGCTCAATCGGACTTAATTTTTCAAAATTATGATCATATAAATATTCTGCACTTCTGTCTGTGAGTGACCTGTGTGCATGTTATTATTCACACAGTCAATAGTAAACAAAATATTTGTCAATACCTCATGTTGAAAACTTAACATTTTTCGTGAAACTGGTGTGAAAATATGCTAACAAGAAGTCCATCTATTTGCGTATCACGGCTTAGCCATGAAGCCGATTTTCAAGGCAATGATATCAGAAGAATTTACAGCCCCCCCCCCTCCTTGTAAGATTAATAATGGCTTACCCCCTGGATAGTTGTCTTGTTGTATGCCTTCTTTATTCAGCCCGTGGAGTAGGTTATTAGCTTTGGCAAGTTTGTCTTGTAAGATAATTGCTGGGTTGTCTTCAACCTCTGTGGCTCTGAAGTCAACCAGGTCCCTACGGCCAAAAACAAAAAGAAGAGAATTACTACAAATCAAATGCTAATATGTGACCTGTCATCAAGAAATGAGCATTAAGTCAGAAATTGCCATTTTACAGTACAATAGGCAAAGCCAAAATTTGAAGGGTGGTATATTTTTAGTTTTCAGATAAACCTGGCCCTGTAAGTCCTGTTCTACATGTACATTCCCTATTGAACTCTCTATCAAACATCTTATTTTCTTATTTTCATCCATTTATTAGTTGACTGTTCTTTTACTGCAATAAAACGGCAGGATTTTTAAATGCCATTTTCTCAAAACTTACTTTCACAACTTCAATTTCAGGGCTGCCAACTTTGAGTAAGAGCCGAGAGTGAGAATTTGGCGATGGAGCTTGATCAGAAGAATTCATGCTAATGCGAGCACAAAGCCAAATTTGCATTCTAGACGCTCTGTGGTGCGATCTGAGACAATTTCTGACCACTTTAAAGCCCAAGTCCATCATTTGCAGCTATCCAAAAAAGTAACTGGCGTAATTATTGTTGAAAAGCATACTGGTTGAAAGATAGTAAGGGGACTAAACTCCCTGTGAAATTATCCTTTCTGGCAAGCTCTCATTTTGAAGAAATCAACGAAAGAAGGCATTTCCAACGGTGCGTCTTAAGAAGCACCGTAGGAAAATTTAAATTAGTAGTTCATTTTGTTATTCGGCGCAGCGCGCACAAGCATTGGAACGACGCACAGGCGCGCGCGGTTGCTATAATTCGTCGGATCAGTGCGCGACATCGCGTAAAGCTGCAATTCAAAACAATTCGAAACATGATTTAGCAACTTTTGATTTGAAATTGAGATCCTAGAATGCTGTTTTTCTCGGAATATAAAGCTGAAGCTGAGCTGAAACTTCATCAAGTAAGTTGTTCAGTATCCGTCATTAGATTTTGAACACTTTTGTTGCTTCAAACGAACAAAAGGCACTAATTACAAATGATGGACTATAGCTTTAACCAATTTTTTTAGCAAAAGATCATCATTTAAACATCATTTTCGAGTTTTATTTATTTATTTATTTATTTTTTTAAGCGCGAGAAATCCCCAGTGCGTGTGAGTGTGAGGACAACCTAAAATGCGTGAGTCTCACGCTCAATGCGTGACAGTTGGCAGCCCTGCAATTTATAATATTTCCATTATTGAACTCAGAACCCCCAAATATATACCATTAGGAAGCTCTTGATATGCAGAATCCAGAAAAAAAAGGTCTCAATTCTTAAAAAGTCAGACTCTATGCTCGTTCTGTGATGATGGGTCATATATTACGACTTGCTTAGCTGCTGGCAATGTTGTCTTGAATAGTGTTCTCTAATTTATCAGAAGTACCCGATTTCATTGCTTTGCTCTCAGAAAAGTCTGCAACAATTAGCATATTACAGGGGTTGGCAAGGAAATTTAGTTTGTGCACATGTATACATTCATTCTCTCAGGATTCTCTGGTTAAGCATTTCTGTGCTAGCACTGTCAGCACAGAAGATCAACAACCCAACAGTCTGTGGTTAGCAGAGTCATAACATCAGGCTCAATTTTGTTCAAATGAGTTATTTCTTTTCATTTAAACTTGAAGAAAGTAAGAAAAAGTGCATTTGTTTGTTACGTCAACAGGATCATCGGTATTTCATGTGTTTTTAACCTATTCCTCAAACACCACTTATTATTTAAAATAATACATTCAACCTGTTGGAGTTCTATTCAGTGGTTACTTTTTGGAGAAAGAAAGTGAAATTCCACACATTGCTCATTCTATAATATTCCAAAGTGTGACATTTTGCCTGTCCCTGTTACCGTGGTACTTTGTAATTTGCCATGCAAGTATCAGTAAGAATGACTTCAAATCCTTGTTCTTATTTGTTGGGTAAGTAATTTGCTAATCATGATCACTCTTGGAGGACGACTGCATTAAGGAGTGCATCAGAATTATAAAATCATATATGTCAGATGTAACAGGTACAGGACAAAAAGTGGACCCCAAATTCATAGAATGACGCACATACTGTACTTTGTTCGTTTGAAACAATCTACATGATTTTGCCAATAAGATGAACTTCTGCATTCGGCTGGAAGTTACCAACTATCAACTACCAACTCCACGCACGTACCTGAGTTGTTGCGCCTGTTTGCGTAGCTCATCATTCTGCCTCCTCATACGATGCAACTCCTTGGACAAGTGACTCAGCTCCAAGGCGGCCCCGCCCTTGGACTCTGCCCCCGTCCCCGCCCCCTGCTCCCCCTGGGGGAACAGCGTGCCGCTCAGGAAGACGAGACTAGCCAGCCAGAGGGCGGAGATGGTCAGGCCTAGCTTGACGGTGGTCTTCATGATAGGGAGAAGGAGTAGGGGCAAAGGAGATGAGAGTGGGATTCGGTGTCACCGATGGTGTGCCGAGATGGGTGTTGGTGAAGGGGCGGGGGTGACTGACGCTACATGGAACATCATCGTCTCAATTTAATGCTGTGAATGGAAATGAGAGAGAGAGAGAGCACACAGTTACTAGGATTTGGGATTAAATGCATGCAGCTGGTCAATGCTAAAGTGCAGTCAAGCATTGCAGCGGTAGAGGATGCTAGCAACAACATGAATCCAATCCAGTCTGGGAATCTTGACACTGGGATCTGACAAATTCTGAGATTGAACACACAGCACTGCCGCTGGAACAAACTTTTGCCAGGGGGTGCTGGAATTTCTAAAGGACGGACAAAATCAATGCCAAAGCGGAGCGCAAAGCCCTTATACGTCGTGGCTTAATTTGGAATATGGATGCTCTGTGGTGCAATCTGAGGCGATTCCTGGCCACTTCATTGGACTTTTTAGCAAAAGTTTTTTGAGATTATAAAGACAATTTATTTCATTATTTTGTTTAGAATATACTGTTGCTCTTAAAACGTTTACTGTACTAAAAAGTGGAGAACCCTGTAGTTTTATCTCCATTTTTGGTTCCATTTAATTCTGGAAAAAGAATTGTATCAGTACATCGCATGTAAATATTATTGTTGCAAGGCTGCTTTCTTACATTTAGTAAATTCCTTCGTGAATGTTTTGTTTTATTTTCCGAGTCCTTACGGCGTGGGCCAGGGGCCGCTTTAAGGCCCCGGAAAATGTTGGATTCTGGATGCACTGTGATGAAATATACTGAAGTATACTGAAACGTATAAAACCTGAAAGGATGTTTTTTGGTTCAAGTTAAAACAAATGGTTCCACTGGAAGCGGATGAATTTCTTTTCATAAAAATATTCACATAGTTCTAACTCATCAAATGATGTAGCTCTCGATATATTTGCAGTGTTATTTGTTTGTTACAGGGAATGGCAAATATAAAAGACTAAAAGACCAAATGCATCTTTATGTTTATGATCGGTAGATGGCAAGTTTGGGGCTAGGCAAGGATTTATTGGTCTACTGAGTTTTTATGAGGAAAACCTTGCAGAGGGAAAAACATGAATAGCTTTTTTATTAAAACGAAATTACACTGGAATTGGCATAAAGCATGACTAGTTTCAATGAAAGCCGGCCCTCCCACTCCTATTAGGTTGGGGATGTGTGTGAACCTTGCTATTTGTTAATGTTTGAGCACAGAATGCTAGCAACGTCAATGAAACTTTTAAATGGAAAGAAAAACCTTCAGGGAAAGGTATGAGCATTTGCCCCTATTGAAAGATCGAATGAAAACAATCCTGGCAAGCATAAACAACTTTGCCACCATTGTCATGGCCGAGGTTATTGCTTTCCTGTCAAAGTTTGGGCTTTCATGGCGGAAATATCACAGACATGTCATGATTTTAGATACCTTGAGAGAAATATCGATTCTGCACTGTCTGAAGATTTAGAAAATACCTCCTCTTGATATTCAGTTACAGTGTTTGTGCTAGACTTTCGAAGCGCCGCGCTTGGCCTCGGCAAAACTAGAAACGAACAAAACGAAGGAGATAGTTGTAGAACAAGCATAATGTTTAGCGTAGTGGCGCAATTTCATCGTCGTAGAACACTGCTGGCTGGAACACATTTTTGCCCGGGAGTAGGGGGTGCTGAAGCATATTCCAGCATCCCAATCCAAAAAGTTGGGGGTGCTGCAGCGCCCACAGCACCCCCCGTTCCTGCGGGCTTAACACACTCATGTTTTACTATACTCTTGAGGACAATGCTTTGTGTTTCCCTTTGTCCCTGTAATATGACAATCTCCCATAGACTAAGCACATTTATAACCGTATGATAGAGGACCATTTTCATCAAAAGACCCAACACCAGAGGACTGAAAGGATCTGTTGTTCTCCCTTTATGTGTCGGTCCTTGGAGGTTATGTAGAACACGTACACAGGTTCAGTGCATGTACTTCAAGTGTACTACGTTCAAGCTATGTATGCATGCAAACAACTTATGGTTTGCTATTATTGTGGAATAAAAAATTACAAATTTACATACTCTAATCATCAAATGACTAGTATTTCATGCTACACTGGAGATCGGGTTCCAATGCAGAAAATGTGACTAAGAAGTGTGTCAATAGGATAATTGGCATATGTATGGCTTTCACACAATGAACCTCAAATTGTCTAAAATCCCTTCACAAAAATATATCTAAACTTGGTACAGAAGTGCCAATTCATTGGTATACATGTACCGGTATGATGTCCGAATTGGACAACCACTAGTGTGCATTTCAGACATGTCATCTCTGTGAAAATAAATTTATGAAATCTTCTTTCTTCACAGAGTTATTTTGACAACAGCTGCGTAAAAACTATACTCTTGATTTGGCAACATTTTTATTTACAAGTCCCCAGTCCATTCTGTTACCTAACAACAGCTGTTTTAGGTTAAGATGATACAAACAATTTGAAAGGTTCTCAAGAGGTCAAGTACAAAGATCTAAATTTACGAAATACCCAAAATTTACATTAAAAAGATAAAATCATTGTATTTTTACATTAAAAAAGATAATCATTGTATTTTCTTCGACATTCTCATTTCGTTATCTTTTACAAACCTTGCCTACTTGACTACCAAATTGACCGTCAATATGGTCGTAAAATCTGAAAGCCAATAATTCATTTGACAGACCTGCATTTTTCCATAATGGCAATTTGTCTTTCATAATGTGAGTACACGTTTATTTTACTTTATCTTTATTCACATCGAGGATTTTTATGTTGCTTTTAGTTAAAGCCAGAGTCCATCATTTGCAGCTATCCAAAAAGTAACTGGCGTAATTATTGTTGAAAAACATACTTGGTTGAAAGATAGTAAGGGATCTTAACTCCCTGTGAAATTGTTCGTTCTGGCAAGCTGTCATTTTGAAGAAATCAACGAAAGAAGGCCTTTCTAACAGTGCTTCTGTTCAAGCACCAGTGCTTCTGTTCAAGCACCGTAGGAAATTCAAATCAGTAGTTGTTTTGTTGGCGCGCGCGAAGCGCGCGCAAGCATTGGCACGACGCACACGCGCGCGCAGTTGCTATAATTCGTCGGATCAGTACGCAACATCGCGTATCCTGCAATCGGCTAGTGAGAACGTGTCTCAGATGCTGGATTCAGGCCCGATTCAAAACATGATTCAGCCACTTTTGATTTGAAATCCAGATCCTAGAATGTGGTTTTTCTCGAAAAATGCAGCTGAAGCTAAACTGAAACTTCATCAGATTGGTTGTTCAGCATCCTTCTTCAGATATTGAGCACTTTCGTTGCTTCAAACGAACAAAATGCACAAATTACAAATGATGGACTATACCTTTAAGTATACAAATATTGAGTGGCTCAGCGTGGAATGGGAGGAATATTATCGCAAGGTAAAATCTGGACTTTTCCATTGCACGAGGCGTAGCCGAGTGAACTGGAAAAGTCCAGATTTTACCGAGCGATAATATTCCTCCCATTTCACAATTTAAAGCCACTCAATATTTGTTTTATATAACTTACATATATAGATCCTTGTCATTTGATATATTTGAACTTTTTTTTCAATACAAAACTGGAGGGAAATGTATTTCTCTCTTCCAAACCACCCTTTCACGAAAATGTTTGAACCCAACGCTGTAGCGCTGGCTCTTTGGAACAATACGCACAACGCTGAACGCGCACACCAGCATGCATTTGCACACAAATACCGCGTCATGATCCTAACTGTTGAATAGTATTTCCCATTCCCCATGGGCGGATAGTACTTTTTGAGCCGCAGCATGAATGGGAGCAATAACGAATGCCACGTGATGTGAGTTCCACCAATCAAATGACAAGGATCTGTATGTCGGTTATATAACTCACTTTATGCATACGGGACAGACATTGGGATAGGCCATGTACAGTGGGATAGACAATGTTACATGTAGGTGCTGCATGCAGTTGTTCCTGTACATGTATACTAAAAAATGATTGCAGAGCCATTTTGCTTGCAAAATGCCTCCAAGAAAAATGAATACAACTGCTGCAAACTGCTTACTGCCTGGATTGACCTGACCAAAGACATAATATCCTGCAAATTATCTGTTAGAATACTGAAGTCTTACTTACCTAAGCAACATTTTGTTGTGTGATCAGGCTCATAGCGAAATCAAGTCATTGCTTGCTATTTCTGTCTTCACAGATGTTCAGATTGTAAATGTATACACTATGCATCAGTTTACATCAAAATTTGAGAGTTCCATCCAAAATTGGATCCCAAATTTGTAAAGTCCATTTTTAATATAATCCTAATTATTCCAGAGCTTCCAATTCCAACTTTAAAATCAGCTTGTGGGTTCTACAACGCATCTTCTGGTGTCCAATTCGCAACTTGAGAGATTTCGGTGAGAGATTTCCTTTTGCTGTGTTCCAATAGCATCAGTCGATCGATGTCCATACACCGACTTGAAACCCATTCAAGTGTACGTCTCTTTCACCGTCGCCGGTGATGTTTTATATTCCCCTCCGCAGATACAGTGATCGCATCAACCCCTGATGAGTGATGGCACGTTTTACACGCTCGTTGGTTTAATGACGAGTGTGATGGGCTGCATATCACTCAATACAATTCTGAAGGCCTTGTCCGCAGATATCCAATCAAACGTCCTGCCTCCCACTGGGCTGGTTCCTGGGAGAAATGGTGGCGGAGCGCGAGTCAATTTGAGATGCCAAATTAAAATGATCTTGATCAATATTCTGGAAGTTCACAGATGGTCACTACACATGCAATGTTCAGTCAATTGCTGACAACTCGTTGGATTGGGGGGAAAAAGGAAGTCAAATACTATCTTCCAAAGTTCTAATGTTTTAACCTGCTATTAAGCAAAGAAAACGGTCACGTTTTAATCTACTATGCCACTACCGGTATTTCTACGAAGTTGAAATTCTACTGAACATCTGCTGCCCACAAGCAAGATGTTGCAGTTTGTGTAATAAGCCTAGGCAAAGAAGATATCACCGACATGATGTCACTGGGGACCAGCCAATAGCAGCATACCTTGGCCAATCATTAACCAACCGTGCCAGGCTAGGATTGGTGGAAACCCAAGTATACACAGCCAATCATAGCCATCCATTCGCCAGACACAATACTGGCTTCTTACTAGTTAGGCCTATACTAAACATTTTGTCATGATAATACAGCGGTATAATCATCCAAATATGGAAAATTTGGAAATGCTTTCTTCTTTTACACAGTTCACTGCTCACGGCTACAGAACGGCAATGAAAGTCTACTACGTGTTACTTTGGGGTAATTAACTCACTAATTTTGCCAGCAAGTCATTGATATGTTACCATGGTAACATGCTGGCATGGTAATTTGGGACCATAGCCATATTAGTTTCTTCATAGTCTATTGTACCGGTAATCAAGTTCTTTTAATGTTTGTTTCTCATCCCCTGTAAGTGTCTAAAATGAGTTTGAAGGACATTACTTTTCATGGTTTTACATATGTGCATTTGAAAGACCATAAACTGCCAGCAAGGGCAGCATCCTCCATTTTGATATTTTAAATCACTCTTGACATCTGCTGCATCTGCATCTGGATGTTTCATCTTGGAGAAAATGTTGACTGTTCAAATGCAACACTTGTTACAAACTAATGATAGTAAAAAAACAAACAATAAGCCTCTTGGCTGAGGGGTAGAAATTGGCATTTTTTTCGCCCCCTTCACTAATGTTATTTCATTCAATTCTTGACATGTAGCTCTGTTGGGATCATCTAAACTATCGGTACATGTACCAGCCATCAAATTTTTTTGATTTGTATTTTATCAGGTCAATCCAGTCAGAAAGCAGTTTGCAGCAGTTTCACTCATTTTCACGAAATGTAGTTCAGCAAACTTGCGACTCATTTTGTTGAGCTTTGACCGCATTTTGAAAACGACTTCCCAACATACGGAACTGTACAGCGTTACTGCTTCGAAGCCAGACTTTAATACAGCAGGCAACCGCCCACCATATTGCAGTATATACATGTAACCATGCATTATGCATACACCTGCTCTGCTATTCACAAGGGAACATGATAGTACTGCCCTTCTTTACTCCATCCTTTTCTCCACTAGGAATCCTGGATTTTATTCGTTCTCCAGAGAAACTGAATTGCATCTGCTATTCACGTGCATGTCTACAGATGCTTAATAATAATGCAATACATGCAATATGGGGTTTGGCTGTTTTTTTTACGTGTATGTATGTTCTTAGTAAGAACATATGGGACACACCCTGAAAAAGCTTGCCCATATTGAACATCAATCATAATAGATGTCCACAATGAATGGTTGAAACAGAATTGAGGATATCTTCAAACACATACATGAACATTTGAACAGAAAGCCACTGGACATTTTACAATTGTAAAAAAAATATTACAAAACAGCTGGCATAATTCATGAGGAAAAAAAACAATGAATGGAAGAACTTCTTTCTAAAGTTCACTTATTTTTTTCTCTCATATTTGTAAGCTTTTTCAGAAGAAGCCAGGGTTAGATGGGTCTGCTCTGACGCACCACATCTCTCCTTGGTTACATAAACATGTACAACGGACTAAACAGACAAAGCCAGAACAAAACAATAGGTCACATTTTAACGATAATTAGCAGGACACGCAAATTAATCAAAAATGTAATTAACGTCAGCCTGCAAACTTCATGTAATGGTTTTAACAATGTATAACAAATGGTGCACACCACTAATGTGCAATTTGGAAATAAAAAAAAACACGCACCAAAAAAACAGCCACTCCATGTAAATGGCATAGTTCATTTGCTTTTAAAGTCAATATAACTACATCACAAAGGTAGATTTTGTGACTGCCAACTTGCTTATTCACATACAAGAAAACACCACCCGATACATTATCAAATTAGTCCAACAATATGATACACGTTGCCATCTCCTACACAATCCCCCCTTTCTCATCATTAAATCATTACGGCTACTCGTCAGGTAAGCACACAACACTCATACATTATGCTTATACAGTCGATACAGAGAACGTGTACGTAGAAGTCACCAGTGGAGGCAAGCCAGCACAAAAAAAACATGTTTACCAAAAAACAAAAACAAAATACATTTTCAGTACACTAATGGTTTTTCCTACTGTACTGTTTAAATGGAAGCCCAGGTTCTGAAACCCAGGTGAAATTTGACACAAAAAGTACTTGGACATAATGAAATGCCACAATCATATTTTTTTTTAACCTAGAACACACAGGCAGAATTAATGTTGACTGAAAACTCGCGGCGAACCTCAAAATGTCTGAAATGGTTTCTTTGTATTTTTGTGGTGGTTCTGTTTCTTTTTTAGAGATGTCTGAAATTTACACAATAGTGACGATTCATTAGCAGGTCTGAATTTCCGCCAACTACCGGTACTGAATGAACTTTAGACATTTTGTCCCAAACAAAGAGAATTTGGACAATTTTCCTCGCTCAGGCCAATGAGATTTAATGTCTTGAAAAGGATTGATGTCTTAAGTGCCATAATTACACATTCTAAAAGCGAAATTGAAAATGGTTAAAATATTTCAGCTTTCTATTTGAGATTATCCAACATTCCTTTTCATCCATAAGAACAGCCCCCCCCCAAAAAAAATGCTTCAAATGTCGTAAGGGAAATGGTCCTAAGAAACGTGTTTTTTTTGTGAAAAAAAATTACTACAGAATTTATAAACACAATTTGGAATTGTCAACGACTCTAGAATGTGCTTGATAGCTGTTTTTGAGTGAAAACAAACTGCATGTATTGTTTACTGCATACATGTATTAATACGAAATGACCTTGGACAGTTCTCTGAATTAAGGGATGATTGGGTACCAAATGAGGTAGAAAATGATAATTTGTGTCATTGGAAAATATAATTGTCTTCAGACAATTTAAAAAAAAAATTAAAAAAATCTCCCTTGAACTTTACTCCCTTAAAATGACATTTCACTAGAATTTGTGATGATTGACTAAAAAAAAGGTTCTAATGCCTTCTGAAAAATTCCCGCCTTTAATGTTCATTAATCAAACTTTGCACCTTGCAATAACTTTTTCCCTGTAATCAAAAATAAACTGACATGATACTCAAGATGTCCTTTTACCGAATGGACACAAAGTAAAAAATAATTCAGAATAACATGGTGTGCTGCATGCTTTCTGGTTTCAAGTGTGAAAATGAAATGAATACCGCTGAATGTACATGTACACTGTAAAAATTACGAGACTCAGTTCACCCACATAGCCACATCATTTTTTGATGCGATTAAGCAATAATATATTTTATCATATTCCATTATTTATTATTATACGTATCCAGCATTCTGCGTTTGTGTACTTCGATTTGCATGTTTAAGTTTTGTATCAGTTTCCAGTATAAAGTGCAGAAAAGAAATATTAAACAGAACACATTGGAATTTGATAATAAATTCAAGTAAAAAAAAGATCATTCAATATTTTAGTGTCAACTTCAAAGGCAAAATGGAAAATTCCCATAGTAAAATCTAAGGCAACATTTGTAACTCAATTAACCAGTTCGCGCTGGGAATATTTTGACAAGAACGGAATGAGGCGGGGGGGTTAATTTTCACTCGACCTCAAGCCAGGCGGGTTGAAGCCATCACCCTCGGGCAGCACACTCATATTTCCGGCCTCGCTCGCTGCGAGCGGGTCGCTGACAGATATTTCTGGCCTCGCTCCCTGTATGTTTATCCATCATCCATTCCGAATACCGCAAAACCTTTGCGTGTACACACGTCATCTGGCACGAACTGGTTAAAAACACATACTTTTTTCACATGTAGAATTACACTAACTGAACAGTAAAAAGCAAACCTTTAAAAAAAGGAATTGACGACGGAATTTCTTGAATGATGACAAACGGTCCAAAGGGACTGCATCGGTGATGTACTGCTGATTAAATTCCATTCCCTAAATCACTTACTGATACTGTAGATATTGTACAATGTATATGAAAGTATCCATTCCAGATGGTGCCATTTGTGTCATGCAAAGAATTTCAACTAAATTGGCTCAGGAATACCAAATAATTTTAAAATTTTGCCTCAGAATTTTGTATAAAAAATAATTAAAATACAAGTACGTTATGCTTTGAGTTTGAAGTTAGAAGCAAGCAATTTCATACAAAATTTGCTTCAATTCCAAAATTCTGTATTCCTTCCTCCATGATAGAAGTAACATACATTTCATGTAGGGTTTGCTTAAAGGGAATGTACAACATTTGCTTTTGCTGCAATTTTCAGAAATAAATGGATTTGGAGGATTAGTACCGGTATGTTATACCATAGCAAATATTGTTACATTGTACAAAGACTTGTTTCACATTTTGGGCTGGTACCGGTAGATGCTGGGAAAAACCAAGAAAACCAATCATGTTCTTGTAGTCTGGTTCCCTGACCCCACTTAAGACGAAACGGAGCAATTTATAGACTTTTGGGAATTGTAAGGTCAGAGAATCAGTCTAGTAGGCTTGCACCCCTTCACAGGTGTGTAATCAATTACAAAGAAATGCGGAATAACTAAATATGAAAAATACGGAGCAGTTTTTGAAAAAAAAGAAGTTTTTTTCCAATGCTGGTCGGCCAACCAGCATTGGAAAAATATAATTTTTCTTGAAAATGTCAGCACACCAGGAGCCATGATTATACAGGATGCTTTAGACTGTCATCACTGACAATCCAGTAAGGTATTCCGTGAGAATTTGATCATTTCCTTTTTTTATGTTTGCAAATGTTGTATCTTCCCTTTAAGAAGCAAGAAGCAAGAATTCATTTGAAACTGTGAATTTTGAAAATTGTATCAATTTTCTGGTTTGAGGTTAACAAGCATTAAACAATGTACAAGTAGTCAGATTTTTTACTGAATGCATTTAATGATAACGGTCCTTGAACACATCTTAATCATTCATT